GTCTCATGAAAGCACCATGAAATGTAGGTTTGTGCTCCCAGCGCAGATCTCCAGAGCTAGGTATTCAGCAGTCCCAGGCCTTCCACTCCCTCCCTGCTCTGTTTCTCTTCCTCCCGCAGGTGAGCTGGGGTGGGGGAGGGGCTCGGGTCCCGCGGAGCCACAGCTCTGGTACAGTACCCCGTTCGCTGAGGTCTGCTCTTTTCTCCAGGTGCGTGCAGTCTGGCTCAGTCCTCTTTCCTGTTGCTCTCTCAGGATTAGTTGCGCCAATTAAATTTTCTAATTGTATCCAGTTTTAGGAGGAAGCCTCTGTCTCTCCTCTCACACCACGATCTTTTTCACACTGGCTCAACCTTTTTTTTAAATAAGTTTTTCCTGAAGTGACAATTTGACTTCTTCTAAATTGTCAACTAAAAAGGCCTTCTGCTGGGCACCTCTCTTTTCATGACTATATTGGAAATTGCTTTGCAAAATACTCTGTTTTACTCTATATTTATTAAATTTGCTCTAATCAATGATTTTCTTTTTCTCCTATAGGTCTGGCCTGGAAGAACTGTGTTTCCTGATTACACCAACCCCCAGTGTGCTGACTGGTGGGCAATGGAATTTGAACTTTTCCATAATCAAGTGGACTTTGATGGAATCTGGATTGTGAGTTCTTAATACTTTGAATATTAGGTGACTAATAATATTTGTAATATGTATCTATATCATTGAGTCATAGAGCATAGTGGGAAGGGAGGTGAGGAAGGGAAGGGAGTGGGAAGGGAAGGGAAGCAAGTATAGCAATAATGCTGACATTCCCTTTTTTTCCAAATTCTTTTTTTAAAATTAAAGTATCATTGATATACAATCTTATGATGGTTTCACATGAACAACGCTGTGGTTTCAACACTCACCCATATTCTCAAGTCCTCACCCCACCTCATTGCAGTCACTGTCTATCAGTGTAGTAAGATGCTATAGGGTCATTACTTGTCTTCTCCGTGATGTACTTCCTTCCTGTGACCTACCTACAGCTAACATTCCCTATTTTACTGTTAAAATAATCTTACCAAAACATGTATCTTGGAATAAAAATCAGATTATTAGAGCTGGAAGTAATCTCAGAAATTTGTTTGAGTCCAGCTCTCCTTTTAGAAGTGAATGAGCTGAAGTAAAAATAGGTTATATACTCTGAACATTGTTGCACAGCACATGAATTGTTCAGTTGCTCTTTTATTTAGACATGTTGGACAAATCAGAGCCAAAGTAGCCAGGTGCATGATAGGATTGTGGCTGCAGTAAGACAGATGTCACATATAATGCCACGTGAAGACAGATGCAAAGCAGCAGATATTCAGCAAGATTTAGGGGGCTTTAGAGTTGAACTTTTTTCTATTTATAAGAGGAATGTAGAAAATTCAAATGATACAGAGAGCTGAAAAGATGAGAGCAAAAACCCTCTAAAACGTTATCAGCTGAAGACATCCAGCCTCAGTATTTCGGTGTGCTCTTCCCAGCCCTCACTTACATGCTGTGGCACGTGCTCACCCTCTCGCTCTCTCTGCACATACATATGCTTGTATATGTATATGTATTTTTTGTGTTTGTGTGTATTCATAGCTATATTTGGATATATAGAGAATGTTGAAATACATGAAATCATATAAACTGAAACCTTTTCTCACCTAATATATTTGAAAAATTTTTACTTTCAGTGATTATAGACAGACATCATTTTGAAGGATTTTAAGACCTTCTCCATGAAACCTTCAATACAAAAGACAGGATTAGGATAGCAAAGACAGGAACATCTATTTCTTTTCATGTACATAAGAGCCTCTTTAAAAAAGAAAATCTGGAATCATTTCTCTGATTCCTCAAAAAAAAAGACACTATCAGTAAACATAAAGGGTCATATTACTTTTTCTTAATAGTTCTTGCTTTTTGTCTTGTAGGACATGAATGAGGTTGCCAACTTCGTTGATGGTTCAGTTTCAGGATGTTCCACAAGCAATCTAAATTTTCCCCCGTTCACTCCCAGTAAGTCTTGGTGGTTGGTCTGATTAAAGTGGCAGTGTACAGTTGGTATTTTAAATTTGTAAGGATACATATGAACAACCTGGCAAAGGAGTTTGTACACAATGTGCATAGGGAAAGGAAAATGTGGGTAATATGTAAGGAAAAACTGGGAAGAAAACCAAAACACTCCATGCTTTCCTAAATGAATCATAAATTCACAGGGCAATCTAGCCTTTCTATCTACAGCTTTTTCTAGGGGAAGGTCCAGAAAGGATGTGGTCCAGAGAGGAAGGTCCAGAGGCTCGTTGTTAGTCTATGTTGCACTCCAGCATGCACCCCCACAGGCCAGGGTTCAGAGAACCAGGCTTGGTCTTTAGCTAAACAAGAGTGTGAGGAGCTAATATGAATCAAAGATGAAGGGAAGCTAGAGCCCAGGGCTTGGGAGGTCAGAAAGTCAGTAAATATGATGGTAGTGAGCTCTGACTGAACTTTGAATAGCTATGTCAGGGTGTGGCCCTGGAACCACAATATTTGTTGTAGTTGAAAGAAAGCTGGAGGTTCACAGATAAGTTTTATCTTTAGTTTAAGAAAGAAAGGAATGAGCTGCTAGAATTATAGCATCTTGTGAAGACTTCTAGTGTGGTGGTAAAACAGGAAATGGAGGCAGATGGGTCAGAATCTAATGTTGGACTTGAATGGGAAGCTAACAGTTCACACTTCATTCTTTTCGTAATAGAAGCTATTTAATATTTTAGTAAGAGGGAAATACGACAGTCAAATGGCTTCGGAAATAGTAATTCATGTCGTATGAATTAAAGGATCAATAGGTCAGAAGTAAAAAGCCATTAAGAAACTGTTGCAATAGTTAGGATCCAAAGGTAATTTGGATCTGAACCAGAGGGGTGCAACGGGGGCAGAAAAGAACAGGTGAAGGAAAGAGAGGTTGGGCAGTTGTCCTTTATGATATCAGTCAGTAGAAAGAAGGGGTGAGAAGTTAATTTACACTTTCATCCAATACTTTGATTCTTGGGCCCTGTAACTTAGCTTATTTTGAAGAATTCATATTGAACCTCAAAGTCTAACTGGATTCTCTTGCTTCCAAATGTGTGCCTCTCATCACGTGAGGCTTAGATGGCAGAATGTGTACGGTCTGCCCAATTTATTTATATATCAGAGAAATCCAAATATATAGTCCTCTGATAGCCTGGAAGCTGTGCAGGGCAGTCCCAGCAAATGCCTGCCCAGGGAGCTGTCCTCTCCGGTTCTGTGATGGTCAGGGAGTAGGGAATGTGCATTCAGGCTCTCAGTGACTGATCCCTCTCTTGTCCCAGGAGTCTTGGATGGGTACTTGTTCCGCAAGAGTCTCTGCATGGATGCAGTGCAGCACTGGGGAAAGCACTATGACGTGCACAATCTGTATGGCTACTCCATGGCGATTGCCACAGCCCAGTAAGGCCACTTTACTATGGACCAAGTATTGATCTCACTAGATGCCAGGTGCCAGTGTGTTATTTTTAAGAACTCTGCAAGATGAGTATGATTGTTATTATTGTATGAATGAAGAAATTGCCTGGCACATAGGGAAGTGGGAATCCAATAAATATTTGTAGAATATATGAAATGAAAGAGTGAATAAATGAGTGAATGGAAGGTTGGTAGAAAGAAAGAAATAACTTGATGAAGGTCAGTCAGCTAATAAATTGTAACAGCAAAGTTTAAGCCCATTTTTGCATGAGTCCAAGGCCCCTGTATTTTCCTCTCTGCCATACTGTGTATGCCTGGAGTAGGGAGGGATAAGTAATATATGGACTTCATGTGCTTAGGGGTTTTAGGTACTGGCTTAGCATCCCTCTCCTGTGCTGTGTCTACCTTTTGTATGGGCTTAAATTCTTTAGTGAGGAAAAAGTATTGAGAATTTACTCCACTTGCTGCAATACATCAGCAAAAAGCCAGGCCAAAACCACATGCGTTCATTAGCAGTCATGGGTGTAATGTTAGCGGCCTTGGAAGTTGCTGAAAAAATTATGGGGCAGAAGTTTTTAAGTATATATATGGACTTCTAAGTTCAAAAATATAGCTGTTATATATTTATATTTACTTATAAAAGTACACACAAATACATACAATTTTTAAATGTCTTTTCTTTTTACAAAATCATGAACAAAGTGTGTCTCCTTAAAAAAATTAAGTTCTAAGAGGCTGTTCATCAGTTCATTTTTGTCTATGTTTGAAATCACACGATGTGAGAATTGTATATACATCTGTGTCAAGTTAAATTTCACCTTTGTTCCATAGAGATTGCATACCTCTAGTCACTAGCCTTTTCAAGGCTGTTTTGAAGTTCTTGAAAATTTTGGAGTTAATAATGTGCATCAAAATACCTTAAACAAAACTAAACATAACATAACATAACGGTGCAGTCTGCTCCCAGCGGCAGCTTTCACCCTATTGGGAGACAACCAGCAGAGAAAAATGGGGTGTTAACTTTCTAGATTCCTGGTATTGCTGCTGTATCCCCTGGGCTTGACATGCCAAGGTCACACATTGACTCCCTAAGTCTCTCTCCTTTCCAGAGCTGTCAAGACTGTGTTCCCTAACAAGAGAAGCTTCATTGTAACCCGTTCTACCTTTGCGGGATCTGGCAAGTTTGCAGCCCATTGGTTAGGAGACAATGCAGCCACCTGGGACGACCTCCGATGGTCCATTCCTGGCATGCTGGAGTTCAACCTTTTTGGTATCCCAATGGTGAGTCCACATCACAGGCTCTTTTATGAACCTCAATCCCTACAAAGCCTCATTCTAGAAACTTTTCAAACCATAAAGCTCCCCTCTTCTACTTTTTAGGGCCCAGGGATTTAAGGCCTTGAGAGCATGTGCTTCACCTTTATCAGTATGACTCTGGTATCACAACATTTCTTCCTGCTCTGCCTTATAAACATACAGATATAAAGATAGATAAAGCTATTGTGTGTTGAGCATTTTATTTACATTATCTCATTGACTAAAACCTATGTTGCTAATAGTACCCACTTTAACAAAATGAGGAAATTGAGGCACAGGAGTGTTAAGTCACTTACTTGAAGTTATCTAACAGTAAAGAGTGGATACAGGATATACTCCAATTCTGATCACACTTTTTTGGTCTTCTCAGTAAAAGGTTAGCAAAGTTCAGCTGGGAGGTCCCTGATAGAAAGCGAAAGGGAGGGCAGTGATGGAAGTGAGGTGTGCACACCATCTGTGCGTCCTTCCAGGTGGGTGCTGACATATGTGGCTTTGCACTGGACTCCCCTGAGGAGCTCTGCAGGCGGTGGATGCAGCTGGGAGCATTTTATCCATATTCCAGGAATCACAATAGCCAAGGCTACAAGGTAAGTCTCTCAGGAGATATGATCAAGATAAATTTGGTTTACATTGGGACTGGATCTGTCTGCATCCTCACCCAGAAATCCATGGAGCTGACCTCCTGCCTGGTGTTCACTCGGGCTTATTCGTAACTGACCAGGGCCTGTGGTGCACCGTTAGAATGCCCTGCTGCCACAGACTCTGCTATTTCTACTGTTGCAGTCGAAGAAATGGTGGGTCTGCAAAGGTTTTTATCAAGCCTCTCTACACTTTATCTGCTTGCTCATTTGGAATGAAAATCAAATAAGGAAATAGTTCAAAATTATTTAAATGGCAGTCTCCTGAGCAATCCTAAAGTGTGACTGACAGGGGATGAGTTGCAAGGTGAACAGTGGCCACTTACTTGGTGAAATGATGTCCATTTGCTCAGGGACACAGTTTGCAGCCTAGGCCCAGGTCTTCCAGGCAGGAAACTCCTGGTTGTGCTGAATGGGGTGTGAAATTCTCCAGATGCTTCTGTTGCACGGCAAGATCACAGCTGCCACCTCTTGTTCTGTCCCAGGCCCAGGACCCTGCGTCCTTCGGAGCTGACTCTCTGCTGTTGAATTCCTCCAGGCACTACCTCACCATCCGCTATACTCTGTTACCTTACCTCTACACCCTCTTCTACCGTGCTCACAGCCGGGGGGACACGGTGGCCAGGCCCCTTCTGCATGAGTAAGTTCACCTAATCCAGTGGAATTTCATTAATGCAGCTGGGTCATGCTGACTGTACCAAAAAGCAGAGTGAAAATTGAAACAGTTCAGGCAGTTACTCTGATTGGCATACATATAAACATACACACCTCTTTTTAAAACTAGAACACTCAGTTGGTACTTGCCAGGCTATTGCTCCTAGGTACTATTCTGGAGAATATTACAGCATCACAGCCTGCTCCCCTTTCTGGGAGAGAGCTAGGCTAATAGTCATGGGACTTGTGGTCTGTTCTTTGGTCTGCCACCAACTAACTCTGTGTCTTAGATCACGCAAGTTCTTTCAACCTGAGTTCTTTTATTCTTCATTTAAAGCTTGAATATGATGGTCTCTTCTGTAATGTCCTGTGAACAGGCTCTAGGATCCAGTCTGTCATTTACACACAAATAAGACTATCATAGAGGATTTTCAGAATTCCAGAGTTTGAATTGCTAGGCAAAGAATATTTCTAACTGTTAGAGGATTGGCAAATAGAACTGCAGTCTGTAACCTGCTGAGCATACATCCTGGAATAGGAATTTCTGCCAACCTGCGGGGAGAGGAGGAGGGTACATGGGCTGCGGAAAGTGGTCCCATCTGCAGTAGGGGTGCAGAGGGGCCCCAGGCAGGCAGCCTGCATGTTTTGGACAGATCTGGGGGGAGAGTTGCCAGGAAGCACTGGCCCACCTCCCAGTGAGTGTCTCTCTGATTTCCAGGTTCTATAATGACAACAGCACATGGGATGTGTACCGGCAGTTTTTATGGGGGCCCGGCCTTCTCATCACTCCAGTTTTAAATGAGGCAAGTGTTCCCACATGCTGGTGGTCTCTGCTTCTATTCCTGCTGTGCTCCAAACTCTTCTCTCTATCTGGAACCATTTATCTTCCCTTTGTTCCAAACCCATTTCCCACATGGTTTTGGAGTAGCCTTGAAGAGTGTGCGGGGGCTTGGGGGAAGTTCAGTATCTGTTACTACATATTGTTTTCCAGAGAAATCTTTTCTTCTTGACCCAACCAGTTCCCAACCTGTGCAGAAGCATCTACTAGTGGCTCTGGGCTTAGGAACAGTCCTCTTTATCATCAGATTCTCCTAGCAGGTTATTACTTGCTCCGAGCTGGAGAGACAGAATGCAGCAGTGACCCAGCACTCCTTGTGAAGGCAGGCCCATCAGGGTGTGGTTGACAGGTGCCTCTGCCACTTAGTACCGGTGGGGTCGGGGCACGTTCCTCAGCTGTAAAGGTGGGAAAACAGTAGTACCTGCACTGGGGACTGTTGGAAAGACCAAATAAGTCAGTCTGTGTAAAGCTGGAATTTTTACCACAACATGTATGTCAATATTATTATTATTATTGTTGGTACTCCTAATATGGTTCTATTTGGGATTTTTCTCTGGGTTGCCAAGTTATTGCTGCCATTATTCCTATTAAAGAAAAGCAGGAGAAATGCACGATTTGAAAACAGAGGGAGAGAAAAGCCATGTGTGCATTCTCAGTATATGGCTAAGAAGTTCCCAAGGGAAGGCTAAGAAATCCATTTTAGCCCCTTCAGAGGCTGGGCCATGAAGAACAACATTGTGTTTCGATTTCAGGGTGCCGAGAGGGTGACGGCTTATATACCTGACGCGGTCTGGTATGATTATGAGACGGTAAGTAGCTCTGACTTCTCTTGAACTCCTCAGGACCTCAGCTGCATAGACAGGATGCTTCTCTAGAGAGAGGAACATCTATCCATGCAACAAGGAGTGTTTCTGCAGTGTCCTCTGTAGTTTCATAGCAGAACCAATAAAGTGAGCCTCAGTCACATAACAGCAGTCATGATGAAATCAGAAAAAAAGACTTTCATATCCTTTATTCAGAAATAGGAGAAAGACTCAAGTAGAATAGCTCATCAGCAAATATTGGCAGCCCCAGTGGACAATTTCAGCTGGTCAGGGGGCAAATTACTTGTTTAGAACTATCAGTTCATGTAATATATGTCAAACAGCCTCAGCATGGCATAAATTTCCCTCCGTACTCCCAAATCATGACAAAACCTATTGTGCTTAGCTTTTTTCTTTCTCTCTCTGGATTGCCTAACTAGATGGAAATTCAGCTAGGTGGAAAACAGACAGAGCCGTAGAGAGCTTGGCGTACGAATGGGAGGTAGAGGAGAACACGCGGCTGTGCCAATGTGTTTGATTTGTCTGTGTGCATCAGGGCGGCCAAGTGAGATGGAGGAAGCAGGAAGTGGAGATGGAACTTCCTGGAGACAAAATTGGACTTCACCTTCGAGGAGGCTACATCTTCCCTACCCAACAGCCGGCCACGACCACCGCGGCTAGGTACAGCATGGCTGGGGGCTTCCCCGACAGGAGAGACACAGGCTGGCCGTCTCTGTTCCCATCTGTTGCCCCTGCAGAAAGACCTGAAGCATCATGTGAAGTGTGGGGAGCAGGAGACTGGTGTGTGAGTGTGTGGGGTGTGCACGCACATGCATGTGTGGTCATTAAACTGTCCCCACACTCCTGCGATTTAGAGCTGCATCCAGATAGATTTTGAAAGACCTTAATCACTCTCTTCTGTAACTCACTGAATTTCTCCTCAAAACACCCTGACCACTAGGCTGGTCAACCTTCCTGGTTTCCCCAGGACCATTCCAATTTTAACCAAAAGTCTCATGTCTTGGGAAACCTCTCAGTTCCAGGCAGATGGGGTTTGTTGGTCACCCTACCTGCTTTGGTCAGACCATCTGTCCATCGCACTATGCTCTTGAATCATTCATTCTCATTCCTAGGGAGTGGGGGGTCCACTTTCCATGCCCCTATGATTTCTTTTTTTCCATTCCTTTCCTCTCCGTGATCAATTTCTTTCTCAAGGTGCAAAACGGAGTTTCAAAATTTACTTCTTCTTCGCTTCAAATCTCCCGCATATCACTGATTTCTCCTTTATGATTCTTTGATTCTGAAATTCTGGACTCCATCTATACTAAAGAGGTGTACATATATGCCTGTCTCTAAAAGTATGAGCTTATTTGGTTTTACTAGCCTGGGAGTGTTTTGGAGGTTAGAAACCTGTCTTTTCTTTTGAATCTTCCTTCCTTCCTTCCTACCATAATTTTTCAAATTGTAGACTTTTTATGATACTGATGGAAAAAACCTGTACTAATACCAGCTGGTTTCTTTTTCTCTGATTGTTCAGCTTCAGGCTGTCCTGCATACTGATACCCCAATTATCTTTCCAAAATGAAGATCTCCATATGTGACACCCCTGCTTGAAGTCTAGGCTATTTCATTAGGATGATGCTCAAGGCCAGTCAATCTGGTTCCAAGTTAACGGTTCTGTCACCTTAATACACACCTGTAGACCAGCCACACCATAATTTTTGCCATTCCCTAAACATACCCATCTATTTTGCTGCATTTAGGCTTCTGCACTTACTACCCTTTTCAACATCCTTTGCCTGGTGCATTCTTAGTGACCTTCCAAATTAATCTCAGATTTCATCTGCAGGAAATAGTCCCTACCTCTTCCAGCCAAGGGAGTACTGCCACTTCCAACTTTCTCGTCATTTTTTATGCTTTTTTGCTCTTCAGGTGATTTTTTTCCTTAACTCAATATTGGTAAGTATTTCAATCATAGTTATTTATACTCTGCATCTGAAAGTCTTACTATCTATAGTCCTGCAGGGAATCTAAAGCTACTCTTAGTTGTTTTGCCAACCTTCTTTCAAGCTTGTGTGTTTAGTAAGTATTTTGGTTTTCATGTGTAGTGATCTTAGGACCCAAATGCTGCTGTCATCTTGGGATCCTAGTAGCTGTCTCCAAGGAGCATGTATTGTAATTTATCTAGGATCATGTGCTTGAAGTGTTGTTCTGCACTTCTAAAGTATTTAACTTTTGTGTCACTCTTTATTTTCTGCTTTGTTTGGTGACTATGCTTAATCTTTCTTACAATGTTTAAGGTCATCAATGCACCTGTAATCTATTCATCTTTGTATCTTAAATATCCTAGCAACTGAGAGCTACTCAGTATATGTGTGTTAAATGAAAGCAGGTGATTTTGTTGAAAATGGAAGCTGACTTGCACGGACACAGTGGAAGGCTGTCCTGTGGAAGAATACAATATGAACATGAGGTCAGGGAGGGACAGACAGGAGCAGGGAATCGGTAGGAATTCTGCAGGAGTGGTAAAATAGAGATTCCAAATGCAATTGCTCTTTCTTTCCCTCTCTTTGTCTATGTCCATCTATTTCAGCATCTTTTTGACCAGTGTTTTGTGATTCCTATCCTAAATTATAAAACAGATAGAGTATTTAAATTTCTTTCTAAATGAGCTAATAATAAATAATCAAATTAGGAAAATTGCCATTATATAGCTAGATTTATTGCTCTCTGAGTCAAAATGGTTCTTAGGCAGGGAAAATTATACATCCCTCCAAGTTAATGCTTCTCCTGTGCATATCATCTCTAAAATGATTAGGCTGAACCAATTGTTGTCTAAGATTTCCTTGTCTTCTAATAGTCTGTATTCTAAATAATAGTTGAATAGTGATTCTGGTGCTTAAATTCTTACCTCCTGCATAGATGTTTATTGCTAGTGTTTTGGGTATTTCTGCCTCCTGTGACATTACTAGTTCTAGAGAAAGATGTGCCTGTTAATTTTGTCCTTGTACTCGGAGAGAAGCAGATCCATCTGCTGCTGGTAACCTTTCCCATTTGAATCTGATGGAAACATTCCCAGCTCATTTGGCAAAATTCTTTTGAGTCCTAAGTCGTCTCTTACATCAATCTTGTCTTCCACAGTCGACAGAACCCTCTCGGTCTTATCATTGCCCTGGATGATAACAAAGAAGCAAAAGGCGAACTTTTCTGGGATGACGGGGAAACACAAGGTGTGTACTGTTAAGACAATGTTGCCATTTCCTGACCTGCGTCTTGGAGTTGCTCCTGGTGATCATTACGCTGTGGGAGAAATCTCACCAGGCACAGTAGCTTCAGTTGCTCCAGAGAAGAACTTTGGTTTTGGTTACTCTGTGCAGGGGTGGGGTAGATGGGCCACAGATGGAAGGAATATACATTCTACCGCTAGAATTCTCCCACTGGCCAGCATACATGTAGGCTCTCATTTTATTGTCAATGGGCACCTGAAAGATGTTTTCAAGACTGTTCCTGCCCTTCAGTGTAGGTATTTTCCCTCAGAATACTTCTGAACAAACGCTGATGATGTGAGAAACACCCATGCCAGTGGGACGTGCTTGTATCCGGCCATGTACGTTTTTCTAGCTCCAGTATACTGACAGCTCTTATGGCTTCAGCTCAAGAAATAGATGCAGTTGAGATATATGCCTTGGAAGCACTTGGCAGGGAACATTTTCAAGGTTAAGGTTGAAAGCAAGAGGGAAATCAGGTTTGCTCTTGAACACTTTGTCTATAATCTTGTCAATCTCAAGATATAGCTTCAAAGACAACTGGGATGACACCTGTTCTTCTCTGGTGAGCAGGCCAGGGTCTGACTCATCTTTCTCTCACTTTCAGATACTGTGGCCAATAAAGTTTATCTCTTATGTGAGTTTTCTGTCTCCCAAGTGAGTAGAATATTTTTATGAATCTTAGGTGTGGGCTTTTGTCCGACCATTAGTTCACTTGTATTTGGCTATGTGTGTAATTATGTTTGTAGTTTCATGTGCATTAATGACTATAGGTGAACACATTTCAATTTATGAACTAAGTCCCAATAACTGAATTATTTATGTTAGTAAAAAGAGTCAGTGATATGGATGAATCAAAGCAATCTTTTTAAGTGCATTTAAAAAAAATGTCTGTGTCTCGCTCTGGCTCAGGAGAGTATTAAAATAAGTTAGTGCTCCTTGAGCATGCATTAGTAGAGAAAGTTAAAAGGCGTTCAGAGCAGTTTGGGGTATCTGGTCTAGGATGGATTATTTGAGTGATTTGAGAATCTGCATATTATAGGCAGACTTTTGTGCTTAATTGTTTTGCAGAACCGCTTGGATGTGAAGATTTTGCAATCAACCTACAAAGATCCCAATAATTTAGTATTTAAAGAGATTAAAATCCTTGGTACACAGGAACCCCACAGCATTACAGTGAAACACAATGGCGTCCCGAGTCAGATCTCTCCTAATGTCATTTATGATCCTAACCTACAGGTAAAAATCTACTTTGTCAAAGCTAGATAGAATTCTTTCTAGCTTATGGCATTCCTCCTTGCCAAGGTTGCCTGTGTTCCAGAAGGACCAGAGCATGCTCTGGGGCCTGGGGTGGGGGAATCAGAGGGTTAAGAGACAAAAAGTGAGGCATGAATGAGCCAGGCAGCTGCTGAGAAACGGGCCTAAGAGAATGGGCTTCTCGTTCCTAGGCCCTTATCTGTCCCTCAGTCTTCTCTTCCCTCCTACTGGGGCAGAAGACGAGCCAAGTTAAGAACGTGGGGAGCAGGGTTAGAGGAAGAGTGGGCCTGCCAGCTGCCGGCTGATGCTAGGAAGGGAAAAGGTGCAGGTGGGCTCTCCATTCATTACACTTCTGAAGTGCATTTTTTCCCCTGTTTTAAGGTACATAGACTCCCTCCAAAACACACACTTTTAAGAAATACTGGAAGTCAAAGGATTTGATGAGCCTAGCTAATGGCTACTTATTTGGCTAGATAATGAAAATAAAATAGTTTTCATTCACTGGAGTGAGGCCTCATGCTCTTGAACAGGTTTAATCAGTTCCTCTGTTCTCCTCCCATTCTGAGGAAGCTTTTCCCCAAATATTTCTTACTCAGGTACTCCAGGTGACCTGGGACTGGGCACCACTGGGTCCCATGGTTTGTGAGAGACCTTCTGAATTTGGAGAAAATAAGGAAATTTAGTCTTCTACCATAACGATACATTAGTGACATTTGACTTGTCTCTTACAACATATACTGAGGATGCATACATTATAAAGTCAGGGATAAAGTATCATATGGTTGGTTATGTGTATGGCAAAGTGCAAGCCATCTGAAGGGTACATGTATGAAAACAAACTCAGTAAATGTTTGTTAAGTAAATTGCTGTAAGAACAAAGGAACTCTTATTTTTTATTACTGTTTCTTTTTTGTTGATTGAGGTATAGTTGGTACATAATATTATATTGGTTTCATATATACAACCAATGATTTGACAGTCTTCTACATTATTCAGTGCTTACCCCAACTAGAATAGTTTTGTCAGTCTGTCAACATATCACAGTATCATCGACCATAATATGCTCTACCTTCATCCCCATGACTACAGTTTGGGTGGTGGGGTGACACAGTTTATACACAGGAAACTACTGGGAAGGGGACAGGAACCCAAACTAGCATATAGGGAATGTCAGTTTATATTGTCCCTCACCTAATGTTCAAGCTTGATGGGGGAGTTGAGCGAAGTCCTTGGAGAAGTCAGAGTCAGCTCTCTTCCTGTAAACTCGGGGCGGTGTTCCTTGGGTTGTTGAAAGTCTGGTCTGATTTCTATTCCCTTTCCTAACAGAAGTCTCAGATCTTATAAGGCCTTTATCCCAAGGCTAAATTTCCTCATCACTTGCTCATTCCTACAGGTTGCCCTTATCACAGATATTAATCTTGTCCTGGGAGAAGCCTACACGGTGGAGTGGGGTCTGAAGATAAGGGATGCAGAAAAAATAGACTGCTATCCTGATGAGGATGGTGCTTCTGAACAAAACTGCAGAGCCCGTGGCTGTGCCTGGGAGGTAACAGTGCCAGTGCCCATTAAAGCCCTCTCAGCTTAGTCTGTAATCTCATGAGCATAGCACCAGTGACTGCGTCACTGTTTAAAATCCATGGAAGGGAAGGGCTTCCGGAGGAACCTGGGTTTTCATCTGGATGTAAAGAAAGCATAGACACAAGAGCAGTGCCTTTTTATTTTGCAAGGACACCAGGAATTTAAACTTATGTCACCATCAAAGGGCATATAAACAAAGAGTGCTGGTCTGGCGTTATCTCCCTGTGAGCTGCCTTTGCTAGCCCCTTTACACTTGGCGACCCCACGGCCACATGCTGAGCTGATTTCGACTTTACTTTTCAGGCGTCCAGTGTTCCTGGAGTCCCTTTTTGTTATTTCGTCAACGATCTGTACTCTGTCAGTGATGTTCAGTATGACTCGCATGGGGCCACAGCTGTCATCACCTCAAAGTCTTCCCTTTATGCTTTTCCCTCAACACCCGTGAACTCCCTGCAGCTGAAGGTGACCTACCATAAGAACACCATGCTGCAGTTTAAGGTATGTGTTCACCGCACATGTATCAAGTATTAACTGGGCACTCCTCAGTTCCATCATGTTTTGCTAGCCGAGTTTACAGAACCTGAAATTAAGTTTGCTCTTCTAAGTTAACCATGTTCTGATATACTAGGTCATTATCCTAGTTGCAAAAGAGAAGGACACCCCTGACGGATCAGTGGACCTACTCTAATTGTCATTTTGAAAAAGATGATTGTGTCTACTGTAAGGAAAATGATTGGGAGGACAAGAATGAGAAAGGAGAGACATGCTAGGAGGCTACCGTCCCATGTGAGGGAGTGAGCTTAGACCAGGCACAGGAAAGCGCAGGCAACAGCAGACACTGAGGAGGCAGGATTCCAGGGTCCGGTGATGACTGCAGTTAGGTGATGAGGAGCCGGAAGCATCAAGAAGGATTGCTTGTGTCTCTACGTGGATGATGGTGACAGTAACTAGGAACATAGAAAGGTTTGGTCTTGGGCAAAATGACATGACGAGCTCAACTTTGGACACTGAATATAGGATATCTGTGAAATAGCCATAAGAGTGTAGTGATTACTTTCCTTTTTATGATTTAACTACATGTAAGGACTAGGATGGCTATTCTTATGTCTGTTCCCCTACTACATTTAAAGTTTCTCAAAGACAGGAATTTGTTCTTACATCTTTGTGTCTCTGAAATCTGGTAGATATAGATAGTTAGCACTCAGATGTTTATTGAGAGAATAAATGAAAGACATTAGGCATTGCCTAGAATGTTCTTCACAATCTGATTACCTACCTGAACAATGAATTCTTCTAATACGGGGATGATGTTCTTTTATATTTCTGTCCTTACGATAGCATGGCTAAGTGGTAGGTACCTAGTGAGTCTGAAATAAATGAAGTGGCTTGGGGTTCTTACTTTACCTTCTGATCATATAGTACCTCTTTCCAAAATATTTGCTTCTTTCCGATACTGCTTTAATACTCTGTGCCTTTCCATTTATTTCTCTACTAGGAATGGCTTGATTTCCTTTCTAAGCCTGGTTAATGGCTGCAAAGCTTTTAAGACTCAGCCTGTATTTTTCCCATGCAACCATCTCAATCTTCCAGAATTACCATTAGGCGTTCCCTTCTCTGCACTCTCACAACACTTCTGTATAGCTCTGCATTTACACCTTTCATCACCCAGATTTTGTAGGTACGTCTCTTTCACCTCCCCATTAGCTTGTGAATTTCTTAAAAACAATAATCATGTCTTATTCAGTCTAGCATTTAGTATGGTGTCAGTATCAGGCTGGGAAACAATATGTCCTGTAGACAGAGAAATGTAGATTCAGACTCTTTGTGAAAGGCATCAAGGTTCTGGCCAAGAGTATAGGTTTCAAGAGTCTTATGCTTTCCCTAAATTTTTCCCTTCATCCTAGATTTATGATCCAAATAGCAATCGGTATGAAGTCCCAGTCCCTCTCAACACACCCGTGGTTCCATCCAGCACCTCTGAGAGTCAACTTTATGATGTCCTCATTAAGAGTAATCCATTTGGGATTGAAATTCGTCGTAAGAGTACAAACACTGTAATGTAAGTGCTCCTAGACTGATTTGGAGTTATGGTTACCTGTACATTCATTGCCTGGCTCATCGTCCTTGGAGATATCCTGGCTCAAAGCATCTCCAGATTCATGAATAAGTTTTTTCCTTTGGGTCCATTCTTTTGAGAAATTTTCAGTCCCCTGACAATAATTATTGAAGCAGTTGCATGTATTTAGGGAATTTATTCAACAAACGTTTATGGAAGGCTTTCTCTGTATTAGGTGGTAATAGAGATGAGGTCTCTCTTCTCATGATAGGGAAAAGAACAGGGTAATTCAAGAGTTATGGGGTGGTTACTGCTTTTGATACTGTGGTCAGAATAGGCTTCTTAGAGAAGGTAACATTTGAAACAGGACCTGGTGAGAAGGAAACACTGTGGGGAGATCTGGGGGGAGGGGCAGGACATTTCATACAGATGGAATAACAAGTGCACAGGCCCTGAAACAGGAGCAGATTTGTAATATTAAGGGGGGAAAATGTCCAGTGTGGTTGGAGCAACATAGAAAGTAAGGAGGTGGGTGGAGGGAGATGAAGCTGGGGCTTAGGTGGGCTTCAGATCAGGAATGGCCTTGCAGGCTTCATAAGATGTTTTAATGAGAAATCACTGAAGAGTTGTAAACAAAGGAGTGACACGAAGTGAGATACTTCTAAAAATGTCACTCTGGATGCTGTGTAGCACATGGACTGTCAGCAGCAAGAGCAGAAGCCAGGGCTGGTGTGCGCCCGCAGCAGCCGAGACCGTGAGAAGTGAGATCGGCATTCTAGAGGGAGACCTAGGAGGGGCAGTGATAGAGGGAAATAGAAGAATGAAGGCTGCCTCCTGTGCCTTTAACAAGGACATCTATGATGATTTCAGTCAGCTAGACTGTGATTTGTTTGGGAGGTTGACAGGGTCCTGGGTGGAGAGACGGTATCAAGAGTTCTGTTGTTCTTGAAAAGCCAGCTCCTTGAAGCCAAGAGGGTAGCCCGTTTCTTTTCTAACACACCCTTTTGTTGCAGCTGGGACTCTCAGCTCCTTGGCTTCACCTTCAATGACATGTTCATCCGCATCTCCACTCGCCTTCCCTCCCAGTACATCTATGGCTTTGGGGAGACTGAGCACACAGCGTTTCGGAGAGACTTGAACTGGCACACGTGGGGCATGTTTTCCCGAGACCAGCCACCAGGGGTAAGGGCAGAGCATTCGGGATTTGTGTCTCGGCTTCTCTCCACCCACTGTGTATGCTTCACGCTTCACCTTCCCACACTCATTCCGGATGGTCGTTCTGCATTTAGACAAGTGGGCCAATGCTCAGTCTCCTTTGCTGTCCAGGCATTTAGCTTATTTCATAGAGAAAACTAGACACACCTTATCATTTTGTGTTGAATTTCTTTCTCAGCTACAGTGTCTTTTAACCTCCTGCCGCTTCTCCCCCATGACTCTCCCAGTACAAGAAGAACTCCTATGGCGTCCACCCCTACTACATGGGCCTGGAGGAGGACGGCAGTGCCCACGGAGTGCTCCTGCTGAACAGCAATGCCATGGGTAAGACGGCGCCAGCATCTCCACTTAGTTTTGTGAACCAGTCATTCTTGAGTAACTGAGACTGTCTGACATAGCTGTCCCTGGAAGTCAAAACTCATTATCTTATAGACAGTTTCTTTTTTTTCCATTTAGCCTTTCCATTTATTTAAGTTCAGTAACATGTGGTAACAAGAACTAACTCTTATTTGCCAAAAGTAATGTAACAAGGGTTAGCAAAACCAAGCAAGTCCCTAATATCCCGGAGGTCAGTGAGTGGGAGTCATCTACATCATGTGAGTTAGTGGTGAAGCTGGGGGTGAGAGGGCTCGCTCTGAGGGCATGATACTGGCGCAGGGGTGGAAAATCAGGAGGGGGAGAAAGCATCACATAAAAATGGGTAGAATCTGACTAATAGTATTACATTGATGTCAGTTGCCTGCTGATGATGATGGGCAATGATTGTACAGGGCGTTATCATTGGGGGAAGAATACAAGAGAACTCTCACTGCTATTTGGTAATTTCTTGTAGGTCTTAAACTATTCTAAAATGAAAGTTATAATAATTTAAAAAGAACAGAGTGACAAAACCTGTAGTAAGATAATAAAGCAGCCCAAAGGGAAAACAGTCCAGGGGTGGGGCCCTATTGACTTTCACCTGACTTCTTTGATTCTGTGTAGGTACAGGGAAAATACGTGCTCTTAATACTCTACAGCAGGGAGGCATAGGAAAAGGGAGAAAGTGTGAATTTCAGGGGTAATTTCTCACCTTGAGGGTTTCCAGCTTGATTAGTATTTTCCGATATTTTCAGATGTGACGTTCCAGCCCCTGCCTGCATTGACATACCGTACCATAGGAGGAATTCTGGACTTTTATGTGTTCTTGGGGCCAACTCCAGAGCTTGTCACTCAGCAGTACACAGAGGTAGGAGAGAATTCAATTGGTCATCAAATATTGACACAGTATAGCCTGAGTGCCAAATCTGCATTCACTAGTATAGCTCTCAGATGATAACTGGAATTGCTGGTCTTTCTGGGAGACAGGTAGATTATAAAATAAGGAGAAAAAATGTATCCTAATAACCATTAAATGTGTAGCCTTTCCAAGCACTGTGAAGTAGCAGAAATAGTAGTGGTACTAGTTGCCTTTGGCAATGGTGGTGGTAGGGGTGGTGGTAGGGGTGACAGCAATGTAGTGATGGAGGTAGTGGAGAGGTAATGGTGTTGCAGGTAGTGGTAAGGGTACTGTAGTAGTGGTTATGATGGCGGCAGTAGTGGAGTGATGGTGACGGTGATGGTGGTGGTAATGGAGATTGTGGTGGTGATGGTGGTAGTGATGGTGGTGGTGATGGTGGTAGTGATAGAGATCATGGTGGTGATAGTGGTGGTGGTGGCGGCGATGGAGACTGTGATGGGTGGTGGTGGTGGTGTAATGGTATTGTTGGTGGTGGGAGAGGTGATGGTGTTCACAGTGGTCATGACAGTTGTAGCTTTGAAGCAACCAACGTGTATAAAACTTGATGTTACTGATCTATTATCTATGGATGTCAGAGTACTTTACATATAGTAACTCATCCAGTCCTCACAAACACTACGAAGCAAATATTATTATTATCCCCCAATATAGTAGTGAAGAATCTTAATACCCAAGAGGTCACTTAACTTTTGCCCATAGTTGCATAGCCAGCAGGGATTGGAGGCTGTGTGGTTACCTGGGCATTTTTCCCCTGGATTCTGTACTCTTCACAAGCTGGACTGCCTCTCAAATCAGTAAAATTAGATTTCCCAGAATTCCTAGGGGGTAGGTCAGGGCTGGCAGGAAGCTGTCTTCAGGTTATTGCCAGGGACTTTGCATCCTCTTAGTTTCTTTCCGGATTTGAGTTTGTTGATAATCTAACTTGTGACACTGGAAAAATATTCTTACTACTGTGTGTACAACTTCAATCCAGATTCTTCTTTTTAAAGACCAGTTTTTCTGTCTGTTTTCTAGTTGATTGGTCGGCCAGTGATGGTTCCTTACTGGGCCTTGGGGTTTCATCTGTGTCGCTATGGATACCAGAACGACTCTGAGATTGCCAGCTTGTACGAGGAGATGGTGGCTGCCCAGGTTCCCTATGTACGTTCTCCGTCTGTGGTGTTCTGGCTGTGGGACCTCATGACCAACATCAGTTGTTGGATTACTTTGATTTTTGTGGGGTTCTATAAAGTTACAAAGTGCTTTCTCATGCAATATCATGCTAAGCCTCATCCCAACCCAGTGATGTTATTAGGTGGGGTTATTGTTCCCATCTTGAAGAATCACAGCGATTTGCCAAAGGAAGAGGACACACGGTCAGTTCCAGAGTTCTTTCTGCTATATTATGCTTCTGTTTCTTTTATATGAATTCCAAATATTAGTCAAAAACATTCTTGATATCATAAGAATAAAGGTTGCCCAAAGAGTAGTTTTGCTTTGGGGTTTGCAGTAGGGTGCTCCCCTAGCTTTGAGCCAGTCCCCAGTCAGTGTAGGGATCTTGGGGGCTCTTCCCAGAGGAAATACATTTGGAGAAAAACGCTGTCCTTCCAGTGAGGAGAAGAGGAGTCCAATAATGATCCCATTAAGCCACTTACATGTTAATTTGTATTCTGCGTATTTTGCTATTAATGGAAAGTATAGCATGCAGTATTTCATTCTGAATAACAAAGCTGCATCTAATAAGCCCCCGACTGGACATTCCAAAGCAATCACAGTGCCGCTGTTGTTTTCTCTTGGGAGAAGGAACTACAATCACTACTTATAGTGGGTGTTTACAAAGCACTTGCTCATCTGCTGTTTCCATTTATCCTCACAACAGCCCTGTTGAATAATCAAATTTAAGGATGCTACTAAATAAGCTACTAAAAAACCTAAATGTTTTTTTTCTGTTTTGTGACTGAACATTCTAAAATTTCTCAGAACCTAGTACCTAAACAAATGACAGAGCTGGGATTCGAGTCAAAAAGAAGCCCTCTGAAATCCACTCTCCGTTAGCGGAGGGTTGTGCCCGTCCAGAATCTAGATTTCACGAGCACCAGCCTCTCCGTTTCCTTGTGTGCTTCCCCAGGATGTGCAGTACTCAGACATCGACTACATGGAGCGGCAGCTGGACTTCACACTCAACCCCAGGTTTGCTGGATTTCCAGCTCTGATCACTCGCATGAAGGCAGACGGGCTGCGGGTCGTCCTCATTCTGGTTAGTGCCCATGTGGAGGGAGGGTTCCCACGTCTGGAACACTCCTCCATGTTTGGGAAGGTGGGTAGGCTGTGGTGGAAAAGGCTTTACGTTGTTTGCACTCATGTGACCAGCAAAGAAGCTGATATTTAATGAGTGTATTTCCCAGGATTCCCGGAAGCTCTACAGTGCGAGTGGAAGCTGGTACCTTCCCTTCTGAAGAGTTCTCCTTTCCGTCCTAAGTCGTTCCCTGGCTTTGATTTTCTCACCTGACCTGTGCTTTGATTGCAGGACCCAGCCATTTCTGGCAATGAAACAAAGCCCTATCCTGCATTCACTCGGGGTGTGGAGGATGACGTCTTCATCAAAGACCCAAATGGGGGAGGCATTGTCTGGGGAAAGGTATGGTTGGAGCAGTGACTCGCTCATTTCCACCTGGGGGTGGGGACCTGTTAGGCATGTAGGTTTCTTTTGGTCTTTTCCACTTGGGCTTTGAGGTTAGAAGTTCTTGTTTTCTTAATCAGTAGTTGTCAACACAGGACGTTTTAAGGAATGTTACGTGCATCATGCAATCCACTTTTCTCTAGATCGATGCTACATGAAAACCGAAATGTTATCACCCCTAACACCAGGTTTATAGTTTCTTAGGAAATACTATGTAAGAGAAATTATCTAGGGCTTCACTTTTGAACGTTTTTCTCTCCACAGGTCTGGCCTGATTTTCCTAATGTCATTATAAATGCATCTCTAGACTGGGAAAGTCAAGTGGAGGTAAAGGGCCCTTTCTGGATGTTGGGTAAGGTCAGGGTTGCCATGAAGGTGCAGCCGTACTCAGGACTGGACATCCCCATGTGGTGGGCATGGGCGTGGTGAGGAAATACATCGAGGAACATGTCCTGTGGGTCCATCTCTGTGCCCCTTACTTTACATGTAGTATTTTAACTCCCATTTGGAAGGTAGGTATTATTGTTATCCTCAGCATAACTAGGATTCATAGAGCTCGAATTACTTGTGCATGTTTTAGGTAACAGGGTGGTGGTTTCAAGTCCAAGGCTGTCATAGTCCAAAAGCCCTTGACATTTCCACCCTTGAGAAATAATATGTTTTCCCTGAATTCATGTATTTGTTGTTGCCTCTGTTAGTGGTGCCTTGAGTATCTCATTTAACAGAGTCTCCAGCCACTGCCTTTGGTTATTGGATCTTCTTCTCTGTGCCTCTGATCTTCACGCACAGGCTTCTCCCTCCTGGCTCTTGCAGTTCTCTCCCATCCTGCCTTGGGTCTCTCACCTTTGCTTTTACCTCCCAGTTTCCAGCCTTATGTTAAAACTTACCCTCTTCTCGGAACAAGCTCTTATTTGTAATGGCTCTCAGATAAAATTCCAGGGAGAGGACCCAGTGTTCCCCTCTCCCTGTTGCTTCTCACAAAAGCTCACTTTCAGTCTGGTGGTCCAGGGAACCCACGTGGACACAGAAATCTGCCAGGCCAGAGATGTTCAGGGTCATGGACTCCTGGACTTGTATTTATTTGGGTTTTTTTTTTTAGTATTTTTTCCCAGCTTAATTAAAGTACAATTGTCAAATAAAATTGTATATATTTAAAGTATACAATGTGATTGGATATACATAAATATTGTGAAATGATTACCACTATCAGGCTAATTAATACATCCATCACCTCACACGCTTACCACTTGTGTGTGGTGTGGGGGGCATGGTGAGAATCCTTAAGATATGCTCTTTTAGCAACTCTTAAGTATACAATTCACTATTATTAGCTACAGTCACCATGCTGTACATAGATCTCCAGAATGTATTCACCTAACAAATGAAGCTTATACCCTTTTACCAGCATTTCCCCATTTTCCTCACCCCACTGCCCCCTGCTAACCGCCACTCCACTGTCTGTTTCTATGAATTCAACTCTTTTTAGATTCCATGTATAAGTGAGATCATACATATTTGTCTTTCTCTGCCTGGCTTATTTCACTTAGCATAATACCCTCTAGTTTCATCCATGTTGTCACAAATGGCAAGCTTTCCTTCTTTCTCATGGCTGAGTAATACTCACTGTATGTAGTATATGCCACCCTGTCTTTATCCATTCATCTGTTGGTGGAAACTTAGGTTGTTTCCACATCTTGGCTACTGTGAATTATGCTGCAGTGAACATGGGAGTGCAGATCTCTCTTCCAGACAGGATTCAATTTACTTCAGGATATAAATACCCAGAAATGGGATTCCTGGGTTATATGGTGACTCTACTTTAAATTTTTTGGGAAACCTCCATACTATTTTCCATAATGGCTGTACCAGCTGATATTCCCACCAACAGTGTACAGGGGGTCTTTTTTCTCCACATCCTCACCAATACTTGTTATCTCTTGTCTTTTTGATAAAAGCCATCCTAACCGGTGTGAGATGATTATATCATTGTGACTTTGATTGGCATTTCTCTGATGGTTAGTAATGCTAAGCATCTACCTGTTGGCCTTTGTTTGTGTTTGGAAAATGTCTAGTCAGGTCCTTTGTCCATTTTTTAATCAGTTTGAGTTCTTTGCTATGTGTTGAGTTACGTGTTTTTGGATATTCACCTTATATATTTTAGATATTAACCCTTTATCAGATAAATGGTTTGCAAATATTTTCTCCCATTCTATAACTTGCCTTTTTATTTTGTTGGTTGTTTCCTAAAAATCAAGCTTTTTAGTTTGATACAGTCCCACTTGTTTATTTTTCCCACTTGTTTTTGTTGCTTGTGCTTTTGGTATCATATCCAAAAAATCATTTGCAAGATTAATGGCAAGGAGCTTTTCCCTTATGTTTTCTACTAGGATTTTTGTGGTTGAAGGTCTTACATTTAAGTATTTGATTCATTTTGATATTGTTTTTGTGAGTGGTATAAAACAGGGGTCCAGTTTTATTCTTTCACATGTGGGTATCCAGTTTTTTTCAGCACCATTTATTGAAGAGACTAACATGTTCTTGGTGCCCTTATTAAAGATTAATTGATCGTGTATGTGTGGATTTATTGCTGGGATTTCTTTTTCATTGGTCTATGTATCTGTTTTTATGCCAGTACTCTAACTTTTAAATCATTGTGCTGTGAAAGGTGGTGGTGTGTGGAGGGGTCACATCAGCAATCAAGAGGTTGGCTGCCACTATGTGAGCCCTGCAGTTTATCAGCCATTAGGAGCAATACCGCCACCGTGCGGGCATTTGGAAATCTGTGGGACAGTTTTGGTTATCACAAGGGGACACCAAATGGCATTTAGTGTGCAGGGACCAAGGAAGACCTTAGTTCTGATTGCAAAGGGTTTCCCACCAAGAATTCTCTTGCCCCAAATGCCAACTGTGCCCCTGATTAGAAGCGCTTCTTTAGGGTATCATAATATCTAGTAGGTAGCACCTAAGACATGCTCAATACATGGAATATAACTATATTAGTAAGAACCAGTTGATGAAGCTGGTGGGATGAAGCTAGTGATATGTAGGTCTGGCCTGGCTGAGGGAGTTTTTAAATCAAACAGAACACAGCAGGAAGCCTATAAAAAAGATTTCTGAGTCTGAAACTCAGAGGTTTAATTCAGTAAGTCTGGGATAGGATATAGGAATTGCATTTTGGTGGTACACGATGGACTGGGATAAGTGGTCCTTACATGCACACATGCAGGTGGTACATCACACTGAGGAGCAGGGAAAGTGAGGCAGAGGCAATAAGGCAAGAGCTGAATACAGACAGGAGTGAGGCAGAGCCGGCACCCTGGGGAATGGCAGAGCATCTTTTATTTCATGGATAATCAGAGCACATTTCAGTAAGATGAATAAGTCAAAGTTGGTCAAATTTCTCACTTGCTCGCATATAGGATTCAGTTACGACTCAGACACGGCAGGAACTGACTGTTTATTCTAATCCTGTCTCCCTCCTCTCCCTGACTGAGCCGGAGCTCTCTGCTTCTGATGAAAGGCTCTCTTCTTCTGGTTCCATGTTTCTACCTCTATTGTCCTAACAAAAAGACTCCCTGGCATGCCTCCCTTTCACGAGAATCTCAGTGATACTGGTTCCATGTTTCTACCTCTATTGTCCTAACAAAAAGACTCCCTGGCATGCCTCCCTTTCACGAGAATCTCAGTGATGGCATCCACTGCCCTCTCCGGGCTCTGCTCCAGTTCCCTGCATTCTGATCCATTTCTGTTTTCTTCTTTGTGCTCATTTTGCCTTTCATCTGGACATATACGTTCCTACTTGCCTTCTGTCTATTGTGCGTAAGAACTGGAAGTTCCCTAGACCAAGTTCTCTTCCTGTTGTTCTGCCCTGCCCTTGCCACCAGCATTACTTAGCCCTTTACTCCTGGAAGGCACTGATGACATAGAGGTGCCTGCTTACTGAGGCACACAAAGGACCGCAAAGTTCCACAGCAAGCAGCATGGGCTGTATAGAAATTTTTGAGTATTTGCTGCTGCTAAGTGGTGTGAATTCACAATCACGCACTGAGAATTTCGGTCAGTTTCTAAGCTGGGGGGGAATATAAAGACTAACCAGAATATAAAACACAGCCCTTGTTCTCAAAAAGTTTACAATACAGTTAAGCTCTGATTCTACTTTCCAGGTCAAAATAAAGAAATATCTTTTATTATTTGAGGCAGAAAGAGAGGAAGAGTTGAAATTCCTCTTTAAGTCCTCCCAATTGACTTGACGTCTAACTGTAGTTTTCAAGTCATTCTGATACTATAGAAAACACAGATGCATCCTAGTTAGACAGTCTAATATAATAAAATGCAGCCCTACCTCTCTCCTCCTTTCCCCAGTGGGAATGAGACAGGTGATCCCCTGGCTGTTTCTTTCCTGTCTGTTGACTGCATCACCCAACTGATGACGTCAGTCCTTTCAGGCTGCAGCCTCCCCTGGCTCATGCTTTGTCTTTGAGGAGTGCTTAGGGAATTGCAGGACAGATGTTGAAGTCTGGGCATCTAATACATGAGATAGTGACGTTAGGGTGTTGATTGCTACCTTTCATGTTGATAAAATTGGAAAACAGTCCATGGATGCTTTCCAAATGCTAAGAAGTCGTCTGATTTGTGCTAGTATCTCTTGTGTGCTCATTGCATTTTGAATAAGCCAAGAAAGAGTATTACTTAGGCTCTGTTTGCATTGTCTGTCACCAAGTAGGCCAGGGTTTTGCATGCCTAGAAATGCCAGGAAATGCCTGTTTGCTGGTTAATAGGTTTGTTTGGAACAAATAAATTATATTTGATTTTTACAGCAATACCGAGCTTATGTGGCCTTCCCAGACTTTTTCCGTAATTCAACTGCCACATGGTGGAAGAGGGAGTTGAAGGAACTATACACCAATCCACGAAATCCAGAGAAGAGCTTGAAGTTCGATGGCATATGGATTGTAAGTGTGGGTGTGTCTGTGTGTACATGGATAGGTGTGCAATTTCTCCAGTCAGGAATGCAACATCTCTGATATTCCTCACACCTTGTACCTTGCTTGAAGTTTCTGCAATAAAACTTCCAAGGTGATTACTAGGGATTCCTTGGAGTTGAGTTTTGCCTCACACCTTGAGGGAGAATTTTATAAAACTGTCTAGTCAGTCATTCTGTAGGGTTTAATTGATCTGTCTCGTCAGTTCTCAACTGGATTGGATGAGTCCCCATGGCCAATCTCTGTGGGGTTGCTGGGTGGCAAATGATTCATTCACAACTTCCTTGTCTTTGAATTGACAGGATGTAGTTATTTTTAAAAGTCAGATGAATCTGTGTTTTCATTTCTAGGATATGAATGAACCAGCGAGCTTTGTGAATGGGGCAGTTCCTCCAGGCTGCAGGAGTTCCTTTCTGAATCACCCTCCCTATATGCCGCGTAAGTATCCTTGGCCCTGTCTGCTGGCCAGACCAGGGCCTCGAGGAGTGAGCCTGCACAAGCCCAGTCGCCAGGGGCTTAGCCTGACTGCTCAGGGCATGTCCTCAATGCTGCTGTGGTTTTGGGGGAGCCAGAGACAAACGCTCTTTAAGCGCTTGACCCAGTTGGGTGTACGCAAGTTACTGGCAACAGTGGGTGAATTTCTCAAATAGGTTCAGAAAACACTTAACAGTGATAATGTCTCCAAAAGCTTCTACAGCTAAGTTTCTAACTTCTTCAGGCTTATGTAAATTCCACCCCCCAGGTATTTGTGGTGCCACCAGAAGGGGGACAGTAGTGGCTTACCATATCATGGGGTCGATAGACTTTGGCATTATATTTTTGTTCATATCTAAGCTCCAGAAATTATACTCTCTGTGACTTGTGTGACCTTCAACAGATTAATTGATGTTTCCAAATCTCAGTTTTTTTAACTGTAAAAAGGGGATAATGATATCTTCTTTATAGAGTTATGATAAGAATTACATGAAATCATCTGCATGTTAAAAGCCTAGATTGGAGCCTGTCACATAGTGGTTGACAGCTGTGTGTTCCTGCCCAGCCCCTGCCTCCCCCTGGAGAACCCTCCTGAGTACTTGCTGTTGGAAACACCTGGGGATGTCATTGCGGCTCAAAGCTGTGCACCATTCCATACCCTTGGGAAGGAGAGGGACCCCTGCAGGGGTCAAGTTCATCTTAAAATTCAGAGTCTAAACCCTTGAGAAGGGTCAGGGAGCCACAGGATCAGGGCTGACCTTCACATCCCTAGATCTTTCTCTTCAGATTTGGAGTCCAGGGACAGGGGCCTGAGCAGCAAGACCCTGTGCATGGAGAGTCAGCAGGTCCTGCCAGACGGCTCCCTGGTGCGGCACTACGACGTGCACAACCTGTACGGCTGGTCCCAGACCAGACCCACATACGAGTGAGTTGCCATTTCCCTTCTCCAGTTGGCACAACTGGCAGGGAAAGCCAGTGACTGATGAGGCCACCCTCCTTTTCCTTACACTCCCTTTGTAAGGGTTAAGAAGATTTTAATTACCATTATGTCATAATTCTCATTTATTAAATAAACACTCATAGTACGGAGCCCGGCCCTGCACTCACAGTCAGGGATACAGATTTAAAGAAGGCAAGGTTCTGCCAGTGAGAGACCAGTCATCCTCATCGGCAAGACCCACAGGGAGACGTGGGCAATTATCAACGGTGCTACCGAGGCTATAATAACCAATTATAAGAGGCACAGGGAACCGAGAGGACCGGATATCTCTCTTTCGTTATTTCAAAAGTAGCTCATCTCTGTTGGGATTTTTTTTGGGGGGGGTGGGGGGTCATTCTTGTCGGATAGCCAACTGATGTCCTACTGAATCAGCACTGTCCCATTTTGTGAGCTCAGTCAATGAGTAGGAATTACCCTGAGGAACGCCATATGGAGGGATTTACCTTCTTCCTCTCCAAATTCATAGCACTAAGTATGGAGTAAATAGTAAAATTTAGGGATTATTCATTGTTTTTAGGTGCTCTAGTAAGTTTAGCACATGGTGAAGTTCTTATAAAACATTATGAAACATTACATTAAGGCACAACTCTTATTATCTGCATCATCTGGAGTCAGTGGGGACCTCATTATGGAGGAAACAGTCTGTGACCACACACTAGACTTAGCAGCTCTGTGGCCTCTCCTCCTGTGACCTGCCCTCCATCACCTCCTTGTTCCCCCCAACCAGAGCTGTGCAGGAGGTGACAGGCCAGCGAGGGATCGTCATCACGCGCTCCACGTTCCCCTCTTCTGGCCGCTGGGCTGGACACTGGCTGGGAGACAATACGGCCGCCTGGGACCAGCTTAAGAAATCCGTCATCGGTGTGCGGGCTTAGCCCAGGGCCCTCTGCTGGCGGGGAGGGGAGGCGGGATTCTCCCAGGAGGAAGGAGGAGGGGCTGGCCAGTGTTCCATCTGACGCAGCTGTGGTTTCCACTGCAGGCATGATGGAGTTCAGCCTCTTTGGCATATCCTATGTAAGTGTCTTTCGGATCACTCTTAATCCTGAAGCAGATGGTGACATCTTTCAGAAATCATTAACAGACTCATTTTATTGTTTCAGACGGGAGCAGATATTTGTGGGTTCTTTCAAGATGCTGAATATGAGATGTGTGCTCGCTGGATGCAACTGGGGGCCTTTTATCCCTTCTCAAGGAACCACAACACCATCGGGACTAGGGTAGGACATTAGCTGGTAGTTTGGAGCTACAGCTAATCACTCTGTATTCCCTAGGGACATTTTCAAAACCATTAAACCCTCATGTTTAAAAAATTTTTTATACACTTACATATTGTAAAATGATTACCATAGTAGAGTTAGTTAATACCCCCATCACCTCACATAAATATCATTTGTTTTCATGATGAGAACATAAATATTTACTCTCTTAGCAACTTTCAAGTACGTAATACAGTACTGTTAACTATAGTCACCATGCTGTACATTAGATCCCCAGGATACATTTATCTTGTAACAGGAAGTTTGTACCCTTTGTCAACATCTCCCCATTTTTTTCCATTCTCCCAGCCCCTGATAACTACCATTCTACTCTGTTCCGCTGTTTTAGATCCCACATTAAGTGATAACATACAGGATTTTTCTTTCTCTGACTTATTTCACTTAACATAATACCATCAAGGTCCATCCATTTTGTCACAGATGGCAGGATTTCCTTCTTTCTTGTGGGTGAATATTATTCCATTGTCTATATTTGCCACATCCTCTTTATTAATTCACTCATCAGTCGACATATAAGTTGCTTCCTCATGAGTTAGTGCCGCAGTAAACACGGGGGTGCAGGTCTCTTCTGAGTTGCTAATTTCATTTCCTTTGGAAATATACCCAGAAGTGGGGATTGCTGGATCATATAGTAATTCTGGTTTTAATTTTTTGAGAAACATCCTTAACGGTTTTCCATAGTGGCTGCACCAACTTACATTCCCACCAACACTGTACCAGGTTTCCCTTTTCTCCTCATTCTCACCAACACTCGTTATTTTTTGTTTTCTTGATAATAGCCATTTTAACAGGTGTGAGGTGATATTTCATTGTGGTTTTGATTGGTATTTCCTCAATGATGAGTGACATTGAGTACCTTTTCATGTGCCCATTGACCATTTGTATGTCTTCTCTGGAAACTGGAAATGAATAACAGGAGGAAAACTGGAAAATTCACAAATTAAATAATGTGTTAAAGATGATACCAAAAGAGAAATTTAAAAATCTTGAAACAAATGAAAATGGAAACTCAACATACCAAAACTTTTGAGATGCAGCAAAAGCATTTCTAAGAGGGAAGTTTATGATGATAAACACCTACATTAAGAAAAAAGAAAAATCTCAAATAAACAACTTAACATTGTACCTCAAGGAACTAGCAAAAGAACAAACTAAGCTCAAAGTTAGTAGAATTAACAAAGATCAAAACAAATAAATGAAACAGAGACCAGAAAACAAAACAAAAGAACAAAATTAAGAATTGGGTCTTTGAAAAGATAAACAAAATTGACAAATCTTTAGATAGATTTCCTAGGAATGAAAGAGAGAAGACTCAAATATATAAAAATATAAATGAATAAGGAGACATTACAAGTGATACCACAGAATACAAAGGATCAAAGAGACTATGAACAGTTATAAACCAACTAATTGGAAAACTTACAAGACATAGATAAATTGCAAGAAACATACAACCCACCAAGACTGAATCATGAAGAAATAGAAAATCTAAACAGAGTGATAATGAATAAGGAGATTGAATTAGTAATAAAAAAATCTAACAAAGAGAAACCCAACACCAGATGCTTTCCCTAGTGAATTCCATCATGCTTTCAAAGAATTACCACCATGACCTCCTCAAACTTCCAAAAAATTGAGAGGAAGGAACACTTCAAAATTCATTTTACAAGACCAGCATTACCCTCATACTAAAGTGAGATAAGAACACTACAAGAAAACTAAAACCCAATATCCCTGATAAATATAGATCCAAAAATTGTCAACAAAATATTAGCACATCAAATTCAACAGCACATTGAAAGAATCATATACTATGATCAAGTGGGATTTAATCTTGAGATGCAAGGATAGGTCAACATATGCAAATCAATAATGCAATACACCACATCAACAGAATGAAAGGTTAAAAAATCTGTGATCATCTCCAAGGTGCAGAAAAAACATGTGACAAAATACAGCATCTTTTCATGGTAGGAACATTCTTTGGCAACATATGACAGCTAATATACTCAAAGGTGAAAGGTTGGAAGCTTTTTCTCTAAGGTCAGGAACAAGGCAAATATTCCCACTCTCACTACTTCCATTCATGGTAGTGAGATGTACTGAAGAACTGGAACATAGTACTGGAACTTCTAGCCAGAGCAACCAGCAAAAATAACTAAAATCAAATCAAATAATTCAAATCAGAAAGGAAAAGGAAAAACTGTCTAACTTTATAGTTTATATGTTCTTATATGTAGAAAATCCTAAAGATGTCATCATAAAATTATCAAAACTAATATATCAAATCAGTAAAGCTGAAGAATGCAAAATCAACATACAGAAATCATTTATATTTCCACTCTAATAATAAAATATCTGAGAAATAAATTTTTAAAAATCCCATTCACAATAGCCTCAAAAAGCAATAGAATAGTTAGTAATAAATTTAACCAAGCAGATGGAAGATCTATACCCTGAAAACTGTGACATGGATGAAAGAAATTGAGGCAAGACACAATCAAAAGATGATCCATGAATGTTGGATCCAATTTTAATATTGTTAAAATGTCCATACTACCCCCAAACCATCTATAGATTCAATCAATCCCATCAAAATTCCAATGGCATTTTCACAGAAATAGAAAGAACAAACTCAAAATTCATGTGGGACCATAAAAGACTACAAATAACTAAAGCAATTCTGAGAAAGATGAGTGAAGCTGGAGAAATCACACTTTCCGATTTCAAACAATGTGGCAAAGGTATGGTAAACCAATCACTATGGTACTGGCACAAACATAGACATACAGATCACTAGACAGAATCAAGAGCCTAGAAATAAACCTTTGCAAATGCTGTGAACTAATATTTGACAAAGGAGCCAAGAATACTCAATGGAGAAAGGACAGTTTCTCCAATCAGTGGTATTGGAAAGCAGAGTAATTACATGCAGAAGAATGAAATTGGATTAGCGACTTAAATGTAAGACCTGAAACTATAAAGCTCCTAAAAGAAAATATAGGGAAAAAACTCCTTGACATTGTTCTTGGCAATGATATGTTGGCTATGACATCAAAAGCACAAACAACAAAAGCAAAAAATAAAATAAGTGGGACTACATTAAACTCAAAAGTTTCTGCACAGCAAAAGAAACAAGCAACAAAATAAAAAGGCAATCTACAGAATGGGAGAATATGTTTGCAAACCATATCTGATAAGGGGCTGATATCCAAAATATATAAGCAACTCATACTGCTCACTAGCAAAAAAACAAACAATCTAACTAAAAAATGGGCAGAGGCACTAAATAGACATTTTTCCAAGAAGACATAAAAATAGCCAACAGGTACATGAAAAGATGCTTACATTTCAGTAGCCCATATTCCTCAGTGTTCTTGAGATTATGCTTTTTCTTTAGGCTGTGTTGTACCAAATGTATCTCCCAAAGAATCTATTACGGGGAAATTTTGTCAGCTGTGTTGGGAGAGCTTCAGTGACCTCTTTTAGTATATTAAGACTATTCTCTTAGTCTCATCTCTAATCAGCTTCAGTTTAATACTGTGAGATCTTCATTTGGAATAAACATTCAGTGACATATTAAATCCTCTAGTCCCCTAGGTGAGCTCTGACCATTCCTCTCTTCTCCTTTAGAGGCAAGACCCCGTGTCCTGGGATGCTGCCTTTGTGAATATCTCCAGGCATGTCCTGCAGACCAGATACACCCTGTTGCCGTATCTCTACACCCTGATGCACGTGGCCCACACGGAGGGCAGCACTGTCGTGAGGCCTCTTCTCCATGAGTGAGGGTCTAGCTGGGCTCCAATGACTAAGGGATAATTCTGTTCTGTGTGGTAGCAGTTGAAGAAGACAATCCTTCCGAACTAAATTAAAGACGTGATTGCCTTTTGCCATAAGCTCTCTGGCCACAGACCATGCATTAGAACTCCTTTTAGCACAGTGTCAGTCATTCCCCAGACCCTTGAGAGAAGGTTATTGAATGAGAAAAAAAATTCAAGATGATACAATACAGCAGAGAATAATTTCTCTCTAAATTAGGCATGTGAAGAGCTATCTATCTTTTGTAGCATCTCAGGTCACAAAAGAAGGCCAGATTTGAGGGATAAAGGCCATTTTTGCAGTTTAAATGTACCATGGTCGACTATTTCATAATGTATATAATTGTTGAATCACTATTGGTTGAAACCAATACAATACTGTGTATCAATGATACTTAAATCTGAAAAAAAAAAGAAAATGCACCATGGTAAGAAATGTGGAGATAGATTTATAGGCGAGAACATGTCTAAACCCAATAATTTCTGGAGCTTGAAACATGACATGTAGACGTTTATGTTTGATTTAAGTAGGCCTACAGGAAGAGTAAAGGATGGCATAGAATGCAGCTGGGTTTCTGACTTGGGTCTGAACTTGAGGAGTTTCTTCAAGGTCTTGGCCTAAGACCCATTTGGGGTCCAGACTCTGGTACCTTGGTTTCCCTTCCCAGGTTTGTGTCGGACCGGGTGACCTGGGATGTAGACAGTCAGTTCCTGCTGGGCCCAGCCTTCCTGGTCAGCCCTGTCCTGGTGCCTGTGAGTATGGAGGCCTCTGATCAATAGAGAATTCCAATTACAAGGCCCAGTGAATAGGGCCAGGAGAGGCGGCCTGGTCTGGTGGCGGCCTTGAGATGGTTTCTTATTCTACTTCCTTGCCCTCCCTCTGAGCTGAGGTCCATCACTTAGGTGAGCTGGTCCTCAGCTCCCTCTTTGAAATCAGCATAATAGATTCTGAGTGACAGGATGATCAAGAGGAGGAAACCCCTATGATATATGTCAGGATCGAATCATCTCTTCATGAACTGAAATAAGGAGTTCAGGTCAGGTGGGGGCCATACTGTAAGGAATTCATTATAATTTCCATCACCAGTTAAAACAAAACTTTTCAGAAGGATTGTTCATACCAATGTGTATCATTGTGTTGCTGGCTGGCTAGGTTTTCCCTTCCCTCTAAGAGGTCCTTAAGCAGCAGAAACCGTTGCTTTACTTTTTCTATTGATGAGTAGGCTTCTCGTTAAAATACCAGTTAACTGCATCCTTCCCCAGCCTTACTGCATTGATCATAAGCTCTGAAGTACTGGCACCATAAAACCCACAAAATTTTCTTCTTCCACAGACCCAATGTCAGTTTGCCTCTCTAGAGAGGGTATGGGGTAAGTCTAGAAGCAAATGATTTTTATCCTCAAAGTCCTGAATCCCCAAGGGCTTTGCGGAAGCCACCAGTTTGGAGTAGGCAAACCACCTGTGTTTGAGGAGGGGAAGGAAGGCCCCCCAACCTCTCTGACCTCTGGAGAGATGAGTCCTGTGGTTCCAGGGCCAACACTGCCCATGCTTTGTTTGTGTTTAATTTTAGAATGCCAGAAATGTCACCGCATATTTCCCTAGAGCCCGCTGGTATGATTACTACACGGTAAGTTTTTCAGATTGCTTAAACAACCTGGGAAAATGGTAGCATGCACAGGCTTTAGAACGTGACAGGCCTCTGGTCAAATTCTGGCTCTGTAATCCACTCAATGTGTGATCCCGTCGACTCATCCCCAAGTGGACAGAGTACTTCCCTCCCAAACCTGTCTAACACTCAGTGCCCAGCTTCTGTGAGAGCTCTTGATGCATCAGTTTCTATCTTTGTTTATACCGCCACTGTTCACAATGGTATATCATGGCAACACTAGTAAACTATACTTTCTGTTTATATCCTCCCCTGCTGGACTGTGAGTTCATAAGTGAAAGGGCCTTTTCCTCCCTGTCTTTTTATTAAATATCTCCTTTTATAGCATAGATGCCCAAAGAGGAGTTGTTAAATGTAATTCCCTAAGGGAAGCAAGGTCTTAGGCAGTGTATAAAATGCGCACTGAGTACGGGGCCCAACCCTTGTGAGCTGGAGCAATGAAATGCATTTAGAAATGTGGGGTGAGCACGTCATTCTCAGTCATGAGGTGTTCCTGGGTTCGTCTGGGCCCCAGAGACTCCAAAACCAGCTTCAGAGCAGGGTTGTAAACAGCTCAGAGTTTGATTCTGAGAAAGAACCAAAGGGGGTGTTTCCTTCCTGTAGATAGACCTCCTCGTCTAGCTTTTTTGAGGAGATCAAGGCAGAGGACTGGGACTTCAGCTGCAGGGTAATTAATGGACAGCTGGAGGACAGCAGGCAGAGCGTGCTCCGGCTTTGCCCGCCAACGGGTTTGCAATGGAAGTGGGTGAAAGTGGTGCCAAGAAGCTTTCTTCCTCCCCTTCCCTGCCTCACGGAGCCCTGAGTCCTCCCTGGCGCCCCGTTCTCTCCGGGCTGGATGTCCTCTAGGTGGCACTGCTAGGACTCTGCTCTGTGCTTCCAACCGAGGCTTTCCTGGGAGAGCAGCCAGCTTCCCTAAGCGAGCCGAGCCTTTGTCCTGGGGCACAGTGGCTGTCCCACTAGGCGGCAGTGCTGATTCTGAGGGCAGGGGCTTCCCTGGGGCAGGGCCAGCCCCGCGTGGGGCAGATGAGGAAGCCGCGTGCACAGAGGGACGGGGAGCTCCTTTTCAAGGCCGAGCCTGGGGTCTCAAGGCCCCGAGAGTGAGAGGCAGCTGAGATTCTGTCCCCAGGCACCGCGTTTGCCTCCCTGCAGTCCCGGCCTGGCCGGGGAGCAAAGCTGCTGGGCTCTGCGTGTGGGAATCCGGGAAAGCTCCCCATGGAGTTCACCCTCCAACCCGGGGCTGACACCGACGTGCCATGAGCACCAGTACATACAGGATGTAACTGTAGAGACTTAAAGAAGGCAAAAGGCGTGAGGGCTAACAGAGAAGAACCCTGGAGTTGCTGGTTTTATACATGGCTTTTAAATAGAAGAGCTTTGGACAAGTGGAAAGAGATAAGCAATTATGTCGGAGGCCCAAAGTTGATGGAGCAGGCTATTTAAAAAATAATAATAAAATTTTGGTATTTAATTAGAATGAAGATTCCATGGTTGAAGTTAATGAACTTCTCCTTAATTAATCCTTTACTTGTGGCCATTTTGTTTGTTTACAGTGTAGAACATATATTGGATATTTGTGACAATGCTTCTCCATCATACTCAATGATTATGAAGGCGATGAAAATTCCCCCATAGAAAGGCATGCTAGGCTGTCTTTTCTTATTTTAATAATGCGGCTTTTAGATTTTCTCTTATCATCATACCTCTGTGGATATTCTAACAGAAATTTTTTATGCTAGCCTGATCAGAGACTACTTAAAAGACAGCAAATGAACTTGTGACTCATTAGGTATTGTAAATGAAATCATGAGAAGATTAAAATTATATCATATGTAGCCACAGGGTATAATAGAATGGAAATGCCATTTAGAGAAATTAAGGATTTGGTAGGAAGGTAACTTTGATAATTTTACATGTATCGACTTTCACTCAAAGGCAGGACCATCGATGGAGGAAGATGTCCAGTATGCATAAGCTATTGGAGTGAAATGTCATTAGAGATAATATAATTCAACTTTCTCATGATGTCAGTGAGAGAACTGAAGAAGCCCAGAGATATGGGGCAGAATTTTTATGAAACCCTGTAAACTTTGGAGTCCTGAGGCAGCCCAGGAAGCAGAGTCCACCCCAGGGAATGTGGCCACAGTCACTGTGCTTCCTGCTACCACCTACCCTACAGTCTATACAGGTTGAATCTGTGTAAAATGAGCATCAGGAGCCCAAAGTGGAGTGGTAAGGTGGTTCTGCTCCTTAGCTCTAAGGTAGTGCATCTCAAATGGGGGGATTTCGCCTACCAGGGGCCACTGGGCCATTTCTGGAGACGTTTTTGGCTGTGATGGTGTGGTGGGGGTGGGGGAGATGCTACTGGCATCTATTAGGCAGCCACTGGTGAACACCCAAAAGTGCAGGATGGCCCCCTCAAGGCCTGCAATGTCCTTAAGTGCTGAGGGGAGAGCCGGGCCCTGGTATGAGATGTGGAGGGAGAGTTTCTTGGGACCCAAGGCTTCTGGTTTAGGGGGACAGCACTGCTCCCTGTCACACAGGAGGCAAGGTAAGATGTTAATCCTAAAGGGACAGACTGAGTGAAAGACAAGGACTTGTAAAGTATGGCAGCTTGCTGTGCTGTCCGTGGGAGTCAAAGGTGTTAATGGCGTTGTGGGTGGGGAGCGGGGATTGAAGGAGTCAGAGGCAGACGGAAACAACGTGAAGAAAAGTCTAGCGATGCTGAAGCCACCGCAGGGAGTGTCCCAGCCCCCGCAGCGGCGCGCTCTCTGACACAGAAACAGGAGGTGCGCGCCGTGACCTCCTCTGGTGTGCACAGCTGAGAGATCCTGCAGGATATAGCAGGATGCTATAGCAGCCCAGAAGCTCGGCAATTGGGGAACAGGGCAATTCAGGGATGCACAAAAAGTGGACAAGGTGTCTGGCAAATGCATTGATTGCTCTCAACATAACCCTCTCCTACCTTCTTCTGGCCCACAGGGTGTGGACATTAAAGCGAGAGGAGAGTGGAAAGCCTTGGCAGCCCCTCTTGACTACATTAATCTTCATGTCCGAGGGGGTTACATCCTGCCCTGGCAGGAGCCTGCACAGAACACCCACTTAAGGTGAATGGCGGGACCGGGTGCTCCTTTTCACACCAGTTAGCTCAGATCCTGGTGAAGTCCACCAATTTGTAAGCAGCACCCTTGTACCCAGAGGCACTTTTACTAAACGTTTTTGTCTGTTTGCTTGTGTTTTAACCTCTGTCATACTCTGTACTTTTTGAGCAATTTGTAACAACTCTTTTCGATCTAAGTGGGTTAGATGATAGGTCTGTTTAATGACATTTGGAATGAAAGTCAGGAGCAACCTGATTCATGCTAGTTTTAGGAAACTATCTGGATTTTAATTGGCTCTTTGCTAAAAAAACTATTGCTGAAAAATTGTGTAAGCCATATTGCAATTGATGCCTGATGCTGAGATTCCTCGTATGCGAAGGTTTTAAAACCCCAGACCTAAGTCTATATAATAAAGAATAGCTAACATCAAGTAAATGCTTACTCTATGTCTAGAGCTGTATTAATATGGAGATTTCTATTTAGACACTATTTTTCTTAACAATGGGAAAAAATAAACCCTATGGTTATAAGTACTGTTATCCTCCCCATGTTAGCAAAGAGGTTTCCAGAGGCTAAGTGATTAATTCAAAGTCACAGAGTTAGGAAGTATTGAGCAGGGACTAAAATCCATGTCTGTCTGATGTCAAACTAATATTTTTAGAGCCCTGTTCATGTGATTCCAAAAACTCAGTTAAAAACTGAAGAACTTAGGATGTTTATAAACAGAGCCCACTCTGTACATATGTTTCGGAAATTAAGTTATAAAAGAGGAAAGATCAAAACATCAGGAATTTTCCCACAGTGAGAACCCAATGAGTTTGCTTATAGTTTCTTAGAGAGCTTTCAGAGCTCTCGTAAGCTTGTAGAGCTGTAAAGGAAAATTCCGCTTGGTTTATTCATTCATTCCTGACATGAGGTCATAGAGCTAATGGAGACAGACCAGAAGGAAATCACAGGTCCCTTGAATCCCTGTACCTAGTCTTTATACCACGAAGCACTTCCTTCATGTTTTTAGGAAAACTCTTGGTTGGTGGCTGTGGCTTTGCTTTTTGCTAACACGTCTCTCTTACCTCATTACAGCCGTCAGAAATTCATAGGCTTCAAGGTGGCCTTGGATGATGAGGGGACTGCTGAAGGCTGGCTTTTCTGGGATGATGGGCAAAGTATTGGTAAGAGACACCTTGAATTTGTGTCAGTATCACTGGCAAGGTTCCTGGATATCTTATGGACCTGCTTTTTCCTTTTCTATGTTAAAACCATTTTGCATTTTTAAACATAGCCATTTGTTACTTTTAAGTGTATCGTGCATGGTGTTCATGATCCTTATGCCTCATGTAAATGTGGCTTACCTCTGAATCTCTCACCGTTATGCAATCATCCTGATCCACTGCGGAAGACAGCAGTAGAGGGGCCACAGGAAAGTTATTTTGTAGCCAACTGAGATATACTTCTGTATGGTTTATGTTCAAGGGCACATTCTCTAAATACATGGCTTACTGTTCAAGTAAGAGAGGCAGTGCCTCTATCAGCTGCACTATTTATTTGGGGGATTTTCCATTACGAGTTTACAGGAATTGGTAGACCCTTAGGAGGATGGCTCAGGTACCATAAGCTATTTTTAGGCTGTTGCTTATCCAGTAGAATGCTGGAAACGTTCTGGGTCTGTGCTGTCTAGTGCGTTACCATTAGGCTGTTGAGCACTTGGAATGTGACAAGTGTATCTGAGGAACTGAATTTTTAATTGTATTAGTTTAATTAACTTAAATCCAAACAGCTACATTTTCCTAGTGGCTATCACCTTGGATGGCACAGCTCCAGACAGCCAAGGCCCTCTGACTGAGCGGCCAGCAAAGTAGAAAGAGGCCAGCATATAGGAAGAGTATGTAGGGTGGGAACACCTGTGACATGGCCCTGGTTGGTCACCTTTACTGGACATTCCAAGAAGTCTCTGGTTTTCTCTGTTCTTTGGAGATCACATTTTAAAAATTGCCTAATGTCTTTCAAGATAAACCAGTGTTTATAATGTGGGTGTACATGTATGTACATACACATGTATGTGTGCCTCTAGCAGAAGGAACCTGGAAATTTTGAGGTGACTAGGAAGGTGTCAGGAATGGCGGACCACGAGAAAGAGAAGTGGATGAAGGGTGGTGTTAGGAAACGGCATTATAAGAAGGACTGTTGTATGCATCTATACACGCTCATTTCACACATTTTTGTAAGCTGAAGTTGGCAGCAGAGTCTGACTAATCTCAGAAAATGGAACTCTGTAAAGAAGAAAAATAAAATAAAAAACAAGCAAAAATCATCCCTACTTTCTCAACCAAGTCAAGGGAGCCTTTCGCATTCTAGAGCCCAGCTCCAGATCACACTTGCCTTGCTGTTTGTTTGCAGATACCTACGAAAAAGGAGCCTATTACCTGGCCAACTTTTCTGCCAGCCAGGTGAGTGTGACTGTTACCCTGAGGGCTGATAGAGTTGGGTTGGTCGTGTAGGACGCTGGATATCGTGCCCAGAAATCCTCCCTGCTCCCCGTGCTCCTTGGCATTCTCCCTTCGTCTAGACTTTGGACAGGGATCGCTCCTAGGGACTTCTCTATGGTCAAACCCATTCATGTTCCGTCAGCGACTTCTTGCAGGTCCCCAAGGCACAGATGAACAGGCCATTCCTGAGTTGGGTGGCCCTGGCTCCTGTGTTGTGTGGAATGGTCACATTTTGTAACTTCTATATGTGTAGAATACAAGGTTCCTGATAGCTGAGACTGTCTCCTTAGAGGTTCAGGTGACTGTAGAGACCCTGTAAGGCACTCAGCCAATGCTGTGTTGTATGATAGTCAGCAACAGTACGGAGTCCTGAAATCATGGTCTCTACTATCCAAGGACACAAGATGGTCACTCTGAAGATGTCTTATTTCATGACCAACATAGTGCTTGTAAAGAGGTTGGGAAAAATTTGGATGAATTTTGCTATTTTTTCCCCTCTGGTTTCTTTTATCTCCAATTGACAGAATACAATGAAGAGTCATATAATTTCCAACAAATATATCACTGATGAAAACCCTTTGAAACTGGGCTACCTGGAGATCTGGGGAGTGGGCAGTGTCCCTATTTCCAGTGTCAGCGTCTCTGCAAACGGCATGGTTATAACACCACCCTTCACCTACAGCTCTGCAACACAGGTTTGTGACAGGGGAAAAGTCCCAATGGAATTTCCCAGCCTTGAGATGCCTAGTGCAATTCCTGCCTGCTTGCCTTCCAAAGGACACCCTCTTCTGCAGAGCCCTTTGGGAGTTCTTCTGTGGCTGGTGTGTCAGCACTGGGCAGCTTGGAGATGAAGGGATAACTCATGGTTTATCATTTGGAGCTGAGAGCCCAGGGGTCCTTTGCCTGTCTCCTTGTCTGCAGACCTATATGAAACTTTGTCTTTCTCCCTTCACCTCTGCCTCAGAGATCTGCTACCTAAAAAGCTTGGAACTACTGTATTTCATCAAATAATAAGACACCATCAGATAAAAGTTGCTCCATTATTTCTTGTGCCATGAAGGAAGAAAAAAGGATTATAGAAGTGTGATGTAGTGCTTTCTTATCACTTAAAAATGCCCATTTTAAACATAAAGAAAGCTTTGAAAAAATTCTTTAGGCATAGATTTTTATCATTTTAATATGTTAGTACAGAAGAAAATGTTGAGTGGAGATACATACATGCACACTGATAAATTTGCATCAGAGTAATTTAGAAGAGCTAAACTCTGAATGTGAAGAAATATTAATACCGTAACCAATGTGTATCACATAGTTGTCTTTTATTTAAATTTTATGTAAATATTTTAAATTATTTTATTATTTATATCTCTTATTTTATTTATTGTTATGTAAAGGAAAAACATGAGGCATGCATTGGTTCAGGTGTTTCCTTTGTACTATCGGAGGAGTTGGTAATACATCATCTCATAAAAATTCTTCCACTATTAGCTGTGGGATTTTCTTCAAAGCCAGTAACATGCTCTATACAAGTTTTCATGCTAGCACTTTCTTGATCTTACTGTCAACCGGTTTCACATTCCTTTCTAAAACAATCCTCACGTGGCTTGCAGTCCATCCATTCATAATTGCAGTAACAATTGTCATGAGCGCTGCTTAGCTCACAGCAATTCTAGGGCCGTTATTTGCAAGATACATTCTGATTTCATGAGTGTTAAATATGTGAAAAATCTGGACCTTGGGATTAATGCAACGTAGTGCTTCCCATATCCATCTTCACGGTAAATGGGATCCTTCGTTGTGTACTTTTGCTTAGTGCTTTTTCCTGACTTACTTTTCTTTCAAACTCCTCCCTGATTACAAGGCCTGAAGTAAAAATTTTCCTTACATTTAAAATGTTTTATTTGTTTCCTCATATTTGTGGTTTTCTTATCAACCAAATTCCCCAACCTTACCAAGAGTCCCTAAAGGGCTTTGCCCTGTTTCTTTGCTGACTGACTCATGGACTGATGCACAAACTCTTATTGCCCCTGTGGGGGAACTTTATGGAAAGTGTCTGTCTGGAAAAAAGCTAAAATACTGGTCTCCTCCCAGGCAATCAGCAAGGCTCTCTGAAGCAACAGGGGAGGCGGGGTGGGCAGGGATAAAAGGAGGACTCTCAGGAATGGACATGAGGACGTTTTCCCCACTTGGTGCGGTTCTCTCTCTGGTGTTCCCCGTTGCATTTGTAGGGGCCTCTAGTCTTTGCCCTGTCACCAAGCGGTCTTTGTACACAGAGGCATTCAGAACTTCTTCCTCACCAGAAAATCTGGGGGCAGTCTGACAGCTGGGCAGTGAATTGTGGAAGTGTCTGAGTGTTATGTGGCTCATTGGCTTGTATCTGATCTGTTTAAGCGTAAGAAATTTCAATCACCAGATGCCCAATACTTTTCTTCTGGTTCTCAACAGGTGTTAAACATCGATGTGACCAGTAGAAACATCAGCCTGCATAATTTCATTTCTTTGACATGGCGAAGCACTCTGTGAATGTTTAGAGCAAGATTCTAACTAAGAACAGCTTTTTAAACTACTTATACTTCATGCTCATAAAATTGTTGTGTGTTGCTAATGAGTTCATGCCCAGGATGGGTAAATATCTTATTAATTTTGTCACATTCTGTCTGTGCCTTAGCACTGTGGTATGGGCACCAGGGAGGTGTGGAAAATCTGGGGGTTACCTTAATGTCTGTATGTGATTAGTATGGTACTGATGGCTCACCTTAAGACACTTACTGAGGATGAACTGGGTCCATGATGAAGTGCACGTGCGTGTATAAGGTGCATAATCAGGGAATGGGCCCCACTCTTCCTAGACACAAGAAAACACTTGCAGGGCAGTTCCAGGTCCTGGATTTAACTAACACCTCAAGAAAGTGACCAGAAAGGACACTTGATAGTTGGTTTTAGGAGGAGGGGAACAATGTGCTGAGAGTCTGATGTAAGAAGGAAAGACAAACACAGAAGACATAAGTGGGAAAGATGAGAAGAAACAGAGAAAGGTGAGAAAAGTGAACATGGCAAGAAGTGATGTGAGAATATCCAGAACAGTGGCCTCACTGGGAGGGGGAAAGAAGGGCCAACTCGCCTGAAAGCAGGAGGAAAGGTCAGGAGCTCCTTAGCAGATGGGAACCGGGTGACGATAAAATTGAAGCAGGCAAAGCTGAAGGGTACTTCATGCTTTTGAGTGTAAAAGAAGGAGTTTGAATGTAAAAAATATAACTTATTTTTGCAGTGGTGTGCTTGAAAATGTGCAAATCTTATTTCTCTACTCTGTGCCTACCATTTATAACCACAGTTCACACAAATGCCTGCAACTTATATGCCAGAGAAAAATAAACAAATTCATAAGAGGCTTTGTATTTTGTGATATTTTGACCGTGGGTCGCCTCATGTCAGGATTAAGCTGCCTTCTTCTTCTGCAAGCCCTTGTAAATTGGTCTCATGTTCTCTGGCATCGGAGTTCCTGCAGTCTGACCCACCAGTGAGTGGAATGATCAGATTTCTGATTATCCACCCTTTTCCTTACACCCTTTTTTCCTTGCTTGGGTTTTTCTTAAGATTTAGGTCTGTGGAAGTGTGGACTTGAGTTGTTGTTTCAGCCATCATTGTTTATTGCTGTATTTGGTAAAATATCAGTTCTGCCAAAAATAGAAGTTGTACACTCTTGGTTAAAACATGACATGGTTAAATGTGAGATAAAGAAACCAGGTATTAATGTTCAACAGGAATATTTACTTTTAGTATTACTTGAAAATGAGAGTGTTAGAAATATATGTTTACTTCCCTGTGTCTTTTTCTTTTTTTAACACCAGGATGTCAGATTCTGCTTATATACTCATGTCAGTGCCTGCATAACGCTATAGAAAATAGCATTGTTAAATTGGCTTAATGTGATAAATTTCATAATGTGATATGAAAATATCTGATTCTGTTTTTGCAAAACTCATGTCTACTGTTAAAACTGCCATTCTCTTCTGCTGTCTACATTCAAAATCTAAGAAAATGCTAAATTTCAGCTGGAAATTGGTAAAAAATGAAATACTTTCCAATCAGTGTCTATACATTCACTAAGCTATACGCCTTGGAGATCTGGAGACCCTAGCTGAAGACTCTTAGGTTAAGACACGTCAGCCTCCCAGACTTCAGTTTAGCAGCTCGGAACCTATGCGGCTGTAACGGTTGCAAGAGTTACCAAGCCTCCGTCAGTCACTTGTCTCTTGAATCCATTCATCCTTTTGGTTTTTAAGCAGCCAATTCCATATGGACATGAAGACCTTCAGTCTAGGACAAGGAAGACGGTTAGCAGCTCTGAGAAAAGGGGTTAGTGGAGGAATCAGGCCTGTGGCTCCTTCAGTTTCTCTCTCTAGAGCAGTGCTGTTCGTCTCTAAATATAAGGTTGTGTCCTGCTTTGTCCCATCACAGGTGGCAGGGGCACCGTTAGGGGCATTTGACCCTGCTTTCGTTTGAGTGAGAAAAACTCAGAAGCGATCTTCAGGGTCAGGAGACTTGGTTAAGACCCTTTGTCTTGCTGGTGTCATGTTTCTTCATCTGCAGAATTCTTGTGTCAAACTAAAGCTGTGACTTCCAAACCAAGTGGCTGTGCAGAGCCCCACAGCTCTTTGTTGCTCTCTAGGAATGGGAAGAAGGTGGGTTGGCAGGGTTCTGAATGCCCCCCGCTGGCTTCGGCCACTCACTTGGCTACATTACTTACTGAAACTCTAGTTGAATAAAGAATTTTAAATATGTGTGTGTGTATATATATATATTACATATATATACACACACACACATAATACATATATACTTAAATCTTTATTCAAATGAATATATATGTATGTATATATCTTAATATACATTACTTAAATATATGTAAAATGTTTGAAAATCTCTATACCAGATTAGAAGTCCTCAAACATTTTGGTCCCAGGACCTCTTTATACTCTTAACAATTATTGAAAATTCCAAGAGCTTTCTTCATTGGGTTATATCTATTGATACTTATCATATTACAAATGAAAATAGCTACATTTTCCAAAAAAAAGTATGAGTTTCATTATTTTACATATTTGCAAATCTCTTTAAAATTTGGCTTAATTAAAAAACTGAATTCTCATATCTTCTACATTCAATCTTTTATGATATCAATAGTCATATAACCTCTAGAAAACTCCACTGTATACTCATGGGAGAAAGAAAGGCAAATATCTTCTTAGTGTTTTTATGAATAGTTTTACCTCAAACTTCCAGAGGTAGGTCCCCAGGGCGCATTTTGAAAACTGTTACACATGGGACCATAGCCATTTGTGGTCACCCTGTCACAGCCCCTGCAAGTGGACCTGTGCCTATAATACCTGGCCAGCTCAGCTATTTGGGGAAAGATTGGGGTCTTTTTGACATATTCCCTATTCTCCAGATCACATAAGTTCACTTCATCTCTTTGAAGTTCTGGCAAAATAAACAATCCCTAACTATTTCACTTAAAAAGGAAGAAATTCATTCCTTTTCTTATTAAAAGCATCCTTGTTATAACATTAATTATCACAGGTACCGACAAAGACAAGATTGTGTTGGCCTTGGCAGATATGGTCTGAGTGCCACCAACACTCCCTTCTTGTCACTGCAGCAGCATCACCGAGAATTTTGCACCTGGCCTTGAAGGACGGTGCTCTGGAAGTGAAGGGTCAGACTACTACTGGTTTCTGCGCTGATAATTCCACCCATCTGCTTGTTTGATCACTTCATGAGTTCTCCCAAAAGCTAACTTCACCCTGCCTTGCTACTAATAAACAGCTGGACTAGGTCACCTGTGTGTCTCTCCCCTTCAAAATGTCTGTTACTTTTTCATTGGTCAACACAAGCGCATGATCGAGTATCTTCCAGTTTCTAATTAACAAGAGGGGAGGGCAGAGGTAGTTATTATCAGCATTTTAGGAAACAGGTTATAGCTGTGATTGTTGGTTAGCATTATAATGTGAATGATGTCACAAATGAGCACAGGATATGGGGAATTAAGAATAAACTCTCACACGAAGAATAAAATGATCTTGTGTGACAATAAATCTCCTTTCCTGATCTTTTGCCAAGGTATGGTCCCAATGTGAAATGAGATCCAGGTACATTTTCCCTCTAACAAAGGCTTTCTTGTATTGGAGCCAAAGATAAGGTGGATATGTCATTCCAGGAGTTCATAAAAGCAGAAGCCAAGTTTCTGTGTGGGTGTGTACTTGCCATACACTGAGCATTTGAAGCAGCATGCCCTCATATATTGCTATAGATGGGATATGCAATATCTTGTATATACTACAAACCCTCATGTATTACTGGTGGGGGCGTAAAATATTGCCACCACTTTGGAAGACAGTTCTGCAGTTCTTCAAAAAGTGAAAGGTAGAGTTACCATATGACCCGGAAATTCCATGCCAGGTCTATCCCCATGAGAATTGAAAATACATGTCCACACAAAAACTTGCACATGCATGTCCACAGTGGCCCAGCTCATAATAGCCAAAAAAGTAGAAACAATCCAAATGCTGATGAGTGGATAAACATAAGATGATACATCAATGTAGTGAGTATCACACGACTGGGAAAAGGAGTAAAGTACTGGTGCTCATCCTGCAACAACATGGATGAGCCTTGAACGTTCATTATGCGAAACGTAAGAAGCCAGGCACAATGGCCACCTGTTACAGATTTCATTTACATGAAATGTTGTGAATAGGCAAATCCATTAAGGCAGAAAGTAGATTACTGGTTGAAGGGGTGGGCAGAAAGGAATGGGAAATCACCACTAATGAGTATATGTCTTCTTTTGGGGATGATGAGAATGTTCTGGAATTAGATAGTGGTGATGGTTGCACAACTTTGTAAATATACTAAGCACCACTAAACTGTATACTTTAAAAGGGTGAATGTTATTTGCCCTCTTACAGCACTAAACTATGTTTTCTACCTTTATCTTGCATCTACCTACCACTTCAGCATTTTATTAAAAAAAAAATAATAATAATAATAATAAGGGAGAAATGGGGGATTCACATATAAATTAAGTATAAAAATCAAACGAATAATCATAATTGACCTGATTGTTTATAGTTTATGACGCGTGATCAAAACCGAAAGTTTCTGTGATGACTGCCCTTGCACTGTTCACCATGTAAGAACTTATTCACTATGTAAGAACTTGTTCACCATGTAAGAACTTGTTTGTTATGCTTCAGAAGATTGGAGACTGTTGAGAATTAGGCTTGGGGTTGATTAATGATTGTGCATTGAGTTCCCTATACAGAATTTTATTGTTGTTAACAACCATATGATCAATAAATATGAGAGATGCCCTCTCAAAAAATATATATATATATAACTACTCAAAGAGAATAGAATTTGGACCTTGACATTATCACCAGGCTTTACTGAAAGGAATTAACTATCCAGGCTTGACAATTTATTACCTAAAAAATTTCCACATCCCATAAAAATATATTCTGTCTAGGGGAACTAACAAATAACTTGACAGCCCAAAGTTCTGGGTCTCATCCAGATCTGAAATAGGTGACATTGCTCAACTTATTTTTATGAGGAAAACACTGAGAGAAATCTTTCATGTTTTTTAGAAATAAACCATTCAATAAATTTTTTAAACCACTTTTAACATTTGAACTATATTTGAATCTTGCACCCAGTTATGTAATACAATATGTCACTACCCCTTCTCAAAATGATTAAAATCTAGTGAAAAAGAAAAAAAAAGGGTGAATGTTATGTAAATTGTATTTCAATTAAAAAAACTCACTGTAGCTAGCTTAAGACGAAAAGAAAAACTTGAAAGATATTAGTGATTCATCAAAACTCTGGTAGAGCTAGAGGATCAGATTTGTAGGCTATGTGGCTGGGAATGACAGCCCCATTTCCCTGTGGGAAGTTCCATTGCCAGTGCCCTTAGTACGTGTCTGGCAGCTTGCACCCCCAATATGGAGCATAGGATGCCGCTAGGTCTCCTGTCTCTGCTGCCTCTGAAACCAAGTCTCTTTACTGTCCTCAGTTCCACATGGTATCGCCTTCTTCTCTCCCTTTTTTCTGGACCAAAGACATATCTCATTAGCCAACAGCCACAGGCCTCTACCTTGGCTGCAAGGGAGACTATGAAACAGGATTTCTAGCCTCTTCCTTGGGAAGGCAGAATTCTCAAGGTGCGAAATTCCTTACGTATTAGGAGAGTTTTTTTGAAGGTGCTGATCAGTCAAGGAGCATGCCAAATTTCCGGTAGAAGTGTCTTCCCACTTTAAGGTGATATAATTTCTATTTTAATGGCACTCCTTTTATTTAGAATACTTGGTGGGAAGGCTTATTTGAATTAATGAAAAGCTGAGTTATATCAAGAGAACTTCAGGAGAAAAAAATGGAGAAAGGAGCAATGTGGTGAGCCAGAGCTATTCATTATTTCACCAAGTTATTCAACAATAGTTATATATGTATAACCCAAGTGTCCATCAACAAATGAATGGACAAAGAAGTGGTACATATACACAATGGAATATTATTCAGCCATAAAAAAGAAATCCTGCCATTTGCAACAACATGGATAGATCTAGAGGGTGTTTTGCTCAGTGAAATAAGCCAGGTAGAGAAAGACAAATACCATATGATTTATTTGTGGAATATAAACACAAAGCAAAATAGAATGAACAAAACAACAGTAGATTCATAGACACTGAGAAGGAACTGGTGGTTACCATGGGAAGGGGTTTGAATGGGTGGGTGGATGGGGAGGTTGAGGGGAATAAAGGGGCACAAAAATTCTCAGACATAATGTAGGTTGGTCATGGGGAAGGCAGTCCAGCATGGAGAATATAGTCAACGATTCTGTAACATTTTCCTGTGTTGACAGATAGTAGGAATTCTAATTGGGGTGAGGATTTAATAATGTGGGTAACTGTTGAACCACTGTGTTGTATACTTGGAACTGATATAAGATCGTATATCAATGATACTTCAATTAAAAAGCAAATAGCTATATATTAAAAAATGCTATGGATGTTGGGTAGAGTACAAAGCACAGGAGAAACAACAGTAAGAATGGTTAGCTCTCGAGTTGTTTAGGCTACATGAACAGACAAGCATAATATAGTGTGACAAGCAAAGTAATTGGATATGAACAGACATGGCATAACTAGTAGAATAAAGCCACACCTTCCTTCTTCTTTTATTAACAAATGGAGCTTCCTCTGTGTCACGGGAAAAGCAAGGGCCCTTTTATGGTATGTTGGAAAATGTACTCCCCTCCTCCAACTGTCATCAACTTCACAGGGCTATAAATTAATCCTGGCAGAAGGTGGCTAAATCAGCCTAGTAACCTTTGTTCAATACTCCTCTAGAACCACTGAGAGGTAGACACAGCAAGTAAAAAGATGCGGCTCTAAGGTGAGTACTTTTCCCCATACAGCTGGTGCTTTGGACAAGTAGTGTCTCTTTTTTCTTTTAAAGTTTACTGTCTTCTCATCTGCTATGCCCATACTTTCCTCCTGGACCTCATATCATTTCCCTTTCCATAGATTATGAAGAGTGGGTGAGATAGTGTATGGAGTCACAGACTGGAGACGAGGGGAGGGGGAGTGTCTGTGTGTTTGAGGGGCAGATGGGGGAGGCCTAATGTGAGATGTTCCTCTCTCACTGGGAGAAACCAAGGTAAGGATAAACAGATGGGATCCTTCTGGTAGCGAGGTGGAAGTGGTGTGGATTAGGAGGAAGGAGACTGTCTCTCTGGGCAGAGAGGGAAATGGTTGTGCAATTCTTAAGGTTTTTAATAATAACCTGGTTTTTAATTATTCTAAAATTTTGTTTCATACAGAGAAGTTGCTTTAGGAGGGAGGGTTTCTAAGTAGAGAAGAATATCTGCTTTTAGGAATCCCTGCTCCTGACCTCTGCCTGGATGAAAACAGTTGCTGTGGTAAGAAAATGCCCAGGGTTGGTCCCAGAGTGTCCTGAGCCTCAGGCACTGAACCTTCTCCCCAGAGGATGCTGGGCAAGAGGTGCCTGCTTCTGGTTTGTAGAGGCTGGAAAGAAAAGTATCCCCCTGAAGAGAAACAACATCTGGAGAAGAAGGCAAATGACGGACAGTGGTAGTGAGTCATGGGCTGTATGTATAAGAAACTAAGTCAGGTATTGCAAGTGTATGGGGTGGGCCCCTTGGATTCCAGGTACTGCCTGAAATCCCACTGATGCTGGGGTTCTTGTTTATGGAGTCAAAGAATGAACTTCGCAAACACTCAGAGTAGGAGAGCAAGTGAGAGGCTTTTATTTAGAGATAAAGTAAGAGGAAAGAGCTCCTTGCTTGCACCGGGAGGGGACAAGAGAGCCCTGGGTGGTGCACTGTCCAGGGGATTTATAGGTGGTTGAGAGTCAAAGGGCTAGGGATGCAGACCTGCCAGATGGTCCCAAACTGTTTATTTTTGAAGTGAGACTTTCTTATTGGTGGGTTATTCTTCAAAGTTAGCTTAACACAAGAAATTTGCTGCTCAGATTCTTTCCCAGGATAGCTGCTTCTTGATCTGGGAGCATATCAATTAAGACTGCCTGCCTTGCTTCCAAGATGGGCTGAGTTATTGTTTGTTTGATTAAAATGCAATCCTAGCTTTAAGATAGAATTTTTTTCTAAATAAGCTGGGCCTTTGAGCCAGCTACAGTAAATCTTACAATGGTATGTTTTAATTGATGCAGTGAAAATATAGGCTATGTTGAGATACTTTTCTTTATCTGGGGAGTATTCAAACTTGTAGGTCAAGTTGCTTCTGGCTTTTTAGTTTTAACTAATCTCACTGAAGAATGCTTCTATTCCTAGTTTGATATTTTTACTTTAGAGAATTGATGTGACTCTGGCTTTGCTTAATTGTTTAACATGGAGTTTTGGTAGGGGTCTTTTTCTGGAAGCTGTCACCCTACGCCGTCTAAACCCATGGTCCCTGTCTCACCACCTTTGGAGATTCAGCCACCGGATCTTTAAGCTCGGCAGTCAAGGAGACACTGCAGGGGAGAGGGGGTACTCAAGGACTGGTTTAAGCAGGTCTCTCAGGTTTTGCCCCAGTTCTACCCCTCACCATGGTTAGACCAAACTCCTTAACATTGATTCATAAAATGGGAATCATGATGTAGATATTTTATGTCTGATAATGTTTTCTCCCTGGACAGTACTCAATACTCAATGCTGATGTAGGGATTTTATGGGAATATAATATGGGTATATCTTACAGAGATTGGAGTAAGCCTTTGAATAATTTAGACTAGAGGAGAGACAGATGATAGATTTTAACTAGTAAGAGAGAACAGTTCATAGTTAGGTCTTTCTTCAACCCCAAACCCAAATCTTAAGCTCTCCTTTGGCAAATTATCTGTAGATTCTTGCTCCTTATCCCCTTCCCCCATTTCACAATGAAGGTGCTTCTTTTCTTGGCTTATTACACATTAACCTGAAGGCTGCCTCAATTAAAATTGAAACTATATGCATGTGAAAATACAGAAATGGGCATGGCATTGGACTGGGGTCCAGAAGAGCAGGGCACAGGGGAAAGGAAAGTTAAAGAAGAGGTGAAATAAAAAAAGAGAGAGGGAGGAAATTTGTTGACTACATGGAGTTACAGCTTGTCATCACGTATATGTTGGTTTGGTATGGCTGGCACGTAGGAGAGAGAAGAGATGAGCAGCTGGGCACAGGAGCTGCCACGAAGACCTTTGATTATAAAGATAAAGAGTTTATATTTTATCTGAAGATATTGAAGACCTGAATATAGGAGAACCAAATGGCCCTGTTTGTGCTATAGAAAGATCAATACAGCTTCAGTGTGTTGAATGGATATCAGCAGCAGAGAGAATGGAAACTGGGAGCCTGAGCGGAAGCTGTGGTCACAGTTCAGGCCAGAAATGATAGCCTGAGTGAAGCACTTCCAGCAGGGACAGAGAGGAAGGAATAGATTTCTTTTTTTTTTTGGAGTATGCAAGCAAGCAGTGCACTTTATTAGAGAAGTGAGGATACGGAAACAGCCTGCTAGACCAATGCGGGCTGCTCAAGAGAGGGTCGGCCAGAAGCAGATTTTAAGATGGGGAAAGTAGTCTGACTGAACTAACAGAAGAAGAAGAATCAAGAAAATTACCTAGGTTTTTAAAAAAATTATAATTTTATTCCTTAAGGTATTAACTATTTGAGAAGCAACCCATTTGGCAGATTGGCAGAAGTTGGGACTGGGGTGTGGGGAGAGATGATTTCATATTTAAACATGTTGAATTTGGTCAAGTCTGTGGGAACATCCAAGTGAGACATCTAAAAAGTAGTTGGAATATATGAATCTATATCTCTGGGCTAGAAATATGGGTTGGATTGTCCTCAAGTGTTAGATGAAATCATAGGAGTGGTGGAGATTATTCAAGGAGAATAGATGGTGGACCTATGATGGAAATATAGGGAATATCAACATTTAAAGAAATAGGGAGCTACAAAGAAAATTGAAGAGGAGTCAGAAACTTGGGTGAAAACTGAGACTGAATGGTATCAAGGAGTCCAAAGGTGGAGCATTTTAAAGAAAGGGGAGTTGTTGATAGTGCCAGATGGTTAAGACAGTGCCCATTGTATCAGCAGCTAAATCATCTGTGACCTTGGCCAGAGCCGTTTCAGTGGAATGCAGGAAACTGAAGCCCTGTCAGTAACCTATGAGGAAGGTAATGGAAACAGTGTGGAATACTCTTTTTGGAAAGTTACCTATGAAAGGAAAGAGAGTTGTTGACAGTCGCTAGGGAACACAGAGTCATCAACAGAGTTCAGGGTGACTTAGGATGTGTTTACCAGGGGAGAGAGAAAATTCAGAGAGAGAGGGTGATAATGCAAGAAGGAGCAGGGACAATTGGTGGAACAAGATTTTCAAGAAATTCAAAGGGTGTGAGATCTAGAGAATAGATACCAGGATTATGCTTAGACAAGAGGAAGGAACTTCCCTTAAGCAGAGAGGGGGAAACATCAAGATATGGATACTTTGTATAGGAAAGCTTTGGCTAAGAAGCAGGGAGATGAAATAATTTCTATGACAGAGTCATTTTGTCTGTGACATTGCAGATGATATTGGTTGAGAATAAGAGAATAGGTGACAGATTGGGGTTTGAAAAATAGGACAGTGTTTGAATGTTCTTCTGTGCAAAATGAAAAGACCTGGAAAAATTGTCAGTTATCTGGCAGGGCCAGTATACTTGGGAGATTATGAGCCCAGTGGCATCTACATTGGGCTGAGTTGATAAAACCACAATGTAGATGTTGGGGTGATGAGTCTCTGCTCCTTGGTTCTTGTCCCCGCCGCGGTGATGAGTCTCTGCTCCTTGGTTCTTGTCCCCGCCGCAACAAAGAATTGAAGGGCAGAGACACAGTAGTGAGGCAGAATAAAAGTTTTATTTGAATGCACTCTAAGGGAGGAACAAGCTAGAGTCAAGGTAGGTAAAGGCAGGTTTACTTGCTGTAAGTCTGGGAAGAGGAAATCCCAGGGCAAAATACTTCTAAAACTGAAATCAGTCAAAGGGAGAAATAAAGTTTAAAACCCATCTATTGTTTACAAACTGCAGTCTGGGCTGTTTCCTACTCCAGCAGAAGCCAACCAGCCCTCCCCTTAACCTCTCAGGTTCAGATAAGCCCTTGGTTGCCTAGGTAATTACCCATTTATATGGAGATAAACAGTTCTCCACCCCTGAGGAACATGTGTTGATATGCAGATGCACTAAAGCCAGGCAAGATATTCTGGAAATATTATAATTTTACCCACATTTGTTTACCTGGGGTAGGAAGGAGAGAGTGAAGACTTAGGCTTAAAGTCTGGAAAACAAAATGGAATAGCAAAGTGACAAAGAGGCCACTGGAATAGCACAGAGACAAAGTGTAATAAGTTGAATAGTAAAAACTCTTTTGAAAATACACACTCCAAGAAAGGGGGGTGTGGGCAACCTCAGAGACGGGGAGGCGCACTTAAGGATTTAGATTATGTCTTTAAGGCTTTCAAGAATGGGGAAAAGGTAAAGGGTTGGTGGGCATGGGCTTCTCAGGTGGTCTCATGATGTGTGTCTCTGGTGAGAAGCAATATGTCATTGTCTAGAGCTGGTCCTCTAGGTAATTCCGTAGGACAAGCCTTTTGCTTCTCTCTTAGATGGTGGCCACTCCCAAGTACTGGGAACACACCAGTTAAAACTGCTTGTTTTGCCTTAAGATAAGTCATTGCCGAATCTAACTTCCCAATTCTCTTTCAAAAGTGGACTATTAGCCTTAAGATAAGTCTCTCCTGTTCTTATTATGCTAATATTAGCATTTATTTAGGAAAATTAATCATAATGCTTGTCCCTTGTCTCTGCCCTATCTCAACTGCATTAGCTGGAGCAAGTCTCAAGGTCAGCCCAGATTCAGAGCATGCAAAGGGCAAGAGTCCTTTCTGGCTCTCTGGCTTAATCTGATTAACTCCCTGAATTCTTGGTGGGCGGCGCCCTCTTTTCATCCTGCTCATATCTGTGTTTGTGCTTAACATAGACGTTTGGATCAATGGTTTCAGTGCATAGCTCCAGATAAGGGAGCAAGGAGAATTGAGAGCAACTGTAGATGCTGAGGCCTAAATCAGTTAAGGATAGCATCCGGGAGGGGATGACTGATTAAGAGGAAATTAAAGGAGAATAGAAGCCTCAGTTTGATCAAAGAAAGGAAACAATGCAGCCAAAGAGTAAAAGGACAGGAGCTTCTTATCAGTAAATAGGAAGTAGAGGCTAAGAGTTGAGACCTGGAACAATCCTGGGAGGTGATAAATGCCAGTGAATAGCCCACATGTGGGGGTGACAGCAACAGCAAGGTGGTGAGAGTCACTGAAGTTGAGGGCTGTCTCGGAGTCATGGGGCATGTTTAACATTAGATCTGCCACAACTAAAGCAGAAGACTGGGAGACCCTCTAGCATCTAACCTCATTTTGTAGATAAAGAAATATACATTCAAATAGCTAAAATACCCCTCTGTTAGTATGAAAACCAGGACAAGAATTGAAGTTCTTTGATTCCCAGTTCAGTCCACCCTCCAATACACCAAATTTTTCAAAACTTGGGTGTACGCATGATCTTCAGGGCTACTGTGAGCCACCAAATTTATACAGGTTTGTGTGCTGTGAACATGCAAGCAAGTTTTATGTTGTAGATCAGGATAAGGTTCATTTCTTTACCAGATCCTTAAAAAGGTTTGTGACACCTAAACAGTCAAATACCTCAGCATCAAGGCATCAGAATTGAAATAAGAAGACCTAGATTCAGGTTTCGTTACTTTTTCCCTCCCTGAGGGTACCCTCCGCTCTGCTGTGCAGAGTGGGTATGAAAACCAGTGACATCTGAAAGAGCTTTGTGAAGCCATCTCAACCTCTCATCCCTCTTTCTCCCGTGCGCTGGTTGATGCCAGGGTTCCTGTTGGCAGAGTTGAAGAATGAACTTTGCAAACACTCAGGTAGGAAAGCAAGGGAGAGGCTTTTATTTAGAGGTAAAGTGAGGCGACAGAGCTCCTGGTGCGCGCCAGGAGGGGGCAAGAGAGTCCGTGGTTTTTATCTTTTAGGTTTAAATGAGGTGTTATCATTGGTCCCAGCCTGAACGCTGCCTGTTTGTTTTAACTAATCCTGCTGAAAATTGCCTATATTCTTACTTTGGTATTTCTGTCCTGAAGAATTTGTGTGACTGCCTTTGCTTGATGTTTAACACAGAGTTTCAGTAGGAGTTTCTCGGCACATTGTTACATTGTTCTGACCATAATTATCCTGTTTCTCTTCTTCCCGAGCCCTTCCCCTACTCTGTCTAGACCCAGGGTCCCTGTCTTATGGTCACTCTTCCCTCTTTCCATCCAGTTCATTATGTCTGATATGTTTTCTCCCTGGACAATGCTCAATACCTCTGCAGACAAAAAAGAAGAGCGCTAGAGGTGTCCAGTTGCCTGGAATTAACCGTAATGGGTAGAAACAAACATGCTCTGGATTACGTTAAGAGGAATGCTGGTAATCAAGTCATCTTGCAGACTCCTTCATATTCTAATCACGATGCCTACCAATCCTTTGGACTAATAGGGTTTTGTGGTTCACTTTAGTCCCATTGTCTGTGTCTGTCTAGATGGCGAGTAAGCTCACTGGATTGGAGGTCCTTTTGTTCATCTTCTTCCTGACTGTATTGACCGTAGACATCTTCCTGCTGCTGCTTGTGTTGGAAACTCCTCCAGGTAAGGGAGGTGCTTGTGGTGTCTGGGTTGGAAGGGTTGATAAAGGAGGTCCCTTCTGGAAGTCAAAGATAGCATTTTCTTCCTTCACTTCTCAGCATGCCCCCACATGGCATTATCCACATCCACCTAAAATCCACTTCCATAGCTAATTTAAGTCAATTTCCAAAAGATAGCTTTTTCTTTTTCTGCAACTAAACCTTGAATGCTAGTGACATTGAGGGTCTCCCAAATCCCATTTCATGCAATTTTAAGAAGACGCAAAATTAGGTTCATCAAGTGCCTGTTTTACAACTCTGAGTCATGAACATAGCCTTCAAGTCCTAGAGCCTTCAAGAAGAGAAAACAGTTGCGGTGACAGTGTCTAATCCTATCACATTAAGGAAAAGGAACTTAAGTTACAGGGAAGTTGAGGGCTGATTAACTTGAACTAAATATATCAATTACAATTAGCCTCCAGCCCATATTCTAAAATAACTATGATTTCTTCTTTGAAACCTTTCTGTCTCACACGGAAGTGTCAAACAGATGCCTTTTCCTCCATGTGCACATTATACTCCATATAATAAAACAATGTGTGTAATAAAAAAAGCTGTTCTTAATGAAAATGGAATTTGAGGTTTATTCTGCTTGATAAAATTCACTTTATAAATGTATATTAAGCATGTGGTAAAAAGAAATTGTGCTGATGGCAGAACCCTACCTATTCAGTCTTTCCACCACTCTCCACAGTAAGCATTAAAGTGCATTTTAGGAACAATCATGACTTTGAAAGATAATTTGGAAACCACTGATATAAACCATTTTTAGCCTATTACTACTTTTTTCCCTATTAAACTTTTTTTGGGTAACAAGTCCCATGAGATTACTACCCAGTGTATATGAATAAGTAGTTTCTTTCATTTGACATAAGCTAGATGATCACTCCTGCCTTCATCCTAAACCATACTCTAATTCATGCAGGGTAGTTCCACTTTTAACTGTTCTACATATTGGACTTCTTCTAAGATATTTTTGAAGATGTGTTGTCATAAGTTGAAAAGGAGCTTCTTTCTTTATTTTTTCTGTGGTAAGAATATGAGGTCTACTTCCTTAACTGAATTTTTAGCATGCAGCACAGTATTGTGATCTGTAGGCACAATGTTGTAATCAGAGCTGTGGGACTTACTCATCTTGCACAAATGAAATTTTATAAATGTTGATCAGCAACATCCTATTTCCCCCTACCCCTCATTCTCTGGAAAGCATCATTCTGTTCTTTGCCTCAGTTAAGTCTGACTATTTTAGATCCTTCATGTAAGTGGAATCATGCAGGTGATTGGCTCAGTGACTGGCTTACTTCATTTAGGAAAATATCCTCCAGGTTCCTCCATGTAGTTGCAAATGACCAAACTTTCTTCTTTTTAATTGTTCTTTATCTATTTTAGAAATTAGCCCCTTCTCAAAAACATGGTCTATACATGTTTTCTCCCATTCCTTCAGATGCCTTTTCATTTTGTTGATTGCTTCTGTTGGTGTGCAAAGCGTTTTAGTTTGATGTCATCCCACTTGTCTATTTTAGCTTTTGTTGCCTGTGCTTTTGGTGTCACATCCATGAAGTCATTACCAAGACCAATGTGATGAAGCAGCTCCCCTATATTTTCTTCTGGGAGATTTACAGTTTCAGGGGTCTTACGTTGGAGTCTCTAATTAAATTTTAAAACAACATTTTGTTTGAATGTATATACAAACAAGTGTAGGGGCTTAAAGGTAATAGAAATGTTTTGAGGTCTTTTTAAAATATAAACAGAGGCATTGAAGGGCACCTGTTATGCACACAGAAACTGTTGCCTCAAGCTTCAGGTGGAATTCTGGGTTTGGGGTGGCTCACAAAACCCACTGAACCAGAGCCTACTTCTGATGCTGTTATATCAGGGGTGGGGGTGGTTATAAAGGTGAGGAAAGGGGTTAACATCCAAAATATATAAAGAACTCACACACCTCAACACCCAAAAAGCAAATAACCCTAGTAAAAATGGGTGGAGGGTATGAACAGACACTTCTCCAAAGAAGAAATTCAGATGGTCAACGGACACATGAAAAGATGCTCCACATCACTAATCATCAGGGAAATGCAAATTAAAACCACAATGAGATATCACCTCATACCAGTTAGGGTGGCAAACATAGAAAAGACTAGGAACAACAAATGCTGGCAAGGATGCCGAGAAAGGGGAACCCTCCTACACTGTTGGTGGGAATGTAAGCTAATTCAGCCATTGTGGAAAGCAGTATGGAGGTTCCTCAAAAAACTAAAAATAAGAATACCATTTGACCCAGGAATTCCATTCCTAGGAATTTACCCTAAGAGTGCAGGAGCCCAGTTTCAAAAAGACATACGCATCCCTATGTTTATCGCAGCACTATTTACAATAGCCAAGAAATGGAAGCAACCTAAGTGTCCATCAGTAGATGAATGGATAAAGAAGCTGTGGTACATATACACCATGGAATATCATTCAGCCATAGGAAAAAAACAAATCCTACCATTTGCAACAACATGGATGGAGCTAGAGGGTATTATGCTCAGTGAAATAAGGCAGGCAGAGAAAAACAAGTACCAAATGATTTCACTCATCTGTGGAGTATAAGAACAAAGAAAAAAACTGAAGGAACAAAACAACAGCAGACTCACAGAACCCAAGAATGGACTGACAGTTGCCAAAGGGAAAGAGACTGGGGAGGGTGGGAGGAAAGGGAGGGAGAAGGGGAGTAAGGGGCATTACGATTAGCACACAGAATGTAGTGGGGGGGGGCACGGGAAAGGCAGTGTAGCCCAGAGAAGACAAGCAGTGACTCTATAGCATCTTACTACACTGATGGACAGTGACTGTAATGGGGTGTGTGGGGGGGGACTTGATAATGGGGAATCTAGTAACCACAGTGGTGCTCATGTGATTGTATATTAATGATACCAAAATAAAAAATAAATAAAATAAAGCTTCTCCAAAGCTTAAAAAAATAAATAAATAAAGGTGAGGAAAGAGTAGCCAATGTTTAATGAAAGTGTTTATTCATGTGGAGTCAATAATATCTTCCCAGTTTACCTCAAAGATAATTGAAAGTGAGTGGGAAAAACATCAGAAACAGACAGAAAACAAATGTGTGGGACAACTGGATATCCACATGTAAAAGAATGATGTTGGGTCCTTACCTGACATAGTAATGAAAATTAACTCAAAATAGATCAAAGGTGGAAATGTAAGAGCACGAACTGTAAAACCCTAGGAATAAAGCATACATTTAAATATTTGTGACCTTGGGTTGGACAACAGTTTCTTAGACATGACACCCAAAACAATAACCAAAGAATAGGTAAATTGGACTTCAAAATGAAAAAAAAGTGTGCTTCAAAGCATGCTATCAAAGAAGTGAAAAGACACAGAAATGGCATATCTGCAATGCTCTAGTATCCAGCATATATAAAAAAGATCTTATAATTCAAAAAGAAAAAGAATCTAATTTTTAAAATGAGCCAAGGATTTGAAATGACATTTCTTCATAGAAGCTCTAGAAGGGATTGATAAGCCATGAAAAGATATTCAACATATGTCATCAGTTGTTTGGGAAATGCAGGTCAAAATGACATACCCTTCATACCCACTAAGATATCTTTAATAAAAAGACAATAATAAATGTGGAAGATATGGAGAAATTGGAACCCTCAGACATTGCTAGTGGGGATGTACAATGGTGCAGTCATTTTGGAAGAAAGATTTGGCGGTTCCTCAAAGAGTTAAAGATAGAGGTAGCCATATTACTTAGCGATTCCATTTCTACACATGTAACCAAGAGAATTTAAAACAAGTTCACACAAAAACATGTATGTGAATGTACCCAGCTGAATTCTGTATAGTAGTCAACAAGGAGAAACAACCCAAATGTATATCAACTGATGAACAGATTCTTCGAAGTGTTACATCCATACAATGGTATGTGATTCAGCCATAAACAGGAATGAAGTACTGTTACATGGTACACCATGGATGAACCCTTGGAAACCTTATGCCAAGTGAAAGGTCACGTGTGTATGGTTCCATTTACATGAAATGTTCCAAATAGGCAAATCTGTAGAGACAGAGTGGATTAGTGGTTGCCGGGGTGGGGCAGAGAGGAATGGGAAGTTACCACTAATGAGTGTATACATCTTTTAGGTATTGATGAAAACGTCCTGGAATTAGACAGTGGTGATGTTTGCATAACTTTGTAAAGTACAAAAAGCCATTGAATTGTACACACTTTAAAAGGGTGAATTTTGTGAATTATATATATCTCAACAAAAACCAGCCAAACAGAGAGCAAATGTGTTTAACATTTGGAAAAGTGTTGAACATTGCATGCCAATGGAGGTACTAGTGATCATTGGTTGGGGCACTGGCTGAAAATTTGTTGTGACCTTGCCTGCTTCCTTCCTGGAGCTATGATTACATACAGATTTTCACCTTTGTCCTTTAATTCCTATGCAGGTACTTCATTTATTCCAGAGTGTCCGCAGATCCCCGAATCTGAAAGGATAGACTGCACACCTGGCCAGGTGGTGACAGAGGTCAGAGAAATGGGCTCCATGCTGTTGGCCTGCTGGGTTTTATTTAAAGAAATGAGTATGTGAAGTGGGGAAAGAGTGGTGGTGGAGTCGATTATGCACCTCCTATTTTATTCCTGCCACATATTCTGTTTTATACCCCATAATATCCTATTGGGATATTAGTTAGGACTGCATTGAATTTTGGTTACCCTTAGGCATTATAGACATCTCAATAATTTTGAATCTTCCCAATTATTTTTTATATAAGTACATTTCTCAAGTGAGTTTTATGTTTTCCTTGATACATACTTTATTACATACGGCTTATGAAGTGTTTCCCCCTAGATACTCATATACTTAGTTTCTGTTGTAAATACAATCTATTATCTGTTCTAACTGGGACTTTGTTTATTTAATGCTTCTTTTATGATGAATTATTATTTAATACTTATATTTATATATTTACGTTATCTCATAATATATTAATTATATAACTGGCCAACTTAAATGTCCTATTGTTTCTAAAATGGCTTTTGTAGTTCTTTTTCTTGAGTTAAGTACTTATATCCTAGGAAAATGATGATCTATAGGAATGGAATTTTCAGTTCATAGGACTTGTACATGTTTATCTTTAGCTAATATTGCAAAATAGTTTTTCAAAGTATTTGTGCCAATTTACACTCCTGCTAGTAGTATAGAAGAGTTCATTTGCTGTATATCCTTACCTCTCTTGGTGTTTTCTCCTCTTTCAAGGTCCTGTTCTGTGCTTTGATTTGTATGCCCCTCATGACTAATGAAATTAAACACCTTTTCATATGCTTGCTTACTGGCTAGATGAATAATCATATTTGTGAAGTGTCTTTTCAATTTTTCTTGTCCAGTTTTTTCTATTGGGCTGTTCATATTTTTCTTATGCTTTGTAGTAATTATGTATTCTGGATACAATTTTTTTGATAGTTATGTAAGTTTTAAGTATCTTATTCTGTGGTCTGACTCCTCAGTCACTTGAGGGTGACTTGATGAAACATATTCACTAATTTTAATAAAATATACTATCAATTTTAATAGTGTAGTTTGTATTCTCTTTAAAAATTCTCACCTACTACAAGGTTAGAAAAATAAATTCCTATAATTTTCTCTAAAAAGCTCTTTTATCTTTCATATTTAGATCTACAATCACTCTAGAATTGGTTTTGCATGTGGTACCAAGTAGAAGTCCAGAACATTTTCTTTTTCTTGAATTACTAACAGATCTATCATCACTTATGAAATTACCATCTTTTTCTCTCTACATTGTAGTGGCACCCTTACTACAAACTGCATATCTTTCTATGTGTGAATCATTTTTTAGGATCTGTAGTTTGTGCCATTGTTAGTTTGTCTGGTTTTTGTCAATACCAACTGCCTTAATTACTAGACCTTTATACTAGGTATTGATATAGGGGTGTGTATATCCTCTAAATCATTATTTTTCTTCAAGACTACCTAACCTATTTTTGGCCTTTTAAATTTCTGAGTAAATTTTAGAATCAGCCTGTCACTTTCCACATAAAATCTACTGAAAATCTGATCTTGGTCAGATAAAATTTACAGGTTAATTTTGGGACAACTTCCATCTTTATAAGAATGAATATTCTAATCCATGAGCTTGATAGAGTCATCAATTCATTGAGATTTTTGTTTTTGAAATTTTGTAGAGGTCTTAACATTTTTTTCCTAATTTTTTCTGTCTGATGTTTGATTTTAAATGTTATTTTCAACGTTAATTTTCCCTTTAGCTGTTGTATTGATTTAAAACTGATATTTTAAATATTCCTCCTATAACCAGAAATCTTCTTAAATTTGCTTGTTAATTATCTTAGTTTGACTATAGATTCTTCTGGATTTTTCCTTACACAATAATGTTACCTGTGAATTATGAGTATTTAAATTTTTTTCAAAGATGCATTTTTTTTCTTCTTGTCTTATAATACTAACGATCCTTTTGTCTTCTAATTTTTCAGTATAGCTTGAGATATTTTATCTAGTAGGCAATATGCAACTATCATAGGTTTTAGAGAATGGAACTTTCTGGAGACTGATATTAACTAAACATAAGGAATAACTTTGCAATAAAGTATTAACTATAAATGCAGAATTTCTTATTTTGGAAGAAGTTGGTTACACATCACTCACAGTATTGCAGCATCTGTCACTCTACTGAAAACATCCTTACATCAAATGGAAGTTGGATTAGATAATCTTCAAGTCAGTTCTCAAGTTTTAGTAGTCAATGATTTCTGAGTGGCAAATGTCATAAGAATCTATTTGGAAGATAACTGAAGAATACTCTTGAGTAAAGTTTGGTGTTAAGGAAAGGGTAGAATCAGGGAGACTTGTCGTGGGTCAACTGCTATAGTCCAGACAGTAGTTATAAGAGTCTGTGCTATTGTGGTCCAATGGAAATGGAGAAGGAGGAGATTCTTTATATATATATGGTCTGACTTACGGTGTCTAGGTTGCTGGTAATGGCTTAAAACTTAAATAGGGATGTTAGGGCAGATTGCCTGCAAAAATATTGTGTTTACCTGAATGTACTGGATTTCCTGTCTCATTGCTTTTCATAGAGGTCTGTAGACTTTGGAACAATTTATGGCAATGAAACTGACCTTTTGAACATTACAGACCTCAGTTTCAGAGATAGTGGAGGTGCTTAAAACATGTGCCTCAGGCTTAGGAAAATCAGTTATCCAGAGGTTATCCAGAAGCCCCAGACTCTTTCTTCACTGATCCCCTGCAAGTTGTTTTGTTACCCGAAAAGGATGAGGCAGGAATCTCAGTTATACATATGGAGAATTAATAAGTACATTTGAGAAGAGTTTATGTTTATAATGGGATTGCTTTGCTTATAATAGGTGTGTAATGTTGATTTGTCATATTCATCTTACAGTTTTTCAATTACATCAGATGTTAGCTTCTAAAATAATTGTTAGTACGATACCTCTTCCAAATGAGTAGTGTTGTGACATGTTCTTCCATTGTTTTGTCACAAAATCTACACTGGATATATTCCAATAATAAGAAAGATTCAGACATCATAGCTATGTGCAGAAGAAAATGGGAAAGTCCTTATGCGTCCTCTCTACCTCCAAATCCCCTCCCAGAATCAGCTCAATAGCTTGGGGTTATCCTTGTCTTGATCTTTCTATGCTTTTTGCATGCCTTTAGATATTTTGCACTTTTATTTATATAGTTTTTGTTTTGTCTTAACATAAATTTGGTCACACTATATATCTTATTTTATAACTTGGTTTTTAAATTTCAGGCATTTAAATGTACCAAATTACTTTATTTTAAAAATAGTTTGCTTCTGTTGAGATGATCACATGATTTCTTTAGGTCAATGCTGTGAATTATATTAAAAGATTTCTTAATTTTGAACCATTCTAACTTTCACTTGATAATCCTTACTTGGCTTTTATGTATGAATTCTTTTAATACACTAAGGAATTCAAATTGCTAGTATTCATTAAAATTTTACATATTTTTGTTTTTTAAAGAGAAATTGGCATATATACTTTTGTTTGCTTGTTTATTTGGATTTGTCTAGTTTGTTGCCAGAATTGTACTAGTTTAATAAAATGAATCAGGAAACTTTCCACCTTTTTTCTATATTCTGAAAAAAATATATATACAACAGGATATTATTCTAGTCCCTAAATCATCTGGGCAAGGTATCATTTCTTTAGGGAAAGACCTTTGACTTAATGTTACAATTTCCTATGGCTACTGCTCATTTTAGGTTTTCTAGTTCTTCTTATCTAATTTCAATTATTTAACATTTTACTCTTTAAGGACTGAAATTACAGTTTCACACTCAGTGGCAAATATTTATACAGTTTTCTTATAATTATGATTTATGTTTAAAATCCTATCTATCTGCTGTCATTCTCCATTTTTGTTTCTAATCTTGTTTGTCTCCCTCTCTTTTGTCAAAATAGGACTTGATAAAGTATTCACATTTCTTTGACCTTTTTAGAGAGTCTCCTTTGGATTTTTTGATCTGCCAAACTAATATCAAAGCAAGTCCTCACAATATAGTGACTATCAGTGTGGAGTCATAGCAGGAATTGATACTTATGCCACTGGAAGATTATAGGCAGTTCTGAAATGCATATTTTCATTCATGTGCGCTTAAATTGAGTTCATAACAAAAGTGGCATTTCAAATCAATAGTGGAAACAAGGCGTGTTTAATGAACAGTGGTGTCTGCCTGACTGCGCTTGCTGCAGCTCTGTGTCAGCGAGCCTAGATGAAAACCTGGACAGAGAGGATTCTCATTTCAAGTTTTGAATTGGAGACGGTAGATGCCTGCTCCTTTCTTCTTTTCAAAATTACTGTTTTTACTAGTGTAAGTTGTTCATGTCATTTTTATGGTTTATTCTGTTCTTTTCTAGTTTCTTGGCTTGTATATTGTGCTGTCCATTCTGTATAGCATTGCTTTCTCTCTTTGACCCCCCACCCCCACCTGTGTTCTTTCCCCTCCTTATGGAATCTTCTGGTTGAGCACTGTTATCTGAGTCCATTGGTCACTCTGCTCTCTCTTCCTCTCATTTTTCCATTTCATTATCTTTGTGTGTGATGTTCTAGGACAGTCCTAAACTTGATTAATTTTGTTTTGTTTTAACATCTTTTACTGTTTCCTTTTTGTTATTGCATCCAAACATTAAAGTGTTTTCAATCTCGTTTGATATCTTAATTTTCAATTATCTGTATTGTTTTCTTTTTAATGGAAGCAACAGCTCTGTGCCTCTCTCTGAAGATGAGATCTATTTTGAACGCTTGCCATGTTTCTTCTGTTAGCTGTTTCCTCCAATTTGTTTATTCAATTTATTAAGTTGGGCACCTTTCTCATGGTATTGGTTTCTCTCAAATGGTTGGCAGTTCTTGACTGTCATCTTCATGTTTAATTATCTCTGACTGCCTGTCCTTTTTACCTGGGCTCACGCTGAGTATTGAGGCTGGAAGGAAGGACTGCAGAAGAGAATCTGCCACTGGTTGGTCGCCACGCCTCCTGGCTTGCAGCATCTCTCCTCACGTCCCTTAGCTTATGAGCAACTACTTGGGGACGCCTGTCAGTTAGGAAGACCTTCCCCAACAGCTGTGAGGAGCTCCAGCTGCTGGTGGCAAGATCTGCATCTTATTTATCTATATTATTAGTTCTTTGTTCAACAGGCAACAAATGCATATTGGATGGCTGAATAAATGTATGAATAAAAGGAGAATGAATAATAACTGAATGGAATTATGACCTATTTTAAATTCTTCTTGGAATACACTTGGTTATAAACAAATAGACAAGTTTTGCTTCCCTCATTCCCTATAATGTTAACTTGTGCCACTGTGACAGGAGGTCTGCTCATGGCGATATAAATGCTGCTGGAAGGTTGCGACAGATACTAATGTTCCCAGATGTTTCTTCCCTAAGAACTGGGGCTATGAAATCAGCAATGACCCTAAAAATACAAGCACAGGTGAGCAATGCCCTAAGATTGCCCCTGGGAACAACTCTTTATAGCCCAAATAACTAAGCTACAAAATAAAGGCTAAGATCTCCCCTCTCTTCTGTCTCTCTCCTCCCGCTCCCACTAGGGTTTACTGCCCAGTTGAAAAGGTTGCCATCTCCATCCTTATTTGGATATGATGTCACCGACACCCTCTTCACAGCTGAATATCAGACATCCAGTCGTTTTCATTTTAAGGTTGGTTTGATAGTTACCATTGAAGAAAGAAGTGCCCCTATGCTGGGTTCAGATCATTCCCCTTCATGCATTGCAGAGAAGTGCCGCTGCCCCTCTTTGATGGTGGACATGATTGGGTGATTTCTCCCCACCTATCAGGAAACACAGGGTTAAGAATTAGAAGGTATTCTCATTGCGGGCTGTTTGAGAGCAAAGATCTTTTGTAGCTAGCTCTACAAGGGAGTGGTCTTATCTGGAGTTGTCCCTTCTGTTTTTCTTCTGACAGATCACTGATGCCAATAACATGCGCTATGAAGTCCCCCGTGAAAATATTAACTCCCTTAACAGGACTGCTAATACCTTCACTTTGAGCTATAACATAGAAGTCGTTCATAAACCCTTCAGCATCAAAATAATGAGGACGAGCAACAATAGAGTCTTGTGAGTTTCATCACAGTTCTGATGCCTTTCGTTCTGTCTTACTGGGAGTGGGTGATAATTGGACTTGGGAAAATGTTTGAGCCTCAGAAAAATGTCAAAGCCTTGGCTGTAAATACTGTAAACCATTAACATTGTTAATGTTTAGGACTGCAAAAAATGTTAGTTTGCCAGGTTATATAAATATACTTGCGGTTCACATACGTTATGAGATAAGGCATTTTATTATTTGGGGTTACCATTCACACTGGAATTCAACTTCAGTTTTTGTCATTCTCAATTATTATTTCTTGAGAAACTTACCTAACAGCAGCTTGAGTTTAGGTGGTCAATTGTACTGGAGGAAATACAAGGATTAATGTCACTAACAGGTGCCTTCACATCCTGGCGCCAGCAATCACCAGTCAGCTGTGTGATACTAAGTGGAGCACCTCCCCATAGAGAGGGAATCAGAATAGCCACTGTTGCTTGAGTACTGACAGCATATTTATGAAGCATCCGAACTGTGCTTGGCCTGAAGGAGGTGCACAGCAAATGTAAGACTGCACCTGCTTTCTTCCCTTAGTCATCAACTTGAGTTTCTGGTGTCACATCACCAGTGCTACGCTCCTCAAGAATTAACCAAGACACCCTAGGAAAGGCCTTTAAAGGTAGCATTAAAGTGGATGATAGCACTTGAAACAGCTCTTCTCCAAGTGTTGAGGGGAAGCAGCAGTTTCCTGGCAGAGCATTGTTTGGTGACTGGCTCTTACTCCACGGCCCAGGTTGGACACGAGCATCGGGCCCCTGCAGTTCGCCCAGCAGTTCCTGCAGCTGTCTCTCCGGCTGCCCAGCACCAACGTGTATGGGCTGGGAGAGCATGTGCACCAGCAGTACCGCCACAACATGACCTGGAAGACCTGGCCCATCTTCACCCGGGACGCCAAGCCCACTGAGGTGAGGCCCCCTCCCCCTGCTATGCTCACAGAGACTTGCTCTCCTTTCCAGAAAGTAGCCTACGGAGTGAAGCAACCTAGAGTGGAATGGAGGCAGAGTTACGTCTGTGTATTATTTTGCCCAGTTTAGACCAGTTTATATTGGAGAAACTTTGTTGCTGAGCCTTACAAACTCACAGTTGCCAATACACCAATTCCTTAAAAAAAATCTCAGTTTTAAAGGAAAATATAATTCAATGACTATAGTATGGCCTAATATATATTAGAAAATACTTCTGCAAAATAACTATGTTTGTATTAACTAAGTAGTATCTAGAGCTTCAGGAGGAGCTATTCTCAGTAGTACTTCGTAGACTAAAACATGCCTCTATGGGCAGCTTTAATGTTGTTCTGTGTCTCTGCTGGTTAAAGTATGTTCCAGAGACAGCAGTGTTGGCATCACGGAAAGTTGTTAGAAATGCAGAATCTCAGGCCATTGCCCAGACCTACTGAATCAGCATCTGCATTTTTAACAAGATCTACAAGTGAACTGCATGCATATTAAAGTGTGCAAAGAGCTCAAACTAGTCTAGAGCAGTGCTTCTCAACTTATCTGTAGTAAAGGAGTAGTTCCCTCCTCTCCCTCCCTCCCTCCCTTCCTTCCTTCCTTCCTTCTTCCCTCCCTCCCTCCTTTCCTTTCTTTTCTTTTCTTTCTTTTGTAATCCAGCACAGACAGTACTTCTGTAAGATATAACTAAAAGTAAAATACACTGGGAAAGTGAAATAAAAATACTCCAAGACATACAAAATACAAGCCTGGATTTTAAATCGCACAGATGTAAAATTACTGTTTTAAATTGTTACAAAAGAGTCTCTAAAGTCTTTCTCGTGGTTTCTGTACCTACCTTGCTGACTTACAGCGAAGGGTTTGGGTAGGAAGCAGTCCATGGACAATGCTTGAGTAGTATCGGTTTGTAGCGCATGTCTTGACGTCTCCGTTTATTGATGATGTTTCTCAGATCTGTGCAGGAGCAAAGGCTGATGTATGTTGCAAAGGAAGGACAGGACTGAAGTTTTGTAGTTCATAGGCCAGAGGAGATGAGCAAACCAAATAGCTTGTGAACTGACCCCCCTGCCAGAAGCCGATGCAACAGAAAGAGCTCACTTACTGAACCCAACAAGGAAAAAAAAGCAACGGGCAGCCCTTTCACTCACAGGCATGGTCAGAGACTTTGACAATTACAGGATGCTGAGCATCACACTGAGCGTGGAGTCCTACAGCTGAAATTCTTGAGTTACATAGTCTCAGATCAGATTAAAATACTTCTTTTTCTTTTCTCTTTCTTTTCTTTCCCTCCCTTCCTTCCTTTCTCCCTTCTCCCCTTCTCTTTTCCCTCTTCCTTTTTTCTTTCTTTTCCACTCTTCCCAACTATTCTTTGTTTCTTTTTAATATTCTTAGTCTGTATTCTATCCAAGTGTGCCCATGAGTCGTCCTGGCTATAATTTTAAACATAGCCTAATTTTATATAGGCCTGCCGATGCATTTCACATACCGTGCCGATTCCCTTTCCCCTCCTCTCCTGGAAGTTACCAGAATCAGTACGTTGCCCTGTCCCCAGGGGTAAGTTCGCAGCATCACATAGGGAGCTTCCGTAAAGCTTTCTGTATTCATAATCTCAGTACCTTCTATTCTTACAGCACTTAGAGTTTTACACAGTATCTCTTTTTATATCAGGGCTCATCATAGCCCTGTGATAGGCTCACTACATTTTTTTTTTAATTTAAACTTTTTTTACTACCTACTTATTTATAGGTTAATTATAGAAAAGTTAGAAAAATACAGTTAGGCATAAAGAAGAAATTGGGAATTGCTCATAATACCGTCATTTCTGCTAACGTTTTGTTATACATCATGGCACATTTTTTCCAATTAAAAAAAAAAAACATATAATTTATATACCATAAAATTAACTTGTCTTAAGAATACAGTTCAAGAATTTTAGCACATGTACCGAGCTGTGCAACCATCATCCTAATCCGATTTTAGGATGTATTCATCAGCCCAGTAGGATCCCTCACACCCTTCAGTCTTAATCCCCATTCCCACACCGGTGTCCACACCTGCCTCAATCACAAACCAATTTTCTGTCTCAAGCAATTTGACTTTTCTGAACATTTCATATAAATGGAATCATGCAATCTGTGGGCCTCTGTATCTGTTTCTTTCACTCAGCATACCACTTCTGAGGTTTATTCATGATGGAGCTTGTATCACTATTTCACTTCTGATTATTCCGACAGTATTCCATTGTGTAGATGTGTCGGGGTGTTTTGTTTACCCATTTGCTGGTTGATGTTACCATTTCAATACCTTTGTGGTACAACACGAAACCCCAACATGTTTCGTTGACCAAGCATGTTGTGCAAGGCTTTTGATTTCATTTCAAGGTGAATAAAAACACTTGTAAGATATGCTATTGTTATTTCTTTCCGTTTTTGTTGACAGGGCATGATTAATCTCTATGGAGCTCATACATTCTTCTTGTGCCTTGAAGACACCAGTGGCTCTTCCTTTGGGGTTTTTCTGATGAACAGTAATGCCATGGGTAGGGAGCATCTTTTTATCTTGGCAGGAATGTTTTGTGATGCTGCTTTTATAAAAATGACTGTCCTGGTGAGGTCACTGTTAAACAGAAAGTATATTGGCCCTACGATGCTTCTGTAAAAACTGGATCCAAGAGTAGGTTAACGTGTTTACAAAACCAGTTCATGCTGAAAGCTATTTTCATTGAAAACTACTTCAGGGTTCTCCTTTGGTACAATGTTTTCCATAATATTCTGTACATAATGAGACCTTTGATAGACATGGACCAAAGATACCTGCAGATTTCTTTTTTTTATTGGAATATAGTTGATATACAACATTATATTGATTTCAGATGTATAACATAGTGATTTGATAATTATTATTTAATGAAATATCATCTAACTAAATATTATATAACTAAATGCTCACCACAGTAGGTGAAGTTAGCCCTGTTATCATACCAAGATATTACAATATTATTGGTTGTATTCTCTATGTTGTACTTCCATTCCTATGACTAATTTGTATAATTTGAAGTTTGTACTCCTTAACCCCTTCATCTATTTCACCCATCCCCCTCCCCCCTCCCTGTGGTAACCAACAGTCTATTGTCAGCATTTATGGCTCTATTTCTTTTTTGTTTGTTTAGATTCCACATGTAAGTGAAAGCATATGGTATTTGTCTTTCTCTGACTTACTTTGCTTAACATGATACCCTCTAGGTTCATCCATGTTATTGCAAATGACAAGATTTTCTTCTTTTTTATGACTGAGTAATATTCCATTGTATATATGTACATCTTCTTTATCCATTCATCTATTGATGGGCATTTGGGTTGCTTCCATATTTGGCTATTGTGACTAATGCTATAATGAACATAGATGTTGCATCTAAAAGAATAAAATACCTGGGAATAAACAACCAAAGAGGTGAAAGACCTGTACTCTAAAAACTATGGCACCGATGAAAGAAATTGAAGAAGGCACCAATAAATGGAAAGCTCTTCCATTCTCATGGATAGGAAGAATTTTTATTGTCAAAATAACCATCCTGTCTAAAGCAATTTACAGATTCAATGCAATCCCTATCAAAATACCAGTGGCATTTTTCACTGCATTAGAGCAAATAATCCTAAAATTTAAAACTCTTAATAGCCAGAGCAATCTTGAGAAAGAAGAACAAGCTGAACATATGCTCATAGATTTATAGCTATGCTACAAAGCTAAGGTGATTAAAACTGTGGTACTGGCACAGGACTAGATTCATAGATCAGTGGAACAGAATAGAGAGCTCAGAAATAAACCCACGCACATAAGTCAATTAGTATATGACAAGGGAGGCAAGAATACACAATGAAGAAGAGACAGTCTCTTTAATAAATGGTGTTGGAAAAAGTGGATGGCTACATGCAAGACAATGAAACTAGATCACCATACATAAAACTAAACTCTAAATGGATGAAAGACCTAAATGTAAGACATGAAATCATAAAACTTTTAGAAGATACCTGTAGATTTCAACATGTAAACCATGCTGTCTGTCTATAGGTAACAAGGCTGAGTTGCAGGCTGTTCCTCATAGCCCATCCCTTCCCCACTCCAGAATCCTCCTCCTCCAGCTTCTGGACTAATGGTGCTCAAAGCGTTTGTTTTTATTTTTATTTTTTGTTGTGGTCAAACTCACCTAGCAAGGTTTTTAAACTTTCCCTAAATTGCATTCACATATCCCAGCCATTTGTATTTTTACATGGCCAGATTAAAACAGAATTTGTTCTTCTTTCTCATAAAAAAAATAAATTCTTTATTTGTGTTTACTCGTCTAATATTTGTAAACTTCAGCAATTGTCTAAAAAAAGGAACATGTGTGATTTTCATCTGTTTCAAAATGAGACTGAGACTGTTTCGGATAACTCAGGGATTCATATTTTAGAGATTGTATGCGCTGTGTCCAAGCACTAAATTGTAACACTTCTTATTTTGATCCTTCAGAGGTCACCCTTCAGCCTGCTCCTGCAATCACCTACCGCACAATTGGGGGCATTCTTGACTTTTATGTGTTCCTGGGAAATACTCCAGAACAAGTGGTTAAGGAGTACCTGGAGGTATGGGCTTTGCTTTTAGATAGCCATTATTTTTTGCTGTGATCCCATAATTTCATTATAAATTACCAAGAGAAAAATTAAACTATGAGTAAACTCTGGTTATAAATGCTGGGATTGTGAGTCTTTCATGCAATGTATGCTTATTTTGATGCACGTTTTTTGGGAGCCTTCTGCATGTTAAAGAGGCACTGCAAAGTTAGTGAATCACAAGAGTTAAGTCAGATACCATCCTGTTTCTAAGGAGCTCATAGTCTATCCATGTATGATCAATCATTCCAAAGATCTCAGGCCACAAGTCAGCAAAGTTTATTTATTCATTCATTCAGTAAGTATTTAGTGAAAAGAAACTACATGAAAGTAACTGTTCTATTTTTTATTTTAACTGTAGGACAGGAAGGAGCTTCAGACACAATTTAGCCTTAAGTTCCTACTTTTTAGATGAACAGACTCAGAAAAATGAGGCAAATTGTTCAAGATGACACATACGGTCCCAGATGCCAGTGAATTTCTAATCAAGTAGGAGAAATATAACACAGCCTGAAATAATGACAATAAGAAACATCTTACAATCATTGCCACTAGTGAGGTGAAAATGGATTGTATGGGATTTCAGAGGCATGAGGCCAAGCATGCTGTTGAGGAGGAGCCTCTCATATGGGCAGACAGGGGCTCTTAGGAAGCCATGGGCTTTATCTGGGACCTTCTCGGAATGTTGGCTTGAGCCACTTGTATACTTGGATGTTCAACATAGTCCAGTATTTCTTCATGTGTACCACTTATGATCCTATCAGTCCTATTCCTTTATCCTTAGCACATAACACTGTCAGAAACTATATTAGACATTTATTTAACTCCTTTATTCTCTGTGAGAGAAGGAACTAAATTCGCTTCATGCCACTATATCCCAAGTGCCTACATGAGCCCCTTCTACATCATTAACACTCAGAAAATATTTATTGAGAGAATGAATATTACTTCTTTCTCTGCAAGATGACAGCACTATTCAAGCATTTTCTGCAAGTCCCATTATTTTCTGATATTGCAACTGTCAGGAATACATTTAGTGCTTAGGAAAGAAAGATGTGAGTTGTAGACTTTTGCAAATTACTCTTGACTCTGACATTTTAAATCTGGGAACCTTACAGAAAATGAAGTGGGAAGTGGGGATGAGGTTTTCCATATAAGACATGATGCTACAAACAGTGTTTATTCTAAATGCTTAGACACTTATTTATTTATTTTTCCAGCTCGTTGGACGACCATTCTTGCCTCCATACTGGAGTCTTGGGTTCCAGCTTAGCCGCAGGAACTATAATAACATTGATGGGTTGAAAAAGGTTGTAAGCCGAACTCGTGAAGCTAGGATCCCATATGTAAGTTGGAACTTCTTTAATCATGCATAAAGCACCATTGCCTATATTTTATTTTTTGCATCTAATTCAATTTATTAGGAAAAGTAGAGATAGATAGATGAATAGGTAGATAGATAGATAGATGATACATAGGAAAGTAGATAGACACACACCTGTCAGAAATTTATATGCTAAATTACCTGTGGTCATGAAAAGAGCACAGTTTATGGAGTCAGATGGATGTGATTTTGAATTTTAGCTTTACTTCTTAGCTCTATCAATGTTGGCCTAGTTAATTAATGTCTTAGTTTCCTCTTTTATAAAATGAGAGTAAAATACTGGACTAAGGCTTACTTTGGTGGGCTGGTAGTGAGAAATGCTTTATACTGTGCATTGAAAGTTTATGGCACAGAGGATGAACTCCATTAAAGTTAGCTGTTATTTTATAAGGGAAAGCAACACCTGGGTGATATGGTTCCTAAAAGCTGATGACTCAAAGTACACAAGTCTCTCACAGTGACCTTGCAATCTCTGTTTACATCTAGCATACTCTAATTTGGAAAGCTCTATGGTTGCAAAGCATTTATGATGTTCAATGTCCATTAACAAATGGAAAGATAATTATTATGTGTATAATATTTGACAAGCTCCTCCAGGGGGTGCATAACATGCAGTTAATGAAGTTGTCAATCAATTTATTTTGGGCTAGACCTTTGGAACTGTGAAGCATGCACGCTCGTGTAGCATAAGAAAGAAGATTGTACTGGTAGAAATGACTTTGGACTGATCTCAGGATTTTTCAACCCCCTCTCAGAGCAGCAATGAGGGAATGCACAGAGAGGAATTTTTCCTGTGAGTTAAGGGGAAACTGATCATAAGTTAGGGGAAATTCATTTTCCTTGTCCTATATCTGCTGTCTGCAAACACTCAGGTCCAGGAGGAATCAGGCCAAATATTGCCACATCATTAGTATTTTACAAAGCCCTTTTGCATTCATGGTTAACCCATGTTTATTGGTATTTTAAAAAAGAGGAAATGGAGACACTACATGGTTCATTACTTTTCTAAGGCCACTACATTTAGCTAAATGAAAGGACAAGGATTCAAAAATAGTTTGATTACATGTGGTGTTGGTTTTAGTCTATCCCCATGCCTCTGATGGGAAGTGCTTTTTTGTGATGTGGCTGATTCAGAAACAAACATGAGCTTTTCTTCCATGGAAGGGATCCTTCTCACTGTGTGGCTGTGGAAAACTTCCGGGTCCTAAGTGACTGCTCAGTATTAGAGCAGATGCTGCTGCACTGGCAACAGGGCCACAAGCCACTTTTTCTTTCAGGCCCGAAAGTTAGAATCTTCTAACACACATGAAGAATACTTACTGCATGAGGAATACTTACTTAGAAGATCATTATGTATCTTTGAAGTATGTAGCAGATTGGGAAAAAAAAGCATCTGGAGTCGAAGGGCCAGTCACCAAGCCTCAATCGACCCCCGCCCATCCATGCATATGACCTTGGGAGCTGTCACTAAATGCTGTCACATTTCAATCTTACCTGCTCCTCACCAGTTGCAAACAAACACAAAAATACCATGTGTGTGGGCTTAGTTAATTCAAAGCTCTATCCCTTTGCCTTTTATCTGTGTTAATTATTGCTCTAGTAGTTTTATAGGGCAAGAAGACCGTTTTCTCCTTTTGTGATGTGTTCTAGCTTACTGTTTAGGATCCAAGTTAGCATGTAGTTATAACATTACTAACAGGCTCATTCAAGCAAACATTAGAGAAACCCCTGTTTTATGTCAAGCATCCAAACTCTCAAGTTACAAAGATGGGCAAGACACAGTCCCTACCATTAAATTCCTCCCAATACCTATGACATGCATCTATCAGGACGAAGAGATAAAACTGCAACCTAAGGGTGCCTGCATCTTTCATAAAGGACTTACTTCTGAGAGGTGGCCTAGTCCTGGAAGTTCCAGGGTCATTAAGAAATTTGGCTTCAGTTTTAATGACCAAGAACCAGAGCTATAACACTTTGCATCAGCACGGTGCCATTGCCTGGGTTCTGACCGGCCAGCACTGTCTTTCAGGATGTCCAGTACTCCGACATAGACTACATGAACGAAATGAAGGACTTCACTATTGATGGAGTGGCTTTCCCCAATCTCTCAGATTTTGTCCAGGAGTTACACAACTATGGATTGAAATATGTAATTATTATGGTATGTTCAAATGCTAAGTCTGTTGCCTAGTTTTTCCATTCAAAGCGCAAATGAAGTTTACAAAAATAATAGTTATTAATCTTTTTTCTTTTTTTTTTTTTGTTAGAATCCTGGCATCTCCAATGATCCTGACTACGAGCCCTATCAGAATGGAAGTAAAAAGAGAGTATGGGTCATGGGAAGCAATGGTTTTGTCATTGGAATGGTAATTTCTCAAGAAAATCAGAGCAGATTACGGTTGTTTGGGGAAGTTTGTACTTTTGGTGTAAAGATGGGTGGAAGGCAAGTTATAGTATCATGACTGTTTCCTCAGTAGAAGTTTCTTTTATTATTATTTTTAAACTGGTAGAGGTAACAGGAGAATGATTAAAACTCTGATGGATTTATTTTTTAACTGAAATAGATTTGACATGTAACATTATATAAATTTAGGAGGTATGACATCTTGATTTGGTACATTTATAGGTTGTATGATTGTTATTGTAGAGATAGCTTCTTTATTATGTCACATAACTTTCTTTTTTGCAGAGGGACTGATTAAGATGTAGTCTCCAAGAAGCAAGCCCCGACCTTCTAATACTACAGATAATTGAGAAGCAATATATTATTAGAAAAAACTCATTTATTCTTAAAATCGTCTCATAAACATATTTTAGTTATCTAGAAAGTAGATTATCCAGATCTGGGAGTCATTTCGGTAGTGCTCATATTTCAGTGGTATATGATTAGGAATTTGCACATAGTTACAAGAATTTAATGAGATAGTTACCTCCATTGACTCCAGTGATTCATAAGTAACACAAATCATTTGAGGTAAGATGTTGGCAGAGGTCATAGTGCTGGAGGGGTTGGGGCTCATTAAGGAGGCATTTGGATAGAATGAAGTTTGCTGCGCTTGTTCTCAGCAGAATGTTGCTGAGAACACTCCTTTGTCACACTTTCTGTTTCCTGGAGGCCAAAGTTGCCTCTAATTATTATTTGATCTGCATCCGCCATCAGCTAAAACAAAGGACCAGGAGTTCAATCCACCGAAAGTGGGAATTTCAAGCTCCCATGTTGAGTTTTAAGAAGTCTCTGTATTTTATATATATATATATAATTTTGAAATATAGTTTCACTATATTGCCTTGAGCATAAGGATGTCTGTAAATGACAACTTGTAAATTTGTTGGAAAAATGAGCAAGAATGTATGCACAAAAGCTTGTATTCTATCAGTTCAGAATTTTCAATGATTTGGGCTATGGCTATATCTGTGCTATTTATAAAAGCTACTCTTTGATAGAAATCAATGGGAGAGGAGCTAGGATAAGAAAGATTGGATCAGAGCAAGAAACACGAAATTGACTTAGCCATTTAAAAATAGGTTATTCATATGCCAAAAATCAACACATAATTTATAAACATCATTATTTATAAAGCAGATTTTAGATGACCTTAAATTAACAATACATTAAACAAATTCAACCATTATCTTCTAAAATATTATCTACTAGACTTTCCTGTATTTTAAGCAGTTCTTCCTATTGACCTGACATAGTGAAAGTTTACTTTTCTCTCAGAAAGAAACATTTGAAGGCTTCTCATCTATTTAATCAGTTGTTTTCCCTTTTCTTTTTCTTCCTTTGGTTCTTTGCATCTACTTTATTATTTAGTTTTTGGGTGAGAGTCACAAATTTTTATTCTAAAATGATAAGACGCATGGGGCTTCTAGTGGACGCAATAGCAGACAGCAAAACATGCATATGTGAACCATCAGGCAGGGAAGTCGCTACAGCCTTCTTCTTTGTTCTCTAGGGATACCCTGGACGGACAGTCTTCCCTGATTATAGTAATCCAGTTTGTACAGAGTGGTGGACCGAGCAGGTCACTGAGTTCAATAAAATTCTGCAGTTTGATGGAGTGTGGATTGTAAGTTGTTATTGCCAAATTAAACTTCCTTTGGAAATGGATATTCCAAGTTTTTTGAGATGAAATTTGACCCTGACCCCGATCTGTAATAGAATAGTTTGCTCCGCATTGAAGTATTTAAAATCTTTTTACTTAATGCCGATAATATATGCAGTAAATTAGACCCCTCAGAACCCTGGATTTTAATTCTGAATCTGCCAACTGGTTATTAATAACCAACTGATTATTTCTTTTTGAAAGAGTCCTTTACTCTCTCATGGCCTGAAAGAGAAAGTTTACTCTCTTTCAACTTAAAACTAGTATTTTTTAGAAGCTATAATGCTATTATTTGTCACACTGATTCATTAAAATTTTATGTTAATCATCAGAGAATAATTTAATGAGCCCCTTTTATATTTTAGATGGGGATAGCAGGTGGGGATATTTCTTTGAAATCTGAAAAATTATCTCTGTTAACACAATTAAGCTTCACTTATTTTTTAAATCAATTTTAAAGGAATGGATTTGACCTCAATTTTCTCTTCTTGTCACACACAATGGACTAAGAACTGGGGAAATTATAAAATGGAAATCCTGGGTTCTTTAAAACAATACTGAAACAATATGAACAATAATAAAAATCACAATATTTATAAGGTGAGACTCAGCCTTTGAAATGGTATTTCTTATGTAACTGATTGAAATCAATGAATAAAAGGTAAAAGGTGCCTGATACCATTTAAAGTTGGAGGGCACCTTAGATAAAATCTCATGTAAAAGATGAAACAGAGGTCAAGAAAATTTAGGAAGATTACTCAGATCCCCAAACCAGTTGATGAGAACCCCACATCACACTTCTAGTTCAGTAACAGTCCTCAAAAACTGTCTGTATTATCTGTCGCATGTTCCATTTTGCGTATTTTGTGTCTTTGCAGGGAATGGACGAAGTGTCCAGCTGTCTCCAGGGTTCAGATCATGAGTGTGAACTGAACAACTGGAACTTTCCCCCTTTTACTCCTCGTAAGTGTCACCTGTTTGCTAGTGACATAGTCACCAGCCGCGTTGAGAACAACCTCAGTAGTACACAGTGTGGCCAAGGGCAATTTCACTTCCCAGGTTCAGGGCCCCCCTACACCCCAACCACTCCTCCACCAGGGGTTTGCACTGTTTGGTTTCTGCCGACCTTTCTGCTTCCATACTCGGACGTCAAGAGAGCAGAGACGGGGAGCCAGCAGGCTGTGCTTCCTCTGAGTTCCGTTGCTTCCTCTCTGTTCACTGCCTCCAACCCCCTCACATGGTTCAGTTTTAAACTTTGTGAGAATATCAGAATACTCCAAGGTACAAACTACCTTCCACTCAAGTAAATCTGTAGTTTTGTTTAAATTTTTTTTCTCATTAGCAACAGTTTAAGGCTAATGGTTCCTGTTCCATCCTTCCTATTTTTAAGTCCCATTTCTAGTCAAAGGCAATTTTCTAGTCCCTGATTTTGAAAGAACGTGTGTGTGTGTGTGTGTGTGAAACAGTATAGAAGAGATATGCTATGGAAACAAACGAACACCAATATCTCAATGCATTAATACAATAAAGGTTTATTTTTTGCTCATATCATACTTAAGTGAGGATTTGTGGCTCTCATACAAACAGTGATTTGGGGACCTAGTTACTTCCATAGCCTGCTTCTCCCACCTCAGAGTCCTTCGTGTCCAGCTTCCCAGGTGAAGGAGCGTGAGGGTCAAGGGAGTTTTGTGGACAGGCCTGGAAGTGGAGTGTATTCAGGGTGCTCATGTTCCCTTGGCCAGAATCCAATCACATAGCCTCAGCTTAACTTTAAGTGAAAGTATAAAATATAATCTTACAGCCCCAGGAAGAGAATAAAGGCCTGGTGAGTAGCTGGCCAGAATCTGCTAGTTTATTCTGGTCTGTCCACTTCACTTGCACCCTTGGACCAAAGTTTGGCTGTTTCTTTAACCCCTTTTTGGTCACTGAGGGAGTAGAGAACTTCTGTAGAAGGAATATGAACTTCAAACCTTTTAACTTCTCTCAAAATCTACTGTTTGCACCCCCTCATGCTTAATTTTTCTCTGCTCAGTCTGTGTTACCCCAGTGTTTTTCACTGGGAATCAGTTATCATGTTTCCCTTTCAATCTCTTAATCTTCTTCTTAGTCAAAACTAAGGATAATTTTCTTCAGTGAAGTGCAATGCCATCACTTCTGCCGGCTCCTGGCAAGCACCCCATTCCCTGCTTCCAGCATTTTGTCTGTGTACATGTGAAAGCTGCCTTGCTGCATAGCGGGTCTGCCTCTCGCCTTTGCAGGGGTGGATCGTGCTCATTAGCGATAAGGATTTAGATAAATTACCTTTGACCCTTTTTTAGTGTCCTTTCTTGTAATTAAAATGGTTGTCAACCTCATCCCACAAACCAAACTTGGCCAAAAAGATAATTTTCTTTATGTTTTATAATTTAATTTAATTTCTGACTCCAAACCCTGATTCTGTTGGGCTGGTGGGGAAAAACTCAACCTCAGTGTTTCCTAGTTTCACCACTTTCTAGAATTGTGCCTCATACTGGGGTGTGAATGCCCATGATATGAGAGTGCCGAGGGTCCCTTTTGCATTGCCCTCATGTCTATACTTTATACACTCAAGTCCCCTTGATTAAATGTGCATACTTCATGTTTGTTGAATCTCAAGCCAACTTCCATTGCTCCGAGCTAATCCCTTAGTTGCCCCATCTGGGCACCATTCTTTGTGATTTCAAGGACATGCAAATTACATTTAATCGGTGAGGAGCAGTAATCAGAAAGGAAACAGTTGGGTGGTTATTTATTAGAGCTGGTTGATAGGGAAGTTCTGCTCTGATAGATGTGTTCCCACAGGAGTCCTGGATGGCTCACTTATTGCAAGAACCCTCTGCATGGATGCAGAGTTTCACCGGGGCCTTCACTATGACGTCCACAGCTTGTACGGCTACTCCATGGCAAGAGCCACAGACACGTAAGCGCTTGGTTCCTCCCCTGACTCCAGACTGGGGGAGGTGGGAGGTGGACGGTTTTCTTGTTTTCCATGAGTATATTTTTGAAATATATTTTGTGGTTATAGGGACATAGAAATTTAGATCTTAGAGGCTACTTAAAAGGTCTTCTCACATAATCCCTTGGTTTCTCACATAATCCCTTGGTGCAAGATTATTTTTGATGGGCTTGTGATTTAGAGACTTCATTATTTCAAGGAGACTAGTAAGCCAAAATGTGCAAGGTATTTAGAGGCCCCATCTGGAAGTTAGCCCTTGACTGGGTCCTATTACTGAATGTGCTGCGGTCACCACACTAAGGTTGCTTGATTTTGCAAATAAAAATGCAGGACACCCAGTTAAATTTGCACTGGACATACTTATACTAAAAATTATCCTTTGTTTGTATGAAATGTGGTTAGATGGAAGGGTGTTGCTATGGGGTGGTCTGTCAGCAGTGGTTGGGTCTCGAGGAGCAGAATACCCCCTCCTCCAAACTATCTCATGTTTTTAAAAAGAAGGCTTTATTGGAAGGAAACAATCCAAAGGCAAAGATACACCTGAGCCTTGTGAAGCTCTAGAATCCATCACTCCAAAGCTTTCTAGAATCGATCTCTGTTTCTTTCTCGCTGTTTTTTGTCTCCTCTCCCTGCTTGTGATCACATAGCCGGTTGCAGTTTCCCTCCCCATCAAATTCCTTGAGTTCCAATTCATACTCAGGCAAGAGAATCTGATTGGGTCAGCAAGGATCAGATGTTAATTCCTGGCCCAATCAGCTGTTAATTGAACCTTTAAGAAGGGGTTGTATCTACAGGGAAAGTGTCATTGGTACATATATTGGGTGGGAGACACCTTCTTGAGCCCAGGGAAACGAACTGAGTTGGAGCAGGACATAACCTGCTGTCAGCAGTTAAAGGTCCATTCAGTGCCTCCAAGGGGAGGAAGCTGGTGAGAGCTTCACAGGTGTCAGGGGTTGGGCAAGTAAAGCCATTCCAGGACCTTGGGTGCAGGACAGCACCAAGGAAGTCAAGTTTACCTGACTGTCCTGTATTTACTGGCAGTGCCACACCACGCCCTCCTGGCCTCCCTACTGCTGCCCCTTCCCCCTCTCAGTCCTCCCCTCTGCCCTCAGTCCTCACACCACCACCACCACCACCACTCACTGTGAGAGTCTAACAACGAGACAGATGCCTCCCACAAAGCACTCAGTCCTTTTCACACCTTGTCACAGGGATTTTCTGATGACTGTAAATTGAGGAGTAACTCCGTGCAAACTCCGCTCACCAAGGTCCTTCCTTGGAAGGTGGTGAAATGTAATCATTATACTTAAAGACAGCAAGAAACTTGAGGCTAAGCTTAGGAAGATTTTAATTTTAGATTTGCAAAACAGATGGGGAAACTAAAATATTCCAAGGGTTGTTAGGGATGTTCCGGTGGCTTAGGAAGGAATGTCTCAGTGTTTCTCTGCTTGTTATTGTTTGTTTGCTTGGTATCTCTGGAACTCCAGGCTGGGTTTGATGTGCTCGTGGGACGTTTCTCCATCTGCCTCTTCCTGGACTTCTCCCCAGCACTTGGCATCACTGACCACTGCTTCGACACTCAGCCCCTTTGGTCCTTAAGATGCCACTCTGCCCTGGCATGCCTGCTCGCCTTCTACCTGCTTCTTCTCAGCCTCTGTATCTGCATCATTTTCACCCACTCCCTCACTCCTGATAAGTCTTAGGGGTCAGTTCTCATGCTTCTCTTTTCATTTTAGGTTGACATGTTATTATTACTTCTTGTGGTTTAACTAATTTATTCTGATGACCTAAAGTCTATCATTCTAGCTTAGATCTCTCTCTGATTTTCAGACACAGATATCCAAAACTACCTTCTTGACCTTCTCTACTTGGATGAGTTACAGTACCTCCAACACTATTTATCTTACCCTGGGGCCTGTCTCCGCCCAGCCTCCACACTCTGGCTGATTATTCTTGAAACTGTTCAATTTCCTGTCCTGGTTGGTTGCAACACCGTCCCAATCTCCCAGAGTCCTAGGTGAGAAACTGGCATCGTTCGTGAGCTCTTTCTTCTCTCGGCTCTCACATGCACTCAGTCCTCAAGCCTTGTGATCCTAAAACATTTCTATACCCATCTCCTTTTTTCCCTCACTGACACCTCTTAATTAAGGTCATCATAATTGGTCACATAAATTGCCCTAGTCCCATGACTAGTCTCCCTTCCCTGACTTACCTTTATCTCCCACTAATCCATTCTCTACTCTTGCTACTCAAAGTGTGGTCCAAGGACCAGCAACATTAGCACGGCATGGAAATACCTTAGAACTGCAGCATCTTGGGCCTCACCCTAGAACTCGGAATTTAGAATCTGCATTTTAACAAGATCCCCAGGTGTATTGAATGTATGTTAAAGTTTAGAAAGCCTTTGTCTATACTATTGGCAAGGCGATCTTTCTGAATCGCAGGCCTCCTCACTTCTCTCCCCAGTGTAAAATTATTTGTGACTTGGTATTTTCTAAATAACAAAATTCAGTCAGTCACCTTAGCAAAATCCATAATGTACTTCATAACCTACCCTTCCTTAGTATTTTTCTTTCATCTTTTTCACTCATCATATTTTATACTCTGGTTAATACCTGGTTGCTTATTGTTCCCAAATCAAAATGCTGTCTCACTCTTCCAGGCCTTGCATGCACAGCCCAGAGAGGCCTTTCCTGCCCTGTCCATTTTATAAACATATACTTATCTTTAAAACCTCCCCATAGGTATTAATTCTAGATACCTTCCTGAAGGTTCTAAGAAAATTATTTCTCCTTTTTTGGTTCTACCTTTGTTCATACTGCAATATGCTTAATATACAAAAATCTTGTATTATAATTATTAGATATTCTTTGTTTTTCTTGCTGGACTGAAAGTTTCTGGAAGCCAAAGTCATCCCTTTTTCCTTAGCCTGAGGAATGGTGTATGTACCTAAGACGTGTTGGTTGAATAAATGTCTGGTCTGAGAAAGAGAAGAAGGGCAGGATGGCCCCCAGGGGGCTGATGGATTGAGGCAGAGACCTGTGCCTATCTTGTTGTCCAGCACCACTTGCCCTCAGGCCTTTGTATTCTGCTGGATTGTCCAGGTGAGAGAGAGTCCTCATCCCGTAAAACAAAAGCTTCAAGAAGGACGCACATCTCTGACTTTTTTATCTTCTCTTTTCTGCCTTCTTTCTCTTTCACTCTACCTTTTCTGACAAATAAACTGGATGAGTAAGACTCAAGTTTCCTCATCTTTGACTTGAGAGACTTGGGTTGATGTTTGCACACTCCCCTCTTGTTTTGATCTGTTTCAGCTCTTAGATGGGAGGGAGAGTGGGTAAGACGTCGCGGTGAGACAGGAAGAGTAGGGAGGGACAGGAGGAGGAAACAGTTTCAGAATGCTTTAGGCCTTGTGTCTGCATGTGACCAAAGTGCTGTAAGTCACAGTGGGGCTGGGTCATATATTCTAATAGCTATAACTAGTAGTTAAAAGGTAACTAGACTGAGAAGGCAGTAGGGGCCCTTTGAACTCCTCTGGGTTGGGCAGAAGGGCCTACATTCCAGGAAAATAATGGTGAGAAGTAGCCTTGGTCTTTGGGAATGAGGCAGAGTTGGTTAAAAAATAGCTAAGATTTTCATTCAATGGGATCTCAGTATCAGGAGAATTCAAGTCATAGACCTGACAAGTATTTGGCTCAGTATTTAGGTGGGAGTATAGTCAGGGCGCAGTGGTTGCTGGTCTGCCCACAGAACGGGCTTCACCTTCCTCTGAGCTGAGAGCAGAAAGAGACCAGCTCCTCCCAGAGGTCAGGACCTGACTCTAAACAGGCCAAACCTGAGGGATGGAAAAGACAGACTTAAGGATTTCTGAAGAAGATTGTTCCTCTAAGCTGGAAAAAACCAGACTGTCATCTGATCTGTGTTCCTATAATACCTGGCACGAAACGAAACTAACTTCAGATAACTTACCATCTCTGTTTCAGTTTTCCTCTATACAACCTGTGTGTTTCTTTCCTGACTGATGACTGCAGAGTGCAGTGAACCCTGCAGCCAGTGGTACTAAGGGCAGAGTGTCTGCCAGCCTCTGCTGAAGGGGAGAGGAGGACAGGACTCAAAGAATGAGTCCTCTCCTCTATCACTGAATTCTCAGAATGGAGCGCCTCACTTTCATAAACCAGTCTCCTTGTGCAGAATGTCCTCCCTTTTGCCATCCTAAGTCATTCTGCATTTATGGACTCGCCATAGCATCTGTAGGGATGTGAAGTGGGGAAGCACTGGTGTCTGTGAGAAACTGCCTGGTGCCTGGCGACACACTGGTCTTGGGAGGGAGAGGCATTTCAGTACGGTGCCCATGCTAAGGAGCATTCAGAGGAGAAGCGGGGAAGAAGCCCGCACCTAACTGTCTGCTGGCCCACCCGTGTCCACCCAGCACCCTGGGGCAAGATTAGCCTTCTGAATTCCATGTTTTTTCATTTTCTTTGCTTTCCCTTCTACATCATTTTATTTGATATGTAATATATTTTATAAGTAACACAATGATAATATTTTATATTTTAATCACTTTTAACTTAGCATTTTTAACTATAGAATGTTAACTTTAGAAAGTCCTAGACATTCACCCCTCACTTCACATTCAACTGACTGTATCCCTGTAGCACAGCCGCAGCTCAGGGGGGAACCCTGTGCCCCTTGTTGGCCTGACAGGGGAGTTTGTGCACCAGCTGGGCTCCAGGCATCCATGTTCCTCTGATGCTCCAGAACTGATTATTCTTGATTCCCAGTGGTAGGGAATCTTAATCTATGCAACATAATACTAATGGAAATGAGTACATCTCCAAAAGATGACACATGGACTGTAGAGGTTGTTACTCCCTCTTAGAGGCCTGAAACCTTATCCAGAAGGGCAAAAGCAGCTCTTAAAAATACTAAACTAGCCTGCTCACCCGGCTCATGATTCCTGATGTTTTTTGCTCAGTTTAGCTGGAAAGCCCATTGCTGCCCTTGGTACAGAGAAGTCTTAGACACTCACACCTCACTTCACATCCACTTGACTGTATTCCTTTCCAGGGCCCTGAGTAGTATCTTCCCTGGCACTAGGAACTTCATTTTATCCCGTTCTACTTTTGCTGGATCTGGCAAATTTGCTGCTCATTGGCTGGGGGACAATGCGGCCACGTGGGATGATCTCCGATGGTCCATCCCGAGCATCCTTGAGTTCAACCTATTTGGCATCCCCATGGTGAGTTTCACCCTAACCAAGCAACCTTAACCCTTTGGCCTTTCTTTCCACTACCGGTCTTTGAGGTGTCTGAAAACCAAGAAACACGTCTCACTGTATGTACTGGAAAAAATCCATTTTTCATGTGTGGTGTGAGCTGCCTTCTGAAGATAAGATGGGACAACTTTATTACTGGGCTGTCATCCATGGAAACTTTGCAGTTAGGCAGGCGACGCCATGAGTCACATGTATTAGTCTCACAGAAAAATTCCAGCAGCAGAGCATCAGTGAACAGCAAAGTGTGAAATTGGGGACTGAGTATTGAGGATGAGCCCTTGATACAACCGTTGTTCTTAGCTGGTCCGTGATGCACACTGGCTGCTTTCTTCATATGGCTGGGGGTTTGCCCCGAAAGCCTGGGACCCCTTTAGGCATGCAGTGATGGAGATTCCTTTTTCCCTTTCACATGGGTAACAGTCAATGCTTTCTCCTCTCTCACTGCGCCCAATGCTGTGTGTGTGCTAATTTTCCAGGTAGGTGCCAACATTTGTGGTTATACACAAGATGTCACGGAGGAGCTCTGTACACGATGGATGCAACTGGGAGCATTTTACCCGCTATCAAGGAATCACAATGGGCCAGGATACAGGGTAAGGCCCCCAAGAGAAGCTATGGAAACTTCCTGAACTGTCCAGTCTACTTGTTCTCAAAGAGGGTGGAAGAAAACCCTCCAGGTTGGCCCTAAGTGCAAGGGCAGAGTTGGTCATTTTTTGAGTGATAGGCCTAAAAAGTAGAGTATCAGGGTGGGGGTGTGTGGGAAGGGGGATGTAGGTACTGAATGGTTTTGTTGGAAACTCCCCAACAAGGTGGGAGGGTTGTTCAAGTTTCTGTGGTGCCGCTGCTGTACCACTTCTGTACTTTATACAAGATGGGACGGTTGTCCACTAGCATTTTACTTTAGTTAATACACGGAAACCACTTCTAAATATAGGGGAGCAGGAGGAAGGGCTTCGGGGCTCACAGGCCATTGGTAGGAAACTTCTTCCCCTTGTTCCAACAGCCTGTCAGCCTATGATGACTTCAGAGGCCACCCTCATCCCTGCCAACCTCTCATGACTCATGAGAGAAAAGGGAAATATCCTTTTCTGTCCAACCTCATATTTTTGATGGGCCAGTATATAGAAGGGGGCTGAAGGTCCCTCTTAAGGAGACCTTTATGGTGATGGCAGGAGTGAGTACGGTGGGATGCTCTTTCTGTTGATGAAGTCATCTGCAGCTGACCTTTCAAATTGAAGGCTTTTAGCTCTTAATAGGATCAACAGAATAATGTACTGATGATTATTTTAACTCCAGTTCTTGACTCTGCCCATTGATATTTCTCTAACTTGGGAAAGATTTACAGCCAAATCTTCAAAGCATCTTATCCCAGGACTATCCTAGCCATTTGCGATCTAGAGAGAGATGCACTATTTCTGAACTTCTAAGCAGATGGCTGGGAGCAAGGTAGGTGGGTGCTCTTCTGAAGACAGGGCTGCAGGGGCTGACAGAGGTAAGAGAGCTCAGATCACTCAAGCTGCCGGGTTACAGGGCTGTTTTCCTTTCCTCTCAACTGGTGCTGTCAGCACACAGGGAAATCCAATTTTAAGGGTAAAGAGAGACAGGAGTGATCTTTTAACATCTTTTATGGGACTCAGTATGTCCATAACATTATCACTCCAACCTCTGCTTAATACAAAATACTATTAATGAGCTATTTTATTTTCTTCCTACTAAGTAACCACTTCTAAATATAGGGGAGCAGGAGGAAGGGCTTCGGGGCTCACAGGCCATTGGTAGGAAACTTCTTCCCCTTGTTCCAACAGCCTGTCAGCCTATGATGACTTCAGAGGCCACCCTCATCCCTGCCAACCTCTCATGACTCATGAGAGAAAAGGGAAATATCCTTTTCTGTCCAACCTCATATTTTTGATGGGCCAGTATATAGAAGGGGGCTGAAGGTCCCTCTTAAGGAGACCTTTATGGTGATGGCAGGAGTGAGTACGGTGGGATGCTCTTTCTGTTGATGAAGTCATCTGCAGCTGACCTTTCAAATTGAAGGCTTTTAGCTCTTAATAGGATCAACAGAATAATGTACTGATGATTATTTTAACTCCAGTTCTTGACTCTGCCCATTGATATTTCTCTAACTTGGGAAAGATTTACAGCCAAATCTTCAAAGCATCTTATCCCAGGACTATCCTAGCCATTTGCGATCTAGAGAGAGATGCACTATTTCTGAACTTCTAAGCAGATGGCTGGGAGCAAGGTAGGTGGGTGCTCTTCTGAAGACAGGGCTGCAGGGGCTGACAGAGGTAAGAGAGCTCAGATCACTCAAGCTGCCGGGTTACAGGGCTGTTTTCCTTTCCTCTCAACTGGTGCTGTCAGCACACAGGGAAATCCAATTTTAAGGGTAAAGAGAGACAGGAGTGATCTTTTAACATCTTTTATGGGACTCAGTATGTCCATAACATTATCACTCCAACCTCTGCTTAATACAAAATACTATTAATGAGCTATTTTATTTTCTTCCTACTAAGTCTTCAAAACTCAGGGTGCATTTTACACATACAGTGCATCTGAATTAGGATGCTGAATTTTCAACAGTTGGAGTGAGATGTAATCCTCCCAAAACAATGAAGTTAGGTTTAAAGGAAAGAACATTTTACACTCATCCAGTTTTTAGGTTTATATTCAAGTGAGCTACAATAAAATAGAATGAAACATTCAGTCTTACTAAGCACACCTCAAGTGTCCCACAGTCCGTGTGCCCCTGGCCGCCAGAGTGGACGGTGCATCTCCAGTGGAGAGCAGAGTGATGGGGGCCGGCCGCTGCCATTCTCCTTGGTGTTTGCCTTCTAGATGACTAGGGTGTTTGTGAGTCCCCCATCAGGGGCATGCAGTGGTCTCATGGTGTAGACCACTCTACTTTCTACTCCCTTTGGATAGGGGAAATGAGCGTCTTAGGGAATAAAAGAAAAGAACAAATTCAGATCGTTTTTTCTAAAATTTAGTCCCAGTAAAACAATATAGGGTGGCACTTCGAAATATGACAAGCATATCTTTGACATCTTTCAAATTACAAGGAAAATGCAGCATTACTGATGGAGAATTTCTGTTTCTGGGTCCCGAGAAAATTAGATTTCCCTTATAATGGGTCCCCTCTTGGCTTTTGGATAAAATCTACTAAACCATCTTCACAGTTTCTTTGCACATTGCATATTAGGGTTGCTGTCTTTGAAGTACAGAGCATAAAATAAATTTTGATGGTGAAAACAGTATGGACAAAGCTAGGCATAAATTTTAAAATTACAAATTCATGAACGTGTAGGGAAAGGAAAAGATGGATTAAGATCATGGTGGTAGACAATGTGGCTTAAGGCTATGGGTTTCGAATTCTTTTTTAGTAACACAGCCTATTATTATTACCATTTGTCAAATGAAATGCTGTGAGAAACCTCAGTATATGAATACATTAGAGCAGCTCTGGGGGGACGGTGGTTATTGCCCCCTTCATCTCCATGGCAACCTTTGTGGGCTTCCTTATCACCCTGAGGCTGCCATAGACTGGCTGGCGGTGGAAGATGGTGTCCAATTTAAACTCTGCCCACTTGTTTGCAGTTTTACACTGGGAGAGTCATGGAATCTTTTATGTTGTTTCTTACCCATAAAATGAAGGAACAGCACCAAGTCCTTTCAGTTCTGGAAATGGTCTAACATCTCGCACAGTTACTTTCGTGCAAGAAAGCTTCTTATCATAAGGGATCTTTAAAAATATGCCGGAAATATTTAGTAATTGCCTACATCTCCTTCTAGGATCAGGATCCTGCTGCCTTTGGTGAAAACTCTCAGGTGCTGAATTCCTCCAGACATTACCTGAACATCCGCTACACCCTGCTGCCCTACCTCTACACCCTTTTCTACCGTGCTCATACCCTGGGGGAGACTGTGGCGAGGCCCCTTGTCCATGAGTGAGTTGCCTGACCTGCACAGAATCCATTTCGGATCATGATTTCACTTACCTCGTTAGTAGAAACAAGGTCACTTAGGACCTTCTTGCCATTAAATGTGGAGCTGTGCTATCCTGAGGCTTCACCTGCCTTCTCTGTTTTCTAGGTTCTACCAGGACCCAGCCACATGGGAGGTGCACGAGCAGTTCTTGTGGGGGCCTGGACTCCTCATCACACCTGTTTTATATGAGGTGTGTTTACCTAATGTTGGGGGGGAATAGCACACTTGTCCTCGTGTCTCTATCGCTGAATTAGCTGGGTCTTGAGTATCTATGGCTACATTTAAATATAAATATGAATGCAAATAAGAGAGATCATTAAAGTTTGGAAATTACAAAAATAGTAATTTTTGGTCTCACTGCTCCACCAAGCACAACAATTCCCATTTTGCAAAATTATCGTAAAGCCTGTGTCCTTAAGCCTGGGGCGCTGGCACTGACCGGGGTTCTCAGTGCCTTGTGAGGTTGGGCCGGCCACCGGTCAGTGCTCCCCTTTGTCCAGAGGGGCTGTGCTCTTAGGGTTGGGCTGGAGAAAGAGAAAAGGAGGGAGGGGAGCAGGGAGGGAGAAAGGAGTGCCGGGCAAGGAGGGCTGTTTCTCTGCAGTCCACGCCGAAGGGCCCCACGTACCCTTCCTAAGAGTGACTCGGGGTGGGTGCCAGCGGGGAGTGTAGGGGGGCATCAGGATCGGGCTGCACAGTTTATAAAGGAGCGAGGTCGCCGCCGACGTTCCCGTGGCAGAGGCACTCCAGCCGCATGTCCCATGGCAGGTCCTGCCAACCAGCAAGTGGCCCCGCCAGAGCGGCTCTCCAGTCTCTAACAGCCGGCAGATGCCATGGGTGACTCGGGGAATGAACTTTCTCTGCTTCTTTTAGGAAGTTCAGGAGCCTCGAAGCACAACAAACTGAATTTCTAGGTACAGCTCTGCTTTGGGTAAACTGCCCAACCATTCTGAGTGTCTGTAGTTTCACTCGTGGAGGCCGTGAACCCCGCTCTCCCAGGACTGTCCGAGCACATGCAGCCACACACGGGGATGTTGTGTAAACTGTACAGGCGTGGACTAATGTTGCCCATTATTGCTGTTTCCCTAGGGTGCGAGCCAGGTGACTGCGTACATACCTGATGCCACCTGGTATGACTATGAGACGGTAAGTGTGTCGGCCGCGCTTTGCTCAGAGACCTGCGTCTCGCAGAGGGCAAATGGAAGCAGTAGCCTTGGGAGCTTGGTAATAGTATAAGGTTTTACATTTAGTTGACTGCAGATACTTTTTGGTGAGGAAGGCTTTTCTGAACGTACAATGAGATAATTTGAATAACTGGGACAGGGTTATGGGAGTTTTCATTATGTCTGCCTGGCTACTTCCTGCTCCCCAGACAGGTAATGGGCCTTAGGCCGTGATAAGCTGGAGAAGGACAGCCCAGGCAAGCAATCACAGGGGGTGCGGTCTCCTTGTCCCTGCCCCCCACTTTGAGTGTGCCTTGGGAAAATCTCTTCACTTTGTGGCGGGGTCGGGGAGGGGTGTCTCTAATTTTCTCCTGTTTCAAGTGAGGCGACTGAACTGGCCATCTTCAAGGCCCCTCCCCTCCCAGACAGCCTGCGATCTGACCTGTCTCCCTTCGGTTGACTAGGGGGCGGCCATTCCCTGGAGGAAACAATTGGTGGAGATGCTATTGCCGGATTATAAGATGGGACTTCACCTTCGAGGGGGATACGTATTTCCCACCCAGAAGCCGAGCACAACCACGGAGGCCAGGTAGGCGGCCCTCTGTCCTGCGGTGTGACTGCTCGGGCTCTCCCCACGCAGGGTCATGTGGGGCAGGAGAGAGCCTGGAAGTGGATGAGTCAGGGGAACGGCTGCAGGCAGCGGTGTTCCACCTTCCCGTTCAAGGTCGGCCCGAATGGGCATCTTGTCTTCATTAAGCAGGATAATTGTAGCTTTAGCTTCTTTGCATTTCCAGATTTGGATTGAAATGTACATTTCAATTTGGAATGAAATTTACATTTACGTTTAGATTGAATCAGATGATGAAAACAGTCAAAATAGTCACCCATGAGGTTTCCCTATGGCCAGAAATTGTCCTCAAGTAGCTTCCCTTCGCATGAGAGAATGCAGGTTAAATGGGAGACAGGAGTTATCATATGGATGTCAACGTAGCTTCCAGGTCAAGAGCCACAGAGTTTGGGTTCAAGTCCCAGCTCTGTGACATACCAGACCCGTGAGCATGGGCACCGACTCGGTTTCTGCTTATCATTTGTAAGCTGGGGATGGCGATAGTTCAGTTTTTATTGTTATTTTAGTGTGATTATGTGGGTTAAATGAAATCACAGACATGATCTCTACCATCATTCTACCATTCTTCTTATGCACATTCATGACCAACCTCTTCTGTCTACCCATGCCCACCTTCCATGTTTCCATACAATGTCAATATTTACTCAGTTTCCTGGATAGACTCTGAGATTATCTGTCCTTGGGCATGAAGTGGGCTGGTTTAACATAGTTCTCTCTTCTTCTTTTTCTGAAACTGAGAATTGTTTTATACAGCAGAAAGAATTCCCTGGGACTCATTGTTGCCTTGGACTATAAGAGAGAAGCAAAGGGGGAGCTGTATTGGGACGACGGTGTATCTAAAGGTAGACTTCCTTGTGGGGCCATGTCCGTGGTCCTCAGTGAACATTAGTCATTGTAGGCTGCCCAGTGTGGCAGTGACCTTATTGTTATTGGTGCTTATTTCTGTAGGTTAGAATCAATGTATTCTGAAAGTTCAGTTAGCCAAGCACAATGCAATAAAAGAGACTTCAAATTAGTAACTTGTAAGTTATTCACTGTACCAAAGCACAGACATTACTGGATTTAGTTTATTTCCTTCTCTGGGTTTCATTATTAAAGCCAAATAATGCATTTTGTTACTAGGTTGTAAAATACCATTTTGGTTACTATTAAGAGGAAGTATCTAATTTACATAGTGTGTTTTTCCATGGCACAATTTCCATATAAGTACCTGACATAAGCTTATGGTCTGTGATTATATAAAAATCTTGCCCTGCACAATAATTAAATAAATAAATAAATTATTAATTAATTAATAAACAAACAATTAATTAATTAATAATTAATAAATTAGCATTTATTAATATTTGTTGACCACATACCATTGCACTGTATGCAGAGGCTATAGAGATGAATAAGACATAGACTTGCTGTTGAGGAGCTCCTGGTCAAGCAGGACAGATGGAGTGTATGTGTGGATAAGTACAAATTCAAGTCAGAATGTTTTAAATGCCAGCAAAGCTGTACCAAGTACCACGGGATGTCAGAAAAGGAAATAGTTCCTGTAGGCTGAAGCAGTCCAGGAAACTTCTATGGAGGTGTGGCAAAAATGGGTTGAACATGGGTCAGCAGAACTCCAAGCAGAAGTATTCCAAGTGAAAAGGTGAACTTGCCCACCCGACTTCTGTGCTTCCGGTAATAATGAGCCCTTCTCTTACCTGTCTCTTTTAGATGCTGTAACTAATAAGAGCTATATTCTGTACGAGTTTTCTGTCGCCTCTGTAAGTACTGTGTTTCAGGATCTCATGGTGCGTGTTCTCTTCTGTGACTGCCTTTTGAGTGTTTGGTTTGTTAGAGATGCTTGAAACAGGGACAGTGCCTGACTGCAATGGTCCCAGGGGATTAATGTTAAAGTGCAAGTTTTTAATCCATGTTAGAGATATAATCCTATGAAAAATCAGTAGGAGTTCAGGGAAGACCTTATTTTTTCTGGGAAAAAATCATTGCTTTTGAGTTTTATATGATGAGTCCAACATATGTCCTTATTTGAGGGGGTACAGTGTGTGTAGGGTGTGGGTGGGGGGTGATGTGGGAGACAGCGCCTTTTTGAGGTTTTTGGCCTTCCTTTCCAGCCCCTATTAAGTGGTGATTTTAAGAGGTTGGGAGATACAGAAAATGTATTTCCCAAGGGTACTTAAAGAAGACAGGCTAGCAGAGGATGGGTGAATTCTAATGTGCTTTTCTTAGCAATCTGATTGTGCCTGGGCAATGATTTCTTTTGTGGGGACCTCTCTTCTTTATTTCTCCTTTCTTTTAAATTCGTGTTGTTTTTTTTAAATTTTACTTTTTACTTTGAGTGAATTATAGAACTCCATACAGTTGTAAGAAATTATATGGAGTCTCCCTGAATTCTGCACCCAGTTTCCTGTGATGATAACTAATATCTTATAAAACTATAGTACAATTTTACAGCAAGGATATTGACATTAATACTATCAAGCCTAGAACATTCCATCACCACAAGGATCCCTGTGTTGCTCTTTTAGAGCTTCATCAACTTACCTCCTCACATTCCTTCCTTAGCCCCTGGCACCTAAGAATCTTGTCTTTATATCTATAATTTTGTCCTTTCAAGAATGCAGATGAAATCATACAGCATGTAACTTTGCGGATTGGCTTTTTTCACTCAGCATAATTCCCTCAAAATTCATCCAAGTTGTTGCATATCGACGATTTGTCCTTTTGTTGCTGGTAGGATTCTGAGATAGAGATGTCCACCGTCTGTTTGACCACTACTTAATAAAGAGCACCTGCTCTAGGCCAGTCATGAGCTACACCAATGAAGCTGCTGTCAACATTCATGGACAGGTTTTTGTGTGAACACAGGTCTGCATTTGTCTGGAATAAATGCACAAGAGCGCAGTTGCTGAATCTTATGGTTGTGGCATGTTTAGCTTTATAAGAAACCGCCAAACTGTTTTTCAGAGAGGCTGTACCATTTAACATTTCCACCAGCAATGCAGGATGAGTCAACCAGATTCTCTGCATTATAACTGTCATTTGATGTTGCCATAAATTTTTTTTATTTTAGTCATTCTGATAAGGACATAATGACATTGCACTGTAATTTCAGTTCAAAGTGTTCTCACGTCTAATGATGTTGACCACCTTTTCACGTGCCTTTTCATTTGTCATGAGTATATTCTCTTGGCTATAATGTTTATGCAGCTCTTTTGCCCATTTTCTTATTTGATGATTTGGCTTATTTTTTGGTTCAGTTTTGAGAATTCTTTATATTCTAGAAGCCAATCCTTTGTTGGAATCATGGTTTGTAAATATTTTCTTTCAGTCTGTAAGTGTCTCTTTTCATTCTCTTAGCAAGGTCTTTCAAGAGCAAAGGTTTTTAATTTTGATGGGTCTTATTTATCATGTTTTTTTCTTTCATAGGCCATGCTTTGTGACATCCAGTTATAAGAACTCTTTCTGTTCTTAGAGCTTGATCATTTTCTCCTTTTTCCCTAAAACTTCTTACAGTTTTACCTTTTACATTTAAGTCTGTGATCTATTTTGAGTTAAATTTTATATAAGGTATGAGCTATGGTTGAGGTTCAGCGTTTGTCCTCTGGATGACCCATGGCTCCCGCACCATCTGTTGAAAGGCTATCCTGTCTCCATCGCATCACCTTCACACCTTTGCAAAAAATCAGTTGGCACATTTTGTGGGATGCTTAATCTTTTTAAATTTCAAAGAGTCCCTTTTTTTCTTTAGTCTTTAGTTTCACCTTTTTGGACAGAGCTCAACTTTGTCCCTTTTGATTGTGGTTCCCCAGATAAGTCATATATTTTCTCTGGGTTTCAGTCTCCTCACCTGAGGAATGGGGGCCATTATAGCATCAGCCTCACAGTTTGCTGCCAGAATTAAATGAGACAATATGTATAAAATGCTTAGCACAGTGCCTGGCACATAGGAAGCCTTCATAAAGTTTAGCTCTTATCATCAGTATCATGAAAACAAAAAGAATAATTAACTGGTCACTATTTTGTGTGCATGTGTCTGTCTAAGCCTTTGTGTGCCAGTGGGTCTCTGTGGGTGCCTGTGTCTTTTTGCTGCTTTGTAAGTGCTCATCTTGTCCCCTTAAAAATTCCACAATGTCAGAAACATATTTGCTGAGTAACAGAATTAACAGATAACTAGTTGTCCAAAGCAAACATGAAGTATCCCTAAAAAGTTTAGGACTATTAAGAGTCTGCTTTAACAAATTCCCTAGAGTTGATTACCTGGTACCAATTAGAACCTCAGAGATAAAGACAAACTTTACATCTCAGAGAGATGTTGAGTGGCATTTGGGCACAGTGAGAGTGTGATGTACTTGGTCTCTAAACTGACCTGTTATTTTTTTTTCCAGAACCGTCTACAGGCAAACCGTCTAAATACAGATGGTGGTTATAAAGTCCCTGGTGACCTCATGTTTACGGATATAATAATCTTGGGAATGGACAAGCAGCCTGATACTTTGACTGTCTTACAAAGTAATGGTCATACCTCCACTTTAAACTTTACCTACAGCAATTCAATAAAGGTGGGAGATTGTTCCATCCTTCATGGTCAATTATAAAAGCCTTAGCCTAAGATCTGACAGCCAGCTGTTTCTCACTCTTGACTTTAGGCAGTCACAGAGACAACTGGCTCCCTGGGAAATCTACCCCACCTCAGAGAAGATTCTGAAGGAGAAATACATACATAATAAATACAGACCCCTAAGCATTGTTTGCATTAGAACTCTGAAGAAGACAATAGGAGTGGGGACCCTGAGAGAAGGCAGCTCTTCCCTCGGCCGTTAAAAACTAGACATGCTGATCCCAGATGTCAGAGAGTGAAGAAATTAGTCAGTACATTGGCCTAGATCTGGAGAGTATTTACACATTTGTTTTCTCATTTAAGTTGAAGAGTCTCTATGAGACATAGTTGATATTTTTCCTTGATGTTTTAAGTTATTTTTATGCCATTACAGAAAATGAGAGTTGAATAAAACCCCAGGGCTGATCTGGTTTTGCTCTTATTGAATGAGTCCCTTACATGATAATCTCTGGCAAAAGATTCCAATTGTTAGTTGAATATTTTGAGCACTGGAAATACACTATTTCTTAGGGCTGCCCTCTTCAATATGACAACACACCTAACAAAGGATAAGAGCTTGGTTTCTAGAATTAGGCAGAGTGTGGCTCCAGTCCTAGCTCTGTGGTCCTCTAGCTGGGAGATCGTGGGGAAAGCGTGAACCCTCTCTGAACCTCAGTTCTCTATTTCATAAAATGGAAATAGTCATATTATTCACAACATAAGATAGCTTTATAGGATTAATAGAGAGAATGCTCATAAAGTGGTTACCACAGTGCTTGGCCCAAATAATGCTCAGTAAAGTTTACCTATTAATAGTGCCATCATTATCAAAATGTATAAGCATCACACCCAGAGGGCAACAAGTCCATGATGAGCACCTGGCCTGGGATGTGTACTGCTTTATGTGATCAAAGCCCTTCCCATTCAATATGCCATAGTGACTCTATAAGGAGAGAAAAGTCAGGAATAAGCCAACAGGAAGGTCAAGAGCCCCAGAGGAGAAAAAAGTCATACTCCAAATATCCCAGGGCCAAGTGGTCTTGGATGAAGGGCGGGCTCCCTGGGTCCTGACTTCCTGTCCCTCAGGGAAGGACATCAGCCAGGGCTCACCTTACCACATTTGTCACTGTGGCTTCCTTTCTCTTCCCTCAGGTTTTGAACATCACTGATATCAAGGGACTGGTACTGGGACAAGAATTCTCCATTGAGTGGACTCTTCCTGTCAAAGATGAGGAAAAGTTCAACTGCTACCCTGAGGATCCCAGGGCCTCCCAGAAGGGCTGTGAGCAGCGGGGCTGCCTCTGGGAGGTAACGGCAGGAGCAGGAAGCTGCAAAACTCTCCAGGAGTGTTTAACCACCTAGAACATCCTTTTCAAACATTGATGGGTTGAACAGTAGTCATTCTTCAGGAAGTAAGCGGCGCTATGCCAACTGATGAATTATTTGGTCAATCCCACATGATAGGCAATCAGTGTTTTCCTCACATATTTTCTTCTGAATCAGAAGAAACTCATTGCTGCTCTAGCTTTCTCTTTCCTCCAACCACAGCACTTAAAACCTTGTTTTCATTTTAACATAGCAGTAATACATTAGGTATCCATTGCATATTGAATATCTTTAGTGATTTTTTTTCTCATCTATTGGAGTATCTCAGCAGGAAGCTAAGATAAGGTTGTCTTTCTCCATGTGAAAAATAGAGAAAATGAAAGCCAGAGAAAATAAGTGATTTCCTCAAGGTCACAGTGGGGGCCATAAGGACACTGGGAGCAGAACCCTGTCTTAGGATTCCCGTCTGACCTTCCTGCTGACCTTCACAACACACTCCTTTGAGGAGGCCAGTGTGTGTGTGTGTGTTTAAATGGGTGTATTCATTTTCTGGGGCTGCATAACAAAACCACAGAGTGGATGTGTTAGAGGCCCAGTTCATTATCCTAGAGTTCTGGGAGCTACAGTCTGAGACCAAGGTGTGGGTGGAGTTGGTTCCTTCTGAGGTGACGGGGAAGGTGTGTTCCATGTTTCCCCTAGCTTCTGGGGTTTGCTGGCAATCTTTGGTGTTCCTCAGTTTATAAAAACACCACTCCATCTCTCCCTTCATGTTCACATGGCAATCTCCCTGACTGCCTATCTCTGTTTCCAAATTTCCCCTTTTTATAGGGACACCTTTCATACCACATTAGGTCCACCGTGATGACCTTATTGAAACTTGATCATCTGCAAAGACCCTATTTTCAAACAAGGTCACATTTATAGGTACCAGGGATTAAGACTTACCATCTTTTTGGGGGCATGTAATTCAACCCATAATAACAGGTATGGTGTAAGAAACAGACCTGTGTTAATGAACTTCTGAATTAGAGCCCCAAAGTGTGGTGTTAGAGGCTGACTGAGATTCCTCCTCTTTCCCAGCACACAACTGTTCCTGGCGTGCCCTCCTGTTACTATGACACCATCCCGAACTATGTGACCAGTAATATTCAGTACCTACCCACGGGCATCACCGCCGACCTCACCCACGTGCTGGCGCCTGAAGCTGCCCGGGCAGCACCACTGCCGCCCTCACAGGGCGCACCACCCGGACCTGCTGCAGCCAAGGCCGCCTCGGATCCTCTCTCTGCAAAGATCAGCTTCCTCCGCCTGAATGTGACGTACCACACAGAGAGCATGCTGCAGTTCAAGGTAGTCCCCGTGTCGCAGATTCTGATCCACACGGAATCCTTAACCTACAGCTCCATGGGGATGGGAGTCATTGAAATGTCTCCTCACCCAGATCCTCATTGTACCGGTGAGGGACTGAGACCCAGTGCAGTGAAGGTCAGCACATTAGGAGACAGGAGAGCCGGCTTGACCTTAGATCCACCTGCGTTCTGACTTCCCTATAATGACGAGGGCCCTAAGGCATTAACGTCCTCAAAGAGCCATTCCTTGGCCTTGAGAAAAATGTGTCTGCGCTGTGCTGAACTCGCAGAAGTGGCATTAACTCACTTGGGACACTTGAGTGATTTCTCTAGCCTTCCCTGAGGCACAGGAAGTCAGGACCCAGGGAGCCCGCCCTTCATCCAAGACCACTTAGCCCTGGGATATTTGTTCTTAAACATGAGCATGTGTCAGAATCACCTGCAGAATTTGTTAAAACCTAGCCCCAGAGCTTCCAGCCTGAAAACATGCATTTCTGACAGGTTTCCAGGTGAAGCTGATGCTGGAAGTTCAGGGGCCACACTTTGAGACCCTCTGTTCTGCTCTAAGAGAAGTGTCATGGGAGCCACAGATGATCTAAGAGCTACATTCAAAAAAATGTATTTGAAAAAATCAAGTGAAATGAATTTTAATAGCATTTATTTAATTAATACACTAAATTATTATCACTTCACCATGTAATCCAAATATATTTATTGAGATATTTTAGAATCTTTTAATCACACTTAGTCTTCAAAATTTGATGTGTATTTGGCACTTACAGTGAGTCTCAATTCATACTAGCACATTTTAAGTGCAAAAGGCCCCATGTGGCTGGTAGACCCTGCCTGGCACAGCTCAGATGTAGGCATTCCTTTTCACACTGCAGTGCGTGATGACTCACCCTAGCAATCTTGTGTAAATGAAGATTCAGATTCAGATGGTCTGGGTGGGGCCTGAGATTCTGTACCTCGTTGCCAGGTAATACTATTGCTTTTGGTCCAAGAAACACAATTTGGAGAAGCAAGGCTTATACAAAACTTGTCTTAAATTTAATCTGTGGGCTGCTAATATCACAAGAATTTCTCATAATGGTAATACTCTCTGACCTTGCAGAATGCTTCTCATTTCTCTCATTTCTCCTACCCGTCAATCCTGTTAAGTGGGTAGGAACAAGTATTAGGTACAAAAGCACAACCTGAGGAATGAAGAAACATCTGGGAGCTCAACCAGTAAGAAGGTCTCAGACTCCATATAAAAACTGGCTTTTCTAATTTCTAACACACACACATAAGCAAGCTCACACATAATCGTACACAGACACACATAATATGCATGACATGTTCTCACACCACACACTCACAAACATACACTCTCATTTGATATGTGAGATTCTATACCCTTAAATCACAAATTATTTACAGGAAGCTCCCTGCCTGGCTTTTAATAGCTATCACGGAGGCATTTCTGGAGTTCAGGATCCTTACCGGCAGGCCTCCCATCTGTTTGCTCTTGGACATTTGATGCCTCCTGATATGATTTAACCTGGCCAGGAAACATGGCAACTGAATTATATGAGCTGGCATGAGGAATTTTGAGTATGAGATTCCATCAGAAAGTTTCCTTCTCCCTTCTTGTCAGATCTATGATTCTGCTACTAAAAGGTACGAAGTCCCAGTGCCTCTGAACACCCCTTCCTCTCCATCCGGCTCCCCTGAAAACCGTCTGTATGATGTCAGCCTTCAGACTAATCCTTTTGGGATCCAGATTCGACGGAAGAGCTCCAACACTGTGGTGTAAGCACTGTTTATTTGTTTTAGAGGGCTTCTAAATTAAATTATAGTGGTTCTAATTAATGAAAGTGAGAGAATAATCTTAGAGGCTCTATGCAAATAGGTGTGTACTTGTTTGTTAAATAGAGAGTATATCTATTTCCCCCTGTTTCAATGGGGATTTCATTTTCTAGCAGTCACTAATTCAACAAAAAAATAATCAATAGTTTTAAAAAAACTTGCTTGGCTTCAGAGAAAGAAAAATACATGTTTTAATCATGGTTTCTGTTTAGTGGAGCAGAAAACTCTTTTTATAAGTATAACATATAACCTGAGATAGAAATCAATGTGATATACTCTCATTAGGAAGTGCCAAAAGAGTCAGGAGAGAGGGGCAGATTTTACCAAGGAGAGAGAATGGCTTCTTACAGGCTTTGCTTCTGTTGACACTGTAGACTTAAAACTTTTTCACAATATTAAGCAGAAAGGAGTTGTCATCTCTCATCTTGTCCCGGTGCTGAATGGAATGAAGTGAAGGTCTGGATTCTGCTGGGGCTGAGGTTCCCAGCCTAGTACAGACCATATGTGCACATGTGGACAGTCTTCTCTCTGTGACTATGTGCCTGACTTTCTCTCTGTTGCCTTCTTTGGCAAGAGGTTCTTTGGCCAACGCAGCAAAGTCATTCTGAGTTTCACAGTTATGAACTGGAAAGTACGCTTTGACCTGATTCATTTATTCATATATTACTCAAACTGATGCACCAGGCAGTGAGAACTAGACATGAAGAGATGAGTGAGACAGGGTCCTTGCCCTCAAGGAGGCCATAAGACAGAAAAAGAGCTCAGTCCTGTAAACTCCAGAATGAAAATGCAAGCACAGGACCTTGATAGGGAGTCATGGCCGTGGTTATGACCTGGGTCATCTCACCGTATTTGAACCTGGGTCCACAAGTGCAATCATTTAGAAGGCTTCTGAATCAGCTAGACTTCCCAAATGTATGCTGTGGTTGCTCTGTGATCAGCTCGGCATGGATGTGTGCCTCCGCATTGCAGGTGGGACTCTCAGCTCCCTGGCTTCACCTTCAACGACATGTTCCTTTCCATTTCCACTCGCCTCCCCTCTGCTTACATCTATGGCTTTGGGGAAACTGAGCACACAACTTTCAGAAGAAACATAAGCTGGTACACATGGGGAATGTTTGCACGTGATGAGCCACCAGCGGTAAGCACAGAAGAATGAGATTATCAATCTGTTTCTCTCTATGTACACTTATTAATTAGCTTCACCTTCTACTGATAAATTCTGCTCTCAGATGAAATATGCCACATGTTAAGGTCTTCTGTCCCAAAAAGACATAGACATTTTTTCCCATGAACTATGGGTTTTATTTCATAAACTTTTAGTTAGTATAGTCTATATGTTGGATACATTTTATGTGTCAGATACATCTTTGTTTTCCAGGGGCTTATAGGCTAGTAAGAGAGAGAGAGAGAAATGATAAATAATGGTGGCACAGTGTAATCCATGCTGTAATAGAATCATGTAATAATAAACAAGAAGGACATGGAGTAGGGAAGGCACTTAGCTTTTTACTTGGGTGGAAGGGAGGGAAGGTTTTACGAAGGGCATGACGTTGTGTTGAATCTTCAGTGTTGAGTAGGTACTTGCTGTTTGGCTTATGGTGCAGAAACAATTTTTTAGGTTTTTTTTCTTTTTGATTACCACCTACTCTCCCCCATGACTCTCCCAGTACATGAAGAACTCCTATGGCGTCCACCCCTACTACATGGGCCTGGAGGAGGACGGCAGTGCCCACGGAGTGCTCCTGCTGAACAGCAATGCCATGGGTAAGACGGAGGCACATTCCCCATGTACCACCATGAATCGCTGCAACCACTTTTTTAGGATCTGGATATTCATAGAAATAGAGAAACTCAAGGGCAAGGGAAATGGGGCAAATAAATTGACGTTCATTCATTCAAGATTTGTTAAGAGTTCTAGGCCAGGTATAGGGGATAAAATTTTGACTAAACAGTGACCCTACTCTTGTATGACCTTATTTTATTGTGATACCTTAACTCCCTTTCACAGAGTGATACAAGATGTTGTGATTGAGATTATATTGGGGGTTACCTGCAAATCCATCTGTTATTTCCACGCAAAAGAGGAGACTTGCTAGAGAAGGTGGACATTATAGAAAGAGCAAATTTTAGGGCAGATTCCCTGTCTGGGTGATTTATGCCTCTAAGGATGCTCCTTATCTCCCATCTTTCTGTCTTTCTACAGATGTGACATTCCAGCCCACTCCTGCCTTGACATACCGCACCACAGGAGGGGTTCTGGACTTTTATATGGTTTTGGGGCCAACCCCTGAGCTTGTCACTCAGCAATATACCAAGGTTAGAAGTAATTCTATCCACTGATAGGCCATCAAATGTTTACTCGGTAGTACCATGTTCTTAGCACTAAAATAGGCCAGTTTTTTCCCTATGGTCCTTGGGTGTCCCTACTACATTATTGCTATCTTTCCTGAAAGTCAGGTTTTAATGTTAGAGGCCTATAAAGGCATATTGCTACCCCATGTACCTCTTAATTTGCTAACTAGGCTTTCTAAGAATTGCTAATCAGTAATAACCACTGTATTTCCAGGTTCCTAGTGAGGAAGCTCTAGAATATGGGGAGACATGCCATCATTCTGCATCCCCAACATAAATTACTTGATTTTGTTTTCTTGAGAGAGGCCTCTTAAATCAAACAGTACTGAGAAGTGCTCAAGTTGTGTCAAGTAAAGCTAATCATCTTCTCTTCCCTAACAAGTTTACCTGGATCCATTTTTCTCTTTTATTCTAGTTGATTGGTCGGCCAGCAATGACTCCATACTGGGCCTTGGGATTCCAGCTAAGTCGCTATGGATACCAGAGTGACACTGAGATCTCCAATTTGTATGATGCAATGATAGCAGCCCAGATTCCCTATGTATGAAACCCTCATTTAACCTGTGGTTTAATTAGTTATGGGAATCTGTGGCTAATTATAGATTAAAAACATCATCATAGAAGTTACTGATAACTACTTCAGTATAAGACCCTTGCTGTGGAGCTAGTCCTGCATGGAATACACTGCCTTTTAAACTTATTTCATGCTACCCTTTTATTTTTTTTTATTTTAATTTTTTTAGGAGAGCTAGGGAGAGGCTTTTATTGAGACAGTAAGAGGACAGAGCTCCTGGCTCACGCTGGAAGGGGACAAGAAAGCCCCTTTATGCTACCCTTTTAAATCAAGTGTTCAAAATTGAGAGTTGCATAAATTCTTCAGTAGTTAACAGTGTAATGGGAGGATATTGTTTCTTAATGTCTTTTGCCAGAAGTACCCTGCAGTAGCCATGGCTGGGCTTAAGCCATGACTCTGGGGATTTATAAATGAGAATCATGTCAAGATTATGACAGTTCTAGGAGATTATAATGTGATTATTCCTGGAGAGGATGGATGTAAAGTGACAATATGAAAAAAAACAGTTAAAATCAAATATTCACTTTCTCTAAAACACACATATGCCCATATACGTATCCTATAATGACAGCCTCATCCCGTAGATAAACCCCAGGTGGTCAGTTGCTGTCAACAACCGGATTCCACAAATGGCATATGCTCTTTCTCCTCTTAGAATTATTGAAGCCTCATCACTCATTCTCTTTCTCTGCTTTCAGTTCAAATCCTCAGATTCTGAAGGACAATTAATGATTGAATGATGAGAACAAAATTAAGTGATGTTCTCATCAGAGATAATTTGAAACATTTATTGAGGTTTATTTATTTTTTCTTTTTATATGTTCCTATACTATATACTTATTAAATGTAAATTAGAAAAGATAGGAAAATTAAAAGATGAAAAAACCTGTAGATGCGTTTCACCAAGGCAGTCAATGTTAATAATATGTTGGTTCCTTCTTTTCCAAACTTGGCTTATGCACACGTCTCTGCTCCCTCAAACCTAGTCCTAAGGCAATACAGGAGATTGGCATCAGGCTAAAAGGAAGCATCTCTTTTTTCAACTGAATGTCAGCCATTCAGCCATCATGGATTGAGTAAATGTCACCTGCAGAAACCTGGGCTCTGGCACTGTGTAGAGAAAAGGGAAGGCAAAGTTCTCATCTCAAGGAGATGAAATGTGGGTGACAGAAATGTATACATTCTAGAAAGCTATAAAATAATGTAATTCTAAATATGAATAAATTCAGTCAGGGGAAAACCCCCAGATATATATAATCTTTTCTTTCTATCTTTGAACATCCAACTAGCACTTTGATAGGCCCACTGGGTTTGAGATTTGAAGAGCAGAGAAGACATGAATTGAGGGAGGGAAGGAGAGGGAATTCCAGTTAAGGGAACAGCATGGGGACAGGTGCTCTGTGCAGAAAACACTTTCATTCAGCAGAATTGAGGAGTCAGTCTAGCGAAGCAATGAGATAAATTAGGAGGGGCCTGGGCTGGGGTCAGCAGGCAGCAGGAGCTTGGCAGGGCCGTTTACGTTCCCAGAAGGCCACTGCTGCAGGAGCCCCAACATCTTGCGTGCTCCTCCCCATAGGATGTCCAGCACGTAGACATCGATTACATGGACCGGAAGCTGGACTTCACCCTCAGCCCCAGCTTTCAGAACCTCGGTCTCCTGATTGAGCAAATGAAGAAAAATGGCATGAGATTTATTCTCATTCTGGTAGGTATTTAGAAAGATTAGGCCTTGTTTTCTGTTCATGGTTTAAAAATAGTACCATTAAGGAAAACTAGTGGAAGAGTACATGAGCCTGCCCTGAACATTTTTTGCAACTTCCTGTGAATCTATAGGTATTCCAAAAATGTTTTTAAACAAATAAATAAAGGAGGAAAGGACATATGAAAAAACTGGTTTTTAAAATATGATACTTTGCAATATTTATTTTTCATAGCTGAGTGTCACTGGAATATAATTTATTACTACTGTTCTCTTGGTAGAGTTAGAAGAACTGTAGGCTGAATCAGTGACCATAGAAAAAAAATAAGCCCCATGTTTCAGGCTCTGCCTCGGAGGGAGTAGCTCTATCTAGTTTCTTATTTACGTTTGGTGGTTCAAAAACCCCTTAAGGGCCATAGCACGCTGCATGGTGAAGCTCAGGTGACTTATTTTTTCTCATTTAAACTCACAAACAACTGAATTAAGATCCAGACACCAATTTATTATTTTACATTGGAAGCTATCTCTTGATAAACACAGAAGTAGTTACTTGCAAATGGTCCTCCCCACTAGATTCCAAAAAATAGAGGATTACTTGCTGACTTTTATTTATTCATTCATTCAAGTATTAATTAAAAACTGGGTCCTTGAAAATCACTGTTGTAAAAGGGGTGTGTGTATGTACTCTAAATTAATGAAGAAAACAATGTCTTTTTATTTAAAGGGATTTTATTCTGTTGAAGGGAGATAGCCAATAAATAAACATGAAAGAAAGATAATTTCAGACTGTAATGATTTTATATGAAAATTATGAAATAGGTTACTCTTATAGAGAGTAATTGGGTCAGGTATGGGGTGGGTGAGAGGAAAAGCTGCTTGGGACAGATTAAGTTGGGCCACAGAATAGAAGAAATAAGGTTCATGCCCTTAAGAAATATTGCTGTTACACTGTGGCAACATCATAAACTGGCTCTCTCCACTGGAGGGTAGTGTCTTATTAACCTAGTGTATCTCCAGGAACTGTTTTCAAACATTAGTCTACCTTTTTCCTCAAGAATTTTATAGAGAAACATCAACATGTTCTTTTACTTCTCAACTGCTCTTGTATTGAAGTTCAGCATTTCTTTCTGTGAATTGTTAATATTCTGGAGAGGACTTTTCTTGGGGATGTTTTTTTTCACATTTGCTGTTTTAAACCCTTCCCTGCAGGATCCAGCCATTTCGGGCAATGAGACCCAGTATCTCACATTCACCAGAGGGCAGGAAAACAACGTATTCATCAAATGGCCTGACAGCAATGATATTGTCTGGGGAAAGGTAAGGCTTGGGAGGAAGCGCCTATTACCAATCAATACCACAGTGTCTTGATTAGAAGGGGCTCTCAATAAAACTTGGCAAAATATTTTAGGAAATTAATAAATTGTATTGAGTAGAAATCACCTTTCTGATGCCGATTAGCTCAATAAATGTTAATAAGAACAAGATTATAAATCTAATCCTCTAAAATATCAGTGAGGTTTGTTTTATTGTCTGGAAATATTCTGATGCCCCACCCATTCTGCATTCCAGCTGGTCATTTAACAAACATAAATATTCCTGTGAGAATGGCTCTGATTCATGTCCTGGGTCATCCACACTTAAAACCTGTACCTGTGATGCTCAATCAATCTCTCTCTCTAATTAAATTGATAAGTCCTATAGATTTCCCACCTTCTCTTGTCTGCTTTAGTTCCTTTTTTGTGGTCTCAGTCCTCATCTGTTTGATTCATAGCAACAGGTTTTAGGTGAGCTTCCCGACTCAGATGACAGTAGCTCTTGGCCCAGATTCAAATACTGCTCTGGGATGGTGCGCTGCTCCTTGCCGCTGCTCTGGTACGTGCCATGCGCACTGTGCCTTTGAACATTGCTAGATAATTGTACTTCACGACCACCTCAAATATTCCCTCTTCTGAAGCCTTCACTGACTAGTGTAGCTTTCCTTGTTTCTTCCTTTTCCTCTACTGTTGCCCTCAGAGGACAGCATAGGACCACACTGTCAAAGTCCATCAGTGAACTCAGAAAACAAGGGCTTTTCTTACTTAATTCTCAGTATCACAGATTGCAGAGGGGTGCCTGGCATGTAGTAAGTGCTCAGTAAGTGTTTGCTGAATGAATGATTCATCATGGATAGAGTTAATATCCTTCTAGATATGGATGAAATGGGTTGACAGTGTGGATACTCAGTCCTCATCTGTTTGATTCATAGCAACAGGTTTTAGGTGAGCTTCCCGACTCAGATGACAGTAGCTCTTGGCCCAGATTCAAATACTGCTCTGGGATGGTGCGCTGCTCCTTGCCGCTGCTCTGGTACGTGCCATGCGCACTGTGCCTTTGAACATTGCTAGATAATTGTACTTCACGACCACCTCAAATATTCCCTCTTCTGAAGCCTTCACTGACTAGTGTAGCTTTCCTTGTTTCTTCCTTTTCCTCTACTGTTGCCCTCAGAGGACAGCATAGGACCACACTGTCAAAGTCCATCAGTGAACTCAGAAAACAAGGGCTTTTCTTACTTAATTCTCAGTATCACAGATTGCAGAGGGGTGCCTGGCATGTAGTAAGTGCTCAGTAAGTGTTTGCTGAATGAATGATTCATCATGGATAGAGTTAATATCCTTCTAGATATGGATGAAATGGGTTGACAGTGTGGATTTTTTAATGCTGCACGTTGGGTCTCCAATAAGTTATGATGCTGCTGAAAGATGAGGTCAAGTTTATGGATTGTGAATAGCATCAATCTTATTTCTCTACAGTCACACATCACATTTATTATTTATAAAGGGAATTTTGTTATAGGTCTATGATAGTCATATCAGAGAGCTGAGTAATCATTTGAAACGTTATTCTTTAAGTTTAAAAATTAAATTTTGAAGCTTATGGAATTAGAGAAGACCCCAGCCTATTTTCACCTAACAGACTGTCATATATCAGATTTTATAACTTAATTAATTGCAAAGATCCCCCAGGATTTTATTCATGTCAGTGGAGTCTAACAGGAGAATCATCGCATGGTCTGTATGCCACGCCTTTTTGAGTTTTAATTTTTCTGCCTTTTCTCTAGGTTTGGCCAGATCTGCCCAATGTGAATGTGGATGGATCCCTTGACCATGAAACCCAGGTTAAGGTATAATTACACAAAGATTTTTGTCTACATTGCCCTAAATATCTGGATATTTAGGAGTTTTATCCCAAAGTTTTGTTAAGTAGCTCTAAGTTGGGTGTTCTTATCTATTGGCAATTTCTTGGCAGAAAGGGTTCCTCAAATAGAAAACGTTGTGCTTGTTGTAAGCAGCTAAACTGGAAACATGTAGAAGGAAATCATAAATGATGTACCTGCAACATGTGTGCCTTCAATGGGTTGTGTTTTATTTAAATCTAATGTTGCTTAAAAAGTAATGAACTAACATCTAGAATATTTTCACTGGAGAGGTTATGAACAGACTGGCTCTTAATAAATCATCTACATACAAAAGAATATACAAACCAGTTAAAAGGAGGAATGTTCTTGATCTTGGCACTTGATGTCATAGCCTGGGTGTTTAGCACCCCCTCCCCGTCCCCCCAGCTCTTCTCCAGGCTGACCGTGTCATTCATTCAGCCAGGGTGGAAAAAGCACCTGAAGTTAGATTGTTTGGACATTGACAGTTAATTTCTAGTTCATATGATTAAATGCCCAATAAATAAATCCCATGTTAAAAAGGGATTTAAGACTGTCCAACTTTCTGTTATTAGAAAATAAAGACTGAACCCTACTTCCCTGATCTCTGTGTCCACAGTAGGCTCTGCAGCCGCAGCCGTAAGGTCAGGACAGACACTGAGCAGGGTAGTGCTGTGCAAAATGCCAGCTCGTCTCCCCATCCTGGTCCCCAGACTCCCCTGCCTGGATGCACTGAGACCCAACGCGAGGATATGTGTTACTCTTGCAGCTGTACAAAGCCCACGTTGCTTTTCCTGACTTCTTGCGTGATAGCACAGCTGCGTGGTGGAAGAAGGAAATTGAAGAGCTGTACAGAAACCCTCGAGAGCCAGAGAAGAGCTTGCAGTTTGATGGGTTGTGGATTGTAAGTGCATCCTCGGCGGGGTTTCCTTGGAAATGTTAGCCGTCAAAACATGGGGAGGCAATTCAGCCTAGCAAAGCAGGGAGCTAGGGCTGGAGGAATGAAAGGGAGGGGTACAGTCCCAGAACTGAGGTGCTGGGACCAGCAGGAGAAGCAGAGGTAATTGCAGGTCTGCCCAGGGTCACGCCTGCAAAAGTCCGAGCCCACGGAGTTGTGCTCCCACTGGATATGCTGTCAGAGGGGACGGATACCTTGGCTTCTCTGAGCTCCCACCCTCCAGTCTCTTTGGCCAAACTACCCAGAAGCCAACACTGAGAGAGCCTGAGAGCCCATCCAGGGAATGGGGCAGAACTGGGGGCAGGCAAGGCGTGAGCCCAGAAAAGGTGAATGTTCACTCTGGTGCTGATATAGACTCATCTTGAGAAGTTTCCGGGTGGCCAAAGGCTCTTCTATTTGTGTTTTTCTAACGATGGGAAGCATATCAGTGTCCCGGTTTCCTTCCTGACTGACCAGTGGCCTGGAATCCTAAATAAGCATAGTCTATGCCAGCTCTAAAGAGCTTCTCAGATCTGGGCCGGGCTGACCGAAGCCTGTAATTCACCTAGAGACAGACCTATTAGCCCAGCGGCAGCCCTGGAACTTCTCCGGCCACTATTTTCAGGGTAGATAGATGCAGAGCAGACACCGAAAGGGCAGAGACTAGCCCAAACAAGAAAAGCAAACAGTAGGGAGATGTGTAGCTCTGAGGAGTTGAGATACTGATAACTGCGATAGTCTAGAGGGAAATAGAGAGCTGAAAAACTCAAAATAGTAAATGGCTCCCAAAATACGTGTCTTGTTTTATTAGTCCAATGTACAAAATTTTAACTTTCCTGTTAATGAAGTAGGCAGTGAGCATTTACCTCAGAAATCACTCCTTTCATTTAAGTAATATATCCTCTCAAGTGTGGATTTGAGTCCACATTTTATTTCTGCGCCACCTACTGGTGGCTACATCTGCTGTAGAAAGCGAGGCATTTCTCCCTGTGTTTGTTCTGCTGATGCTGCTGATGTCAGACAGTCCAAGGTATTGGATTCAGAAAGAGTACGGAAAGATAATAGTACCAGTTGGCCACAGATAGAAAGTGAGTGATCCACTCATAGAAAAGCAAAGACGGGCTTCTTGTGTGAGGAGATGAATCAAGAGATCTTAGTTTATGGATCTGGCATAATCTCAACATTTTTTCCATTATAAAAAATTCTTCACAAGTTTTAAAATGCCAAGTGAACCAGACATTTACCACTATCCCTAAACCCACATGAATTCTTAGAGTCCATTTGGGTCAATGCCTGACATTAAACAGAGTCACTGAAACAGCCAGCTGATGGAAGGGTTTAAATAACAGTATGTTCATCTCCGTGAGGTCAGTGTCCTCCCCAGCAAGGGCCATACTGCCTCTGACATCACAGAATCTTTTTTGCTAACTCATTGCAGGATATGAATGAGCCATCAAACTTTGTGAATGGATCCGTCAGGGGCTGCAATGATGAAATTCTTAATAATCCACCCTATATGCCACGTATGTAAAATGATTACTTCATCAAATTACTTCCCTTTTCAAAACGTCTGGAAGTTTCCCCCTCAAGTGAAGCCTGATTTTGCAGCGAGAAGGTACTCTTAAACATGACATAAAGTCCCAAAGAGATAACCTTGAATAAGTGTAAATAAATGACTTACTAATCAAGCATAGCAACAGAAAAAATGTAAAATGAAAGAACCCAAGCCATGCATGGTTACATCTGATTACGCTGGTAACTATGAACTGCTTGCTAAAACTTTAAATAACCCCAACACATTATACACACTACACACACACTCTCTCTCTTTCTCTCTTCATGAGAGAATGAAAATCTAGTCCGTGTCCTTTCTGCCCATGTTCAGACACTTCATGAAGAAATTCCCTGCCTGTCCCATGGTACAAATAGAAATAAAGAAGCATAGGGCCTTGCAATCAAAGATGTCTAAAAAATTGAACCTTCTCACCTCACAGGAAGCTAGGCAAAGAAGTGACTCTCCTTAAAAGCACTGTACCCATAATTTGTGGGACACAACCTGGAATCTAAGTGTCTTGAGATGTCTGGGTCGCTCTAATGCTGTCTATTGCTCACTAACTCCTCCCTTCCTTCCCTCCCTTTCTTCCTTCCTCCCCTAATATTTGAGTATCGGGCAAATACTGACAAATCAGAAAGATTTAGAGATATTGATACAAAGTTGGTTGGAACAGATCTCTTCCCTTGAGAACATTACCATCTAGTGGAGGAGACAGTCATAACAATAAAGGAGTTAACTGTTGATATGGGCTGATAAGTCTTACAGGTTAGGGTTGGCACAAAAACAAGTGCGCCTTTCTCCGCTCTACACCCTGTCCTTACCCTTCTTTAGTCATAAAGTAACAGGATGTTAATTTTGTAGACAAAAATATTCTTGCAATTGGAGCTGTTACCACTTTCAAAGTTGTTGACTGAAAGAGATCAATACCTAGACAGTGGGCATTTCCAGTGAATGTTCTGGCCAAGTTGCTGAGGAAATAACAGCGTTTCCTCTCAGGCTTGGAGTCCAGAGACACGGGCCTGAGCAGCAAGACCCTGTGTATGGAGAGTCAGCAGGTCCTGCCAGACGGCTCCCTGGTGCGGCACTATGACGTGCACAGCCTGTACGGATGGTCCCAGACCAGACCCACATACGAGTGAGTATGTTTTTGTCACTGGCAGCAAGGATCGATATCTACGTGGTTACTTTTGCCATGTCATAGATACACTGTGCTTAATCTACATGATGCCGATACCAGGGTTTTTGTTCATGGAGTTGAAGAATGAACTTTGCAAACACTCAAGGTAGGAGAGCAAGGTAGAGGCTTTTATTTAGAGATAAAGTGAGAGGACAGAGCTCCTGGCGGGGACAAGAGAGTTCATGGTTGTGTCATTGTCTGGGAGTTTTATGCGCGATTGAGGATTTTCAGGAATGGGGGTAAAGGGCTAGGGTTGCAGACTTCTTGAGTGGTCCCAGAATGCTCATTTTTGGTGAGTAACAGAAGAAAGTTGCTGCTCTGATTCTTTATCAGGATAGCAGCTTCCCTCTGGGAGCATGTCAGTGAAGACTGCCTGCCGTTCCCCCAGGTGGGCTGGGCTGCTGCCTGTTTGCTAGGGTTTGCTAAGAATCTTACTTCTTAACTTCCAGGGCTGTTTATAGCTGGGCTTGATTACCAAATTAATCTTTTGCCCAGGTTGCAGAGTACTTGATTGGCATTAGAAAAGGAAAAATAGCATACAAGTACAGTTAAAAATAAGCTGGGCCTTTTAGCAGGCTAAGGTAAATTTTACAGTGTCATGATCTAATTGATACAACGAAGTCACGGGGTATGCTGAGATACGTTTCTTTATCTGGGAAACAGTCAAACATTTCAGGCCAAGTTGCTCCAGGCCTTTCGAGTTTTAACTGATTTCACTGAAGAATGTCTATATTCCTAGTCTGCTATCTTTACCCTAGAGAATTAGTGTGACTCTGACTTTGCGTAATGCTTAACATGGAGTTTCGATAGGGACGTCTTTGCACATTGTTACACTGTTCTGACTGTAATTATTGTGCTTTGCTTTTTTTCTGGAGGCCCTCGTGTACTCTGCCTAAACCCACGGTCCCTGTCTCAGTTTCCTGGTTCTTACCATGACTTAATTTTTTGTTGGAAACTGGACGTTTTAGGTAATAAATTGTGACAATGCTGGCATAACATCCCTCCTTTACCCCTCACAGGATTTGTTGTTGTTCTTGTTTTACTAGTTGCTTATTTGTTTATTAATTTTTCTAATTCTTCAGAATCTGTATTCCCCGCTGTGTGTGGCCACAGAATTCTCTGCTACTCATTTTTACCTTTTACGTTTTTAAGCCTGGCTTCCTTGGGGACATCCTTGGACTAGTACAATTTAGTAGTCAGCCAATGATCAGTCAGAAGATTTCCTTTGCTGAAGCCAAACTTTCCCTGGACAAAGTTAAACAAGCAAAGAAGACTTTATTCATGGCTATTGCAATGAGAGAGGCCTGAGCGCAGTCCAAGCTAACTCCACTGAACCAAGGGCCTGAGAGTTTTTGAGAGCTGAGGCTGGGAGTTCAGAGGCCACATGTTTGGTAATTGGTCTTTTTCAAAGAAAAAGTAAACTTTTTCATATCTTTATTGAAAGGAAGAAAGGATGTGAACTCCACAGTCCAAGCAGGTTTATTGCTGAACCTGAGAGGGACCTCTCTGTTCTGGTGAGCAGAACAAAGGAAAAGAGGTCTCTAACAGGCCTAGAGGCTTTCTATGGCCAGGGTTTTCAGAGGGCTTTTTGAGGGGAGGGGTCAGGGGAAAGGTGGGCTTGTGGCCTGCTGACGTGTCCTCTGGAGGATGCTTGTAGCCTAGGGAAGATGCCACCTAGGTCTCTCTGAGGTGGTGGGTGGGCTTATTCAAAAGGCGGTACTCAGGTCCGGATTCTATCATTCCTGGCTCTGAAAGGGTATAGGAAGATGGGGCGCCATTCTTTTCTTTCCTGCTGAGAGGGGGCGATGAAGGGGGTTTTCTGGTATTTTGAAGCAGAAAAGCCATTTGGAGGTGTTCTCAAGTAGTTGCCCAGGAGATGGCTGCCATGTGATCCTATAAAAATCTTTGAAATAGGTTTCTTAAGCAGGGAAGGAAGAAAAGGGTGATAAAGGCGAATGGGGCCAGCAGAGTCAGAAGGTGAGGGCTGTAGAAGCTTAGAGTGTATGACTTGGACTCAGGCAGGGGAGAGAAGGGTTAGAGCCCAGTGGCTGAGAAGGTCGGAGAGGCTGTGTGAGGTGTGTACTTATCGGCGCTGGTGGAGGGCAATTTTTGGGCTTCAGGGATAAGAAGTGCAGCTGACTCAAGGACCTGTAAGCAGAGAGGCCAGCCTTTTATTGCAAGGTCAAGTTGTTTGGACAAATAGGCAGCAGGCTGGTGGGAGTCCCTGGCTGCTTGTGTGAGTAGCCCTAATACTTGTCCCTTTTTTGCTGGTTAAGAGAAGAAAGGTTTGTTAGGGTTAGGTAGAGTCAAAGCAGGCGCCTTGAGGAGCGTTGGCTTCATGGCCTGAAAGAAGCAGGAGTTAAGTCTGTCTCTGGCACCCTTTCTTGGGGATCCCCGTGGGAGGCCTCGTAAAGGGGTTTTGCAATGAGTGAGAAATTTTGGATTCAGAGTCTAAAATAGCTAAGAAACCTTAGAAGGGAAAGAAGATCTTGCTTTGTGGTGGGGAAAGGGAGATTATTAATAGCTTGTTTTCAAAAGGTGGGTATGCAGCGAGTGGTAGGGGTGAGGTCCAGACCAAGGTAAGCGAGGTTTTGCTGTACTAGCTGAGCTTTGTGTTCTGAGACACAGTATCCCTTTTCCCCCAGGAATCTAAGGAGGGAGATAGTGTGGGACAGAGAATCATTTTTTTGAGGGCTGCAAAGCAAGAGGTCATTGATATACTAGAGCAGGCAGCTAGGGGCAAGGTTGAGAGATTGGAGGCCCTTTTGTGGTGCTTGGCCAAAGAAGTGGGAACATATCAGTTCAGGCTGCCTGCCCTGCCTTAAGATAGGCTGTTGGGCTACCGTCTGATTACCAGAGAATGTGTGAGGAATCCTACCTCTCAACTCTCTGCTTTTTTTTTTTAAATCCAAAATATCCCATTGATTTTATTGTTTAAGTGATAAAAGGATTTAAAATTATAACAGTTCCAGCAATACAGAAACATAAAAACAAAGCAATTACATGAGAGAGGCTTTATGACATTCTATAGCAGACTTTCAAGTATGTATTATTATAGGGTTTTTTGCCCATATTCTTATTTTTTACATTTTTACAAATTGGTAATAGTTATCCTAATTACAAATAGCTAAGAACACAGATGTTGGAGTCAAACTGCCTGGATTAAACCCTGCCCTGCCACTTTCTAGCTGAATGTATGGCCTTGAACAAGTTATTTACCCTAAGTTTCCGCATCAGCTAAGTAGCATCTATGTCATAGAATTGAAATGTCAACCCTCTGCTTTTAAAAATGGAATCTTAGCCTTAAGATGAAGTCCCTCCTGTTCTTACTGTACTGTTTATATCTCAGCATTTTCCATCATAGGCAGGAAAAGTTAATCACGATGCTTGTCCCATGTCTCTGCCCCACCTCATTCACCTCCCAAGGAATCTGGACCCTTGGAATCTTTTAAGGGAAAGTGTCGGTCTCTCCTCTGTAGCTGCTTCCTGCTGAGTAGGGGCGTTGTCCCTGCCTGTGGGCCCAGCAGTTCCTTGCTGTCTGTCAGGGAGAGGAGGTCATGGAGCCCTAGTAGTAGAGGCAGACATGGACAAGGGCACATAAAAGGAGGAGGTAAATAAGTTGCAGGGCTGCTGATGTGCGTGTTCATCAGAGTTGGGGTGGACTGAAATCCTCTTCTGAGCAACATCTGGAGTTGGATTTTTTGTTCTGGAGGAAACAAACTTGACAAGGAGATTAAGAATGAATGGTTGAATATGTGGACTAGAGATAGTAAAACTCTAATTGAAATGACGGGAGAAAACTGAAACATTTGGAGAGCCAGATTCTTTGAGGAAACTAGAATCCAGGATCTAGTCTATTTTACAATGAACAGTATTAGTATCTTATAGTGATAAAACTGCACTATTGAAACACAATTCTTTATTTCTTTCTAAAATTACCCTCAATTTTTAAATATAAAATAAGTTTAGCTTTGAAACAGTTGGCCTGATCATTTACATAAGTGCAGCAAGTATAGCCACTGATGGCACAGGCTCTTTTAAATGTGCTTTGCTGGAACTTTTTATAAGGAATTTCAGATGGAGCTTTTAAAGGCCTCTCAAGGTCAGAAAGCCAAGCCAGACTTGCCATCAGGTTTTGCCTGCAGTACCTGTAGATTTGGGTGAATTCCTCTTCTTGAGGTCCCCAAGACATCCTGAGGTTCCTGCCCCTGCCAGAAAGTGATGTTCCTTACCCACCTGGTAAGGCTGCATCTTCACCTGGGAACCCTGCACGCAAGGTACCAGACTAGTTCTTACAGGGGCTTTGTTGGCTCCGTAAATTCAATCTTAGTTCCTTAAAGCTGTCTGTTTATATCTGAGTTGATGCATGTGTCTCAAATATGACATTCCAGTCAAAGCCTTGGTAATACAACCAGTGTTCTCAATTGGTCCTGTCACAAGGAGAGCAGATTCTTATTGAACTTATGCAAATAAAAATTTGCCATAAAATATGAAAATAGTCACTGAGAGTTTCTAAATTCTGGAGGGATTAGGTAGAGAGAGAAAGATAAATGTTTCAATTCTGCTTTACTAAACTATTGTAAGATAGCTTAAGAGAAAAAGGTTAAAACAGACACTTGTTTTTCTGTTTAAGAAATTAGTGACATTTGCATAAAAATTAAAATCATCTTCCTCCGTTTACTTAATTTTATGGAACTAATTTTCGCTCTGCTTGAATCTAGTTCTTTACTAGTTCAGGAGTAAAACAGTGACTATAAATGACCAAAGACTTAGAAATGGCAATGGTTAAAGATTTGATGAGAGCTTACTATAAGACAGTTGATATAAGGATGTTTGGGTACTTCTGTAACATATAAACTTAGATTTTAGCTCTTTTAATATTAAGATTTCATTTTCTTAAGTACTCAGACAACCCACTGAGCCCTTAAGCATGAGAAATAATTTTGATACAATTAGAA